GCTGGATTGTTTGTAGGTCGAATTATGCGAAGCACCGCCCAGTGAGGAGGCCACGCGAGGAGGATACCCGTCGTGGCGGGCTCGCGAGACCTGGTCTGGGAAGTACAAAACCATGAGTCAGTTCTTTTTCTCCCTTATCCTTGCCGTGTGTGTCTCGCTGGAGCAGAAATGATCTGTGGCAACAACGCTGGAGAAGGAGAATCCCGGCCGCAAAAAGAAGGAATGTTGCTGGAGGTCTTACTGTGGGCCGGTTTCGAATGGTTTGTGCTCGTCCGAGACCTTGATCGAGGACGACTGAGAAGTCCCAACTCGTAGAGGTTTTCGGTGGTCTCTCTCGACACCTCGGCGCTGGAGTAGGAACGGTTGTGTTTGGTCATGGAAAGAGATGCCCGACTGGCAGTGCTCTCCCTCTAGCGTCAAACCAATTTCATCAAGAAGGAAGATCCTGAGAGAACTAGGGGAGATCGGTTACCACGTGGAGGGCCTCTCAATTTTGTTTTCCTCAGTGGACACCCGAGAGACGGGGATATCAGAATGGAATCCTGAGGGGGGTTACAATGGCTAAAGAGTATAGTATTGCACTTGGATGCTTCTTGGGGGGGGGAGACTGGAGTGGAAGTAGCTGCAAATTGGTGGATTTGCTGCACTTACTTTTCTCTCCGACAAGGTCAAACCGACTCTGTGGGGGCACTCTCATGATGGACCACGAGCACCTTCGCATTTGAGACCATGAGGCGCGATCGATTCTGACAGTCGCACCGGCGCGGTGGGGGAATCCCATGGCGCAACGCTGTGTGGAGCCTTGCTTCTGGGACGGCGGATGTCATGTAAAGACAGGTTTGGCCAGTCTGGGGGCACCAGGGGTGGCCCTTTTGCAACCGTGCAGCGGGTGGAGAATCTCAACGCCCGTGGGTCGAGAGCGAGAGAGGTCTGGGAGGGGTGTTCTGGCAGGCTCCGTGCTCCGTACAAGGCCCGGGCATGGAGATGGTGTTGCACCGAGCGCCTGGAACCATGCCACTGTAGGAAAGACCGGTAGCCGGCGCCAAAGAGCCGGCATTAGGCGCTCTTTAGTCCCAGAAGCCAGAGGCACCCAGGCACTCCTGTAAAGGCTGCGAAGAGGGGCTCATCGGAGGATACCACAGATGCTAATGCTGCATGGTATTCCGACCGCTGCGGGGCGATTCACGTCTCAGACTGGCTGCCCATTCGAGCCTTTTCTCTGGGGGCGTCGGCTTGCAGTAGTAGTGGCAGTGATCTGCGTCCAGGCTTTCCTTGCTCGGTAAAGAATCAAGGGGTCAGGGAAATGTCCACCAACGTTGCTCGAGAGTCTCAAGCTGGGCACTTCCGGGCGTTCCCTTCAACTCTGGAGCCCTTCAAGACCTTCCTTCCCCCAGGAACAAACGCGTCGGAATTCGAGCCTGGGCAGCCTCCGTTCTTTGACACCTTTGTGGCTCCCGTCAAAGGACCCATGGGGGCAGGAACTCACACGTCACGGACAACCCCCGTGATAGTTCCAGAGGAGAGTTCGGAAACACTGTGACATGAGGGACTGACTCGGTAGAGGTACGAGGTCCAGAACTCCCAGAACTCCTGGGTCTGGAGGTATACAGTCCCGAGTACAGGCCAGGCACCGCCGTTGTGGCCCTTTTGCCTTTTGTTGACATTGGCAATGGCATTGGCAACGGGGGCCAACGGGTAGACGACAGACAGACCAGGAAATCCTTGCCGCATGCCTTCTGGACTCGGGAACAATGGACTTTGTCAAATGTAAGGTACCACACCTTTTCGTCCAACGGTCGACCATGCTGGCCAACAAATGGCAAGACGCCTGCTGGTGGAGCATGGTGAAGCCCAAAAGAAAGGCCCTTGAGGGGTGCCTGGGTATCAATCCTTCCCGGGTTTATCGAAATTTCCCGGCGTCGTAACGAAAGCTAATATGATCTCAAACCACGTTCCTTTTGCACCTATGTACGTATATATGTACGAGTATGTAGGGAATGTGCATACCTATACCTCTGGAGTAATCGATCGACAGAGCTAGACCTTGACTTGCAGAATGTTAGCGATGGCTTTGCTCGGGTGTAGGTATCTCAATTCCCTCTTTCTGCTGCACACGGAAGAGCAAAAAGGCAGCATTGAGGCAGATCAAAGATGGGCCCGCTCCCCAAATGGAACATGTCTCGATACCGCCTCCTGGAAAGACCAACATAACGTAGATCCGTCACATGGACTCCCCAAATTGGATGATACGGTGCTGGTTGCCTTGGTTATGTTTCGAATAACACCTGGAGAACTGGCCGGAGACTTGTATCGAATCAATCCAGCGACGTGATTATGTTCGCCTTGATGGCCCTCTCTGTTCTCGGGAGTGTGATTCTGCGTCGTATACACTAGCGATGTCTGGCTCTGTGTCATCATGCCGTCATCCACAAGGACAAACAAACGGCGGGAAGCCACTGCAGGCTGCCCAGGGGAAAGGGTGGCTTGTTTCCTCAAAATTCATCCACTGGCATCTTTCAGGCATCTTTCAGGAGACGCCAGGCACAATCTTCATAGGCGAAACAGGGTAGCCCATGTCGAAAAAGGTGCCAGTGACATGGGAACCTGCATGAAAAGTCCAGACATCAAAGAAGGGCAGAACCAGCCACATTCGCCCCACGGCGCCCAGAGAGTGATGGGTAAAAAAGACCCGACTGATGGATCCCTGCACCTGGGATATTCTTCAAAGCATCGGGCTGCTTCAGGTACCGACTTATTACTATTATTTGCCCATGGCGATGCTGGTTGTTTGTGTCCAGTAGAAGCAGATTGTTGATTCCAGGGCATCCATCGCAGGGGCCATGCCAATGATAGCTCGCCCTCCAGCTCAACTGATTTTGCTATGGTCATCGAGAACGTCGTCATGTGGCGCAGATCACCCTTGTGTTCGACAGCATGGTTCACATTGCAGAAGGATCCAACGGTCTGACGTCGTCTGTGGACGATTTCTTCCAATGGTCGAGTACAACCAGAGTGATAGTACGTAACTAGGCAAGACCAGCCGCTTGAAGCATGTGAGTTGACTATATTGCCACTGTCAGCACATTACGTACCACTAAAACAATGTACCGGGCACGGAATACTCGAAAGCTCCAGGTAAAGGTGACACAGTTGAGTGCTGTATACGAGTAGTTAGAGCACCGTTGGGTAGGCTCCCTTCCATGGCTCAGGCTTCCAAACCCTCTTCGCTATTGGTGCTGCTCAGGCCAGGGTTAGGGGGCCCGGGGAAGTGACTAGCATCCAAGATACTTACCTAGTAGGTTTTCATCAGATTCCCCAATTCCAAGCCCCCCAAGCGAGAGACTAGGGCAAAGGGTTTGATCCCCTCAAACTGCCGGCATTGTTGGATAGAATTCTAGCATCTGAGCAGTTCGTTTCAGAGTGCACGTACAGCAGTCTCGTTGTACCTGTAAGCGAGATGGGTGGCATGACTTTTCCCAGCGACAAGTTGTACTCACGCACCAGGGCAGCTCTGACCCCCTTGATGGTCTATGCATACCGGGTACTTGGAGGTGGCTGGAGTATCGCACGTACTGTACGAGGTACTCGGTAGGGACATGTGAGTACCGAGTACATCCATTGCGTACCACTCCGTTCACTGCTTCCATAACCATCATCATTCGTACAGATAGATATCCACATGCTTGAGCAGCCAGGGGTGAGATTGTGGCGCTTGTACTCCTATCAGACCTGTTGATTGCAGAAGCCTCACTTCTCAAAGTCTTCATGGTTTGGGTTCGTTCGCGGCAAGGATCAGCAGCTTGTTAATCAGCTCCCACATTTCGGATTTGCTGTTGGGTTTCGCGGCCACAGGCATCCAAACTCCAAGGGTTTGGTGACCAATCCAAAGCACCCGTATACCCTGCAAAGAAGGAGCATGGTCATTCCAGTTTGGCCATTCTCGTGCTCTGGTTGAGGCTTTCGAAGCAAGTGTCCAATCTCCTCGTTGGCACAAGCCACACGAGTGTTGGGCTTTCAATTATTTTGAGCTTGCTGAGGAGCCTCACAACTCCAACAATTATGACTTTTGAGGACCTTTCGCGATCGTCATCGTTGCCATGCAGGACTTTCTCGTACAGGGCCATGTCGCTGGTTCGTCTGAGTGCTCCCACCTCGTTGCTCGTGAACGGATTTCTCTGGCTTCAAAGGAAAACCCCCATTTTCCTGCATCAGTAGTGGGCATTATACTTCGCCTTGGGTCCGCAGATTTGGGTCCATTGACTAGGAATTTCTTGTCCGTAACTCCCTGGCCCAGCGACGCTCCAGGTGGTACAACGTCCCCTAGGCATGTACCTGGTAATAACCAAAAAAACGTGTACAGCTGAAGCAACGTGCTAGAGTGGAGGGGCGTGGAGCCTGTTGAGAGTTTTTCCATCAGCACCAATGATTTGCAACGCTCTCCCTTGATCGCACTCGCTATCTACACCATTTTGACCATTGTACGTCAAAAACCACAGAGATCGACACTGACGGAGAGAAATGGCTCCCAATCGTAGTGATGTAACCAGAAACGGCGGTTGCCAATCTGAGCGAGGACTGGCTTCTACAAGTAGAGTCGATGTTGTGTCCATTTGGGCATGAAAATTGGAGCCGGGGTCATCCTCACCAGATCAATCGATAGACTGAAGAATATTGCTTCGGCTGTAGGTAGGGCTCAGCACCGCTTATGGTAAAATCATAACTCGTCTGCCCCTGAAGCTATTGAAGCTCGTTTGAGAACCGAGTCTGCCAGTCTGCCAGTCTGTTAGAACATCCCGAGTAGATAGTACTTGTCCTGCCCTGGTCAGCAAAAGAGGTGGGTAATCGCTTTGACTAGGTAGGAACTCCGACTCCCGCGCAATGGAAGAGCTGACATTATTGATCAGCTAACTCATTTCCAAGGTGTTGGTGGTGTCGCTTGGAGATTTCGTCGAGTCGGATAAAGGCTGTGTCATCTCTACGGAGTACACCTGAGACGAACCATGGCGGCATCTGTGCGGGAAGTGAGACTTGAGATTCAAGAGTCAAGACCGATTCAGCAGGTACGCGTCCGTAACCTCGACTTAGCTGCCGGCGAGCGATTACTGGAAAAAGCAGCAGAGAGCTTGCTTCTGGCACCATTGAGGTTCAGTGTTGATCCCCGAGCCGTGCTCGTTCCCACCAGAGAACAAGTGGATATTCGCTTAGCACCTCGTGGCGCACGCAAATCATGCCCCGTATTGGTCGCCGCTTCGCACAAGATTCGAAATCTTCACCATCTTCTCCAAGTAGTCGACTCGGCGCCTCACGACCACCGCGGCGTGCCCGACTTCGCAGGGCCTGAGTTTGAGACCAGAGCAAGCTAAGTGATGATTGCAGACGATAAGCAGTATCGACGCGTCCTTAGTTGTACTCAGAGGGGGTTGGTGTACTGTGTGTGCATTAGTTTATCATTATCGGTGCAACCCGCATTGAACTGCCAATCCGGCATGCCTCGTTGCTTAAGGCCATGTGAATCGACACGTTGTTGCTGATCATTTCGGTTGCGGGAAAGGGGATCATCAGGAGGGAGCATAGGTAACGCGCGAGGCTCGGCTCAGCTCCCTCGCCTCATCGTGCCCTGTTTTTCCCGTGGGCAAGCAGGGCTCCAGTTGCTGGGCCAGGGCCAATGACGAGTTTGCCCCTGGTGCTATGGCCAAAGACACCAATATATTGCGTCTTCGCCTCGTGGTAGTCCTGCTGTAGAGCCTTAAAGTTCGCCAAACCATAACCTAATGGAGTTGCTAGAGACACGCCAAAGGTAGCATGGGCCAATGTCTTTCTAAGCGATATTCCAGACCTTCTAGGGAGCGGATGATCAGCTGGGCTTCTGGGCCTTTCCCTCTGGGTTTTCTATGGATCACCGCAGTTTACCGACAGAATTTGTACGTCCTTGTAAGTTTGTGTGTACAAGAGAGTTTGCTTCTGACTTTTCGGGAGATTATGCAAGGAGGAAGTTGTCCCATGGCTCCATGGCAGAGGCAGTTAGATGCGTTGGACTGGACTGCTGAAACAGCATAGCCCCCTTTTTTTTTTGGCTTGCTGCTGGTGGCAGTTATGGGCAACAACCAGTGAGGATTCTGCGTCGACTACCGAGTTCTCTGTAGAGTTTCTGCCGGGAGAAATCTTCCGTAAACCCGAACAATCAGACCTTGGGAAATTTAGGTGCTCAATGCCATGGCTTCTGGTATGTTCCTAAGAAAAAGGTAAAAAAAAAAGGCAAGGTCCAGACTCTGGCAAATGGAAGTTTGATTAAGTCGGCAGTCTTTGATGATCTGGATCACCTGAATCTGCTTGAAGAAGGCCTCTGGCTTCCTCGGCCTCTTCATCGTCCTCCAGGACAGAGTCTCGAACAGCTTCTGCATCGGCGACAAACACTCCAGCCTTGCGTCCATCTGCGGATGCGGACAGTATCCACCAAACGTCCTTTTTGGTGAGCATGCCTCTGAATGCGCCACGCTCAACAAAAAGGAGGTATCGAAGCCCAAGTTTCTGGAACATGTGCACCGCGAGTTGAAGGGAGCTGTTCGCATTCAACGTGATAGGCGTCTGGTCCATCCACGGCCGCAAGTCGATCCCAGTACCCGAAGCAATGTCGGGATGGTAGGTAAAATAACACAGGGTTCTTGAATCAACAACCGTTTCAGCCTCGAGTCTGGACTGGTGACTACCGGGACGCGTCATCCGCTCCAGCGCAAAGGCCAGCTCGACTCGAGAGATGTAGCCTAGAAGAGTGTTCTCGCGTGGGTACTGTCGATTTGCACCTGTCTCAGCGACATCACCTGCTGGCTTTCTGAACGCCACCACTGGAAACCCGCGATAAGATGTGCTTCGGAGGATCTTCTGTAGACTTCCGACAGTATAAGACCTGTTGGCATCTAGGCACTTCATTTCCTCCACTCTTGTCATGAGACTCGAAACAAGAACATGAGGCACCGTTGCATCGTCCTTGTTTTCGAGATATGGATACTCGTTGAATTGAATCCAAGACTCGTAGATGCCTCGTGGCGAAAAGACATCTCCGATCCACTTGGCAAGCATGACCGCAATCATAATTGGCAAAACGTAAGTAAGGGCACCTGTTAGCTCGAATACGATAACAACAATCGACACGGTCATCCTTGTAACCCCGGCCAGTGCTGAAGCAGCACCCACGATGGCATATGTGCCGGGAATAACGCAGGCAACGTCAGGTTCGCAGGCAGCGAACAAGAACGACGTCGAGAAGTGTTTTTGTATCAGCTCAACAAATACACCCAGTGTTCTCCCATAAAGCGCGCCAATTGCCAGCGAGGGCAGAATGATCCCCGCCGGAATTCGCAATCCGAATGTAATGCTCGCAAGCAAGAAACCCAGTAATGAAGCCGCGACCAAGAGCCATGCCATAGACAGAGCCCCTGCAGTTGTGGCACGACAGAGACCAAAAATATCGTTGTTCCCGATAGTCGCACACTCTGCAAACAGATAGTACACCAATTCAGACAACTGAGCCCGCATGAAGAGGTTCGGGTAGTTGATGACGGCAGAGAGGGCGGAGACAACAAGTATTTCGAGAAGCGGCTTGTTGTGAAACGGATAGTTTGTAGATTTACGCAGTCTTGCCACGAACATGTTTAGTTTGATGAACAATCCACCATATACTCCGCCGATGACTCCGAGGACAATGAATGGCGCAAGTTCAAAGCTGTGCCACCTAATCGTGTAGGTGACTTGGTAGAGGACGATTTTGCCAGTATGGAAAGGATTCAACGCTTGAAGCGTGACTGCTGCCACCATCGCGCAGACAAACGATTGCCACATAGTCTTGTCCGGGAAGTAATATGAGAGCTGCTCAAGTGAAAACAGCACACCACCGATTGGCGCGCCAAAGGCAACTGAGATACCAGATGCGGCTGCGGCGGAAAGGACTTCTCGCTTTCGAGCTTCGTTCTGGCTCAGCGACTCAAATGGCTTCATGATGAGATTGGCGCAGCAGCAAGCCAGGTGGACGAATGGGCCTTCTTTTCCAAGCCACATGCCCGAAGAAACTGCAAGGATCTGTGTGATGTCAGGTCAAATACCAACAGGTCTCTCGATGAACCCACCAAACCAAAAGACTTTGTGACCAGAGTCCATGTGCCGAGAAATCTTCTGATGACGAATCCTCCCAGGACGGTCTTGATTTCCGGTATGCCACTGTGTTGGGCATAGATCGAATAGTGTTTGACAAGGACCGCGGCTGAGACGGCAAAAAGTATAGAAAAGACAATGAAGAAAATGTAGCCCATAATGAACTGGCCCGCCTTTGCTCTGATACCCAATGCTGCAGGCCATGGTGTCCAATCCTGACATTGAGTGAATTCATCATGGCCCCAACAGCAGAATTGCTTATTGAGATAGAAGTCGCCTCCGCCAATTCCTTTCTTGCAGTAACCTGTCTTGATATCGCCCAGCCAGTCTGAGGCAATGTTGACGAAAGCTGCGACGCAACCCACCGAGATGCCACTTGCGACGAGGACAAACCAAACGTGACTGGCGTCGAGTAATTGCCTCAAGTTTCCAACAATGCCCGTATCATGTGCCAGGAACTTTCTCAGTCGTTGCCGCTCTTTTGTATACTCATAGATCCAATCGATTGCAGTCAGGTCGTCGTAGCCCACTCGCCTGCCTGGCCCCTCAACGTACCAATCAAGTGGGCCATCATCCTTCTGACCGACGTGTTCAGGATTGTGAGAACCACCTCCTTCAATGGTGGTGCTGGTATCACTTGCCTCCCCGTTCACAGGGAGCCTCACAGTTGTTACTGTCGAGGGTGTCTTGTTCGCATGCGGTGATGGAAGGGGAGAAGGGTCTATAGGGCGAGCCGGTGATTTTGAGTCAGATGTATCGGGCAGTCTAGTCCCAGATATCAGCAAAGCCATGCGCCTCTTTTTGAGTAAGTTACCTTGAAGAGATATCACCGTCCTCCGCAGACATCAAGTCAAGGTGAGATTCATTGCGGTCGGCGGGTGGTCCTGCCATGCTTGTGAAGTTTTGAAGACTCGTCCGCGCTTCCGTAGGTACTCATTATCGTGACAGCACCAACATGCCTAGGTAGCCACCCACAAACGTCAACATTGACTGGGTTGAAGACATGGCCGGCACTCACTTCACGAGGACGAAGTACGTGATCGGCTTGGCAAGGCTGACGTTCAGCCTTGGGGCAACGTCAATAATTTTTGTCACAGATTTCATCCCCTCTCTCCAGTCGACACCTTCGCGACTTTTTGCTCACCGGTCACCGCGATGTCTCTAGCTATACCCCAGGCCTCCCAGTCGGGGCTTTTCAAGCCTGGCTACAACAGCTATGACGCTGAGGATGGTGCCGTGATACGAAATGTAGGTCGTCTCTCAACCCCTCAGGCCACTCACGTTCTAACTCGTCTTTACAGATCGATGCGTGCAGAACAATTGCCCAGACCGTTCAAACCTCACTTGGTCCATATGGCCGCAACAAAATTGTCATTAACCATTTGTCCAAGATGATTCTGACTTCCGACGCTGCAACCATCCTTCGTGAACTAGACGTTGTGCACCCCGCCGCAAAATTACTGGTCATGGCTAGTCAACAACAAGAGGCGGAGATGGGAGATGGCACAAACATGGTCATTATTCTGGCTGGAGAACTGCTCAAGAAAGCCGAGGAATTAATACGAATGGGTCTAAAAACAAGCGATATCGTGTCTGGGTATGAGAAGGCACAGACCTATGCTCTGAAATGCTTAGAAGGTACCAGGGCACTACCCGTTATCCTCTCAAGAGCGAAATACTGACAATGGGCCGATAGACTTGGAAGTTGACACCGTCTCTGATGTTCGGTCCGCCGCCGAGCTCAGCAAAGCCCTCCGCACTGTCGTTGCTTCAAAGCAATCTGGCTCCGAGGATCTTATTTCGCAGTTGATTGCCCAGGCCGTGCTGGCCGTGCTACCCAAGAATCCGGCAAATTTCAATGTCGACAATATCCGCGTAGTGAAAATCATGGGCGGAGACCTCGCTTCTTCCCAAGTCGTCAAAGGCATGGTCTTTGGCCGCGAACCGGAAGGTCTGGTGAAGCGAGCGAAAAAGGCGAAAGTCGCCGTGTTCTCATGCCCGATCGACATCTCCCAAACAGAAACAAAGGGAACCGTTCTGCTAAAGAACGCAAAGGAAATGATGGCCTTCTCCAAAGGCGAGGAAGCCCAGCTTGAAAACGCCATCCGAGAAATCTACGATACGGGAGTTCGCGTGTGTGTTGCAGGCGCGACTGTGGGGGAACTGGCTATGCACTACCTGAATCGAATGGGTATCCTCGTTGTCAAAATTATGTCGAAGTTTGAACTTCGACGCCTCTGCAGCGTGTGTAACGCCACCCCTCTGGCCCGCCTTGGAGCGCCCATGCCCGATGAAATGGGCAGCATCGATGTCGTCGAGACCACTGAAATCGGTGGTGACAGAGTAACCGTCTTCCGCCAAGAGTCTGAGACAGCGACGACACGTACAGCGACCATCGTGCTGAGAGGCGCAACTCAAAACCATCTCGACGATGTGGAGCGCGCAATTGATGACGGTGTCAACGTTATAAAAGCGGTAACAAAAGATCCTCGACTTGTTCCAGGCGCGGGTGCAACGGAAATGCAACTTGTGGAGAGAATCAGCCATTTCGCAGACAAGACGCCAGGCTTACCGCAGTACGCCATCAGAAAATATGCGGAGGCGTTCGAGGTTGTCCCAAGAACGTTGGCAGAGAGTGCCGGACTGGATGCTACAGAGGTAGTAGCAAGGTTGTACACTGCCCACCAACGCCGAGTAGGATCCAGTGAGGAGGTGAAACGCCGGAAACAAGCAAACGGCGAACAAGACGAAAGCGACGACGACGACGAATATGACGAAGAGAACGACGATTCCGACGACTCTGCAGAATCCGACGAATCGGAAGAACCTTACTGGACAACGGGTATCGACCTGGAAGTCAGCGACCCATCCGGTGTGCTGGATGCTCTGGAAGAAGGCATCCTGGACCTGATGGTGACCAAGTCGTGGGCGATTCGACTTGCCACGGAAGCGGCGAGAACGGTTCTGAGCGTTGATCAAATCATCGTCGCGCGGCAAGCTGGAGGGCCCAAGCCACCAGGGCCCAATCCGAACTGGGACGAAGATTGAGGGGTAGAAAACAGGAAGAGGCAAAGGAAAAGGGGAATGAATAATGGTTTTTCTTAGAGTTGATTTGATGAAAGAACAAAAAGCATGGAGACACGAAATCCATGCGTGCCATGAGCGAACGAGCGTCGAGAAGATGGTATCACGAAGAGCAGCCCGCTTTTATGCCCGGTACGCGCCGCCACGGGAGTCACAAACTCATCCCGACAACTACCTTGAGCAAAATCTTGGAAAGCCGGGAATACCTCACCTGCCAGAGTCAGTGGCGTGGACGTTGTCGAGCGCGATCACCACAGAGCTTACAGTCAGTACTTGTCTGTGTGTGGAACGCCCGTAATGATGCCACACCTCAAGACGGGATTTGGACGGGACACGCAGATGGCTCAGCGCAGAGGCGAGAGAAGGAAGACGCGTCAACATGCATGGAAGGGTGGCAGACAGGAGACTTTGTTCGATGAAAAAGCGTGCGTCGAGGATTGATTGCCCAGATAGATGGCAGTCTCAGCTCTGTGACATCCAGATGCTACAAGAGGCAAGAAAACAAGTGAACCGTGGCAACTAAAAAATAGTGCAGACTGTATTGTAGTTCGCTCGCTGCACGGAGTGATGTTGTTTCCTCATTCACCCATGATATGCATTAATGTGATCCACGCACCTACACAGCCTCCATTCATATTGTGTGATTCCTCAAAGTGCCATGCCATCAGAATTTAGGCATGTTGTCAGCGTCGGTGTGGACCAGGTAGAAGCTAGTATGGCCATAAGGTTGATATCAAATGCATAACATGCATCGCCGCCATCTCCTCTTCCATCACGACCATCCTCCTAACAAAAACGCACCAGAAGTCTATCACTAAGCCAGAGAGAGCATTCATGACTTTGACTTCATTCTTGGACCCCTTTTCTAAGCAGAAATCTCGATGAGTGGATAGTGGCGAATGCGGAGTCTAATCATTTACTCGCAACTATTGATGTTTTGCTGAGTGATCTCAGAAGGGTCGCTTGCTCCGTCTAGACCACGTTAGGAACTAACGGCTAGCATTCGGTAGAGTTCATTTGTCTGTTAGTTCTTGCAGGATCAAGCCCATCGATGGCGGCACTGACGGAACAATATTCATGAGATGGGGTAATGGAAAGCTCTCAACGTGATGATGCGATGAGCTGTCGTCCAACCGTGTTTCAATATGCTAAGTCATTTCAACGTTGTCTGCCATGTAACCTGGATGAGCTGTCGGAAGTCTGACGTTCGTCCGGGATAAGCGCAAGGTGATGTCTGATGCGGATGCGGGTAAACCCTCAACCGCAAAGTCCAGCCATGCAGATGTACATGCTGAGACCTATTGCAAATTTGAGGTGATGCTCGGTCGAACACTGAAGAACTGGACACGACTTGCCTTGCTGTAGGCTGTGGGGTCGTATAGTCATGGTTAAAAACATTAGTATCGCCATGGCGATTGGTGAATTGGCGGTTGTAAAAGCGACGGGCTCTGGTCGTTGCAATTGGTTGTTGTGTCGGGCTCACTCTATGAGTTGGAGGAAAATCCACTGCCTGATGGCTCTCTCCTACTAGCACGCTTCCAAGCATCCATGGCGACCGTATATTCTTTCATCTGGTCTTCATAGCGGTCGTCCCACAGCTTCCTGTTGTCCGCACTAAGGCCATCCCATTCTGCCTGGATACGAGCAGGAATTTGCTCAGGAGGGTAATCATCAGCTTCTAACTGTGGTCTCATGTGCATTGTAAATTGCACATAGGGTGCTTCTGGTCGTTCTGGGCGTACCGGTGCTCCTGATGAGCGCGCAACACCGTTCGCACCGACTTCTGGTGCAGCGGGTAGGCTTGGTGGTCGTTGCTGACTCGGCGACTCGTAGGGCGCTGGCAGGTGCTGGTTGCCTGGAATAGGAGATGATTGCGGATATGACGCGTCAGGAAATTGTTGCTGGGATCCGGGGTTTGCAGGTGCTTGTGGAGTGGAGGAGTTGATACGGAAGGACGAGGTAAGTGTAGCGGGATCGTGAGGAGGGACTGGGGAGAAAGAGCTCGCGGGAGCAAGGTTGGGCAACGTGGTTTGTTGATACATGTTCGGTGCGGCCTCTCCAGGCGTGGTCGTGTTCATGATAGCCTCTCGGTACGTGTTGTTGGTTCTCCTCCGTCGCTCAGGTCGCTCGACGGGCTGTGTCGGGTAAGCGTCTGCCATGGAGAGCAAAGGGCTTCCTAACCTCGGGTTCATCTTCATCACTCGCTTCGGAGCTGTCGTCCAGTAAACCTTCCCCATCAGGTCTCCTGCGTTGCAACTCAGGTGCCACGCTGCTACCAGCCAGCTCGGCCAGACTACCGCTGCCATTTGCCAGAACTCCAATCTTATCGAGTTGTTCGGGGGTCAACTTCTTGGCTGGAGCAGTCATAATGTCCTGCAGGTGATTGAGAAGGATGGCGCGCAGCAGGCGCATCTTCTGGACGTGTTCCGTTTCTTGGATTATTCTCTTTCGGGTAGCATCATTGTTGGTCTCGATCTCAGCAAGCCGCCGCTTGAGCTCGATACATTTCTTGCGGTAGGCGAGCTCTTGTGTGGGCGCAAGGGGCGCGTTGCGATGAAGGGGGAGATCGCCCGCTGGAGGGAAAGGCGTATCTTTGGTGTCCATTTTTCAGAGTGAGACGGAGGAGAAGTGTCGCTCAGGTCACAGGAGCATTTGAACAATACCCCTGAAGTTATAGATGAGAATCGATTGATGGTCAAAGCTGAGAAAATATGAACGAGTCCCTTTTGAAGCCACCAAGGGTTGTTTTTGAAAGTGGAATTCAAGTCGATGGCGTCTTGAATCGCGTTGACAGAAACGCAGGAGGTGCATTGGGTTTTTGAGGAAAGTGCGCCGAGAATGAGTTGTGGTGAGAGCCCTGGAGCCACTGCGTAACGAACTCACTCGGCCACTCAGCCTCTCACAGCCATTCACATTGTCCACATTGGCATCTGTTTGCACTTGATGATCTGTACGATGCGCTTGTTACAGGATTCTAATTCTGACATTGATATGTCAAGAGAACCTTTTTAATCCGAGAACGTCCCAAAGATCGTCTCTACGTGGCCATCTCTCACGACATTTTCTCCCATGTCCATCAGGTAGGCACAGGCAAGTTCTCTCTCTTTACTGAGACCACACTTCAGCCTTACTAGATAGTCTGGATGACCCTCCATTACATGTCACATGCGCCTCCAGGCCGAGCAGCACTGCGTGAAAATTTCATCCATGTGCCCTTGTGGTGTGATCAGTTGGTGTCGCCGTTCCTCCCTTATCTGCGCCCTCACTGGATTTGAAATCCCTAGTTCCTTCCATACGGGATAATCGGAAGAGTTGAATACGAGAGACGTCTTGAAGCGTGATTGAGAACAGCAAGGCTTTTCAGCTGCCCAGAAACCGGAGAGATGCTCCCTCTTGAATGATCCAATCTGTCGTCTTCACACTCCACCCAACTGGACGGGTGTTCGCGGTGCCCCGAGTCCGGCAACCTTGGCGATCCAAAAAGGGATATGGAAGTTGAGTTGCTAAGCGAGGCCTTCATTGTTCGACCACGCAGAGCTCGTCTACAGCCTCCCAACTCATGGTCGAGGATATCGATCCAAACCTTTTCTACATGGCCCCCACCAAGATCAAGAGGTTTGACGAGTTTAAGCCCCAGATGATATTCGACCATGACATTGCCTCGATGGGTATTAATTGTGTCAGGCTGGCTCTGCCATAGTTGTACAATCGTCCTTCGCCTCCAGCTTTGCGGTGCTTGTCCATCTGCTGTTAACGACAGAGTGCCGACGACCTTCTTTTGCTCACTATGAGTCCCTGGACTACATTGCCCCAGTCATGGGAGTTGGAGGATGTTCAAGCAGTCCTGAATGTCTTTGTGACAGCCCTAAGTGGCATGACTATATTCGTATTCACCCGCTGCTACTGGTCACTCGGGGCGCGACAAGCTGCCAAAGGAAAGGCCGTGCCTGTATCGTCCCTGCTCAGCTTGAACACTCCAGGCGAGGCTATCGATATCCTCCTCCTGTTGAAATCTCATGCCTTCCAACATTGGAATATTGTCGCTCAGAGCCTCGTTGTCATTGCTCTCTCAATCACAACTATATTGTCTGGTCCTATTGCCAAATACTCAACAAGACTGACCGAAGTCGTGGTACACACGGAGGTCAACGGACATCTTGCGCAGAGAACAGATAACAGCATGCCAGTCTCACAAGTGCCGTGGAATCTGACCCAAACGAGTCTCGAACGTGCCAATTTTCCGGTTGACCAACTGCTGGACTACATCCCCGACACTTCAGATTTTTGGGTCTACCGTCCTGACGAATGGAACAACACTTGGAGTATGAGCTGCGAGACCGTTGAGTCAACGCCAGTGACCCTGTACCTCACGTCAGAGTGCGATACTTTGACAGGGAAGTTTGGCGGTGCAATAGAAGATGAAATATTTCCTGCATTTCTAACCAGTGACTACGGCTATTACGACGCTGGAGATTTCTACACCAACGCAACGTTTATCAAAGACTTGCTTGTCTGTATGTATGCGGCCAACTACTCAAATTGGGATGAAGCTCTCAGCCATATCGGTACATACCGCATGGTGAATATGTCCATGGTAGCTTTGCACGTTCACCACGCACCGAAGAATGCGTCTGATGATTACGCCCCATGTCGGTTTGGTGAAGGTCCGGTGGGCTCTGCTTCATATACGCGGGTCGATTGTACTGTCCAGCTCACCAACGATCGCATACCGGATCCAGATTGGATAGGATTCCCCGATGTTGACGATGTTTTTAGCATTCCTTCCGCAATGGTAAACAACTACTTCACACGCTTCAAAGACGAGTCAATGGCAGACCAGAAGATTTCCACTATCAGCGCAAGAGAGCTGCAACGTTTCTATCAGACCTACATGATCACAAAAGACACTCAACGGAAGCGGGCAGTCAAACGGACGATAAGCGTCCGTGTTCCTGCCGTACAACTATCCAATGCATTTATTGCGGTGTTTAGCCTTCTTGCTGCCTTCATTTGCCTCGGGGGACCGGCCTATGGTCTCTTCCGTTTTATACATCGACGAGCCATGGACTCATTGCCGCAGACAAAGCTTGATTGGTTGTTAGAATGCATCATGTCGCGGTCTCCAAACCCAAGCTATGTGGGTAGTCGAGGGCCAATACCATCGACCGTCACCAAACCCCAGGCACCAGTACCCTGGCATGTACGAGCAGACAGGAAAAGGGCCCAGTTTGAGGCCGCGACTTACAGCACAAAGTGGGCGGAAGAACCCCCTAGCTCACCCTACGATTACGACGTCCACGCAGTATCACCAGTCCTCCCGGATAAAGTACCTTCAGGTGGTCGAGCACAGCCGAATCTCGGCTTCTGGAGTCCACACCCACAAGAAAACAGACCAATGTGAGGTGGAGAAGAATATGTGCATGTTGAATCTGGCAACTCAAGTTGAGTGAGGCAATGACAAGGAATTGAATTGGTACCGATCTTCTCGCGGAAAGATTCACAGCGGTTCTTGCCAAGTGGGAAGTTGCTCCCAATTACAATCTTTCTGATCGGCCTGAGCTTGGATCAAGAGCACTATCACAATTCCTTTGCAACCAAGCTCTTTTAAGCAAGACGGTGTTCGAGGTTGGCTTACTGTTATCCAGTCGCTAAGCTTAGGCAGGGATTGCTTTCACATGCGTTTTGTGTCATGATCTGGTGACGACGGGAGGCATGCTCGAAGCTGCTAGAGGATACGACACTGTCTTCTCCTAATTGATAATTGAATTCAAGTCTGGAATGGTCCTTTTCGCAAGCCCCACGACCTGCCTGATCATGAAGTGCAGCACAATATGTGTATCATTTTCGTCTAATCACTTGGGTTCTGGCAATGCAGTTCGCCCCATTAAGGATGGACGGGCATGCTTGGGAAAGGATCGACTATTACTCGGAGTCATGATATCACCAAACTGGTCGTGAATTCTCCCTCGTGGCTGCCTCAGAAAATATCGGACGGAATCATACGAGACCGATGCAAAGGGCAGACTGGTCTCTGAACCAGAATCATTCCCCTGCTCGGTAGCGGGAGACTTTGTGGCTGCTGACTGAGGATGGAGGGATCTGATTTCCAATAGTCATGGCTCCAACTAGTATTCGTACTCGTAGAATCTACTGTCATCACAGAAAATCTCCGAGAAAGCTTGTTGATCCTATCTTCTCAAACGGTGATTCCCCAGAAGAGGCTCCTCCGGACCAGGGTCCTCGTGCATCTTGGCTCCTTCTGTTAACGTCTTCGGTGCATGAACAGGAGGGGGAGACGCTTCGGGGAGGCGGACGCGATTCTACAGGTGCATGTCCCGTATTCAAAGGCGTGTGTGTGGCACGATAGTTCCCGTTTGGGGTGGAAATGAGCATCAAGTGCGTGGTCAGACATGGTAGCGTCGGGAGGTACAGCTAGTCATCCAGATCGCAGATACTCTTCACTTCTCGTTAGCATTCTGTCGGATTGTTCAGATGGTTTTACTCTGTCCTTCACGCCGGCCATCAACAAGCAATTCTTTACAGAGCAGGTCTTTCGTTGTTGTTGGCGGTCTTCGGCGAGAATGACTGCAAGCATGGCCGCTCTGTGTCAGACCATGCCATTTGACTTGTCTTCATCCCACGCGGCTGGCAGTGGCGCTCTGACAGTTGCCTGAGGAGTCTCCCTCGTGGAGAGGATGCCGGGATCATGGGTGTTGAACTTGTCTCTGAGAGAAATCTCCACACACATTGTACAGGAGGGGAATTTTGAGGGTATTTGCCAAACTAATTGTTGGCTGCGCAGCGAATGAGAGGGCAAGAAAGGCATTTTGCAGAAAATGGCCTGTTCAGGGGCCGCTGCCAAGCGCCCTGTCAGAGCCATTTCGGGAAACATCCATCGCATCCAGAATCCATCTCCACGTCTCTGTGCCTCGCGCTAATCGCACCGTCTGCCTCTTCTCGCGTATCCTTGGTCAGTCCTCCCTGCCACCTTCACACCATACACGATGTTTATCACGCTCTTCTAGTCAAAAACCCCCTCTGCAACGGCACGCGTCGGAGGCAAAGACTGAGTCCTGACCAGGTTGGATATTGGTTGGACCCCCCCAGAATGGCAAGACTTCGCCCAACAAGTGCCGACCCGGCAACTCTCGCTATGCATCGATGCCTGTTTGACTCGGAGCGCCCACGGGGAAGGGGAAAAAACCAGGGAAAGAAAGAGCTCGACCTGCAAGAGGGGGAAAAACCGTTGGACCTTATAGCGCTTGCTTTTCCTCTCGATTCCTCGAAAACGAGCCTCGTCATGCAGTATTTGCCTTTTCATCAATGTGATATCGATTTCTGATACCTTTTTTATGTCTGTTTGCCTTTGGCTATCCCACCAGTGTCAGCCTCGCTGCAGTAATTGGACAGCGCCCGCGTCCTGCTATTGGACCCCAACGGCAGACCAAGCCGTATTCTATTCATCATGAATCAAGTTCCAACAGATCTTCTACCTCACGATTCGTACGTGGGAGAGATCTATCGAGTCAACATATCCTTTATCTGTGTCAATTCCGTCATCATCATCATACGCTTGATCGTCAGAGGCTTCGTGGTGAGACAGGTGGCTGTTGACGATTTCCTCATGGTGGCGGCTGGCCTCTTCGCTGATGCCTTCTCCGCTATGTCGATAGTTGGTAAGTTGGCGAATCCAACCCGAGAGACGATTGTGTTTGTCTGACAACAGCAAAAGGCATACGATATGGCCTAGGGAAACACATCTATGACCTCCCGCAGGACTCCAGATTGGTTGACAACACAAAGAAAGTGATTCAGGTCATAAAACACCTCCTTCTTCGATAAAGAATAAGCTGACAAGCAACAGACCTTGTGGACATGTCAAATCATGTACGTGACAGCCTTGATGCTGGTCAAGATATCCATCGTTACTTCGTATCTTCGAGTTTTCCCGACTCCTACCTTTCGGAAAATCATGTATGCTCTCGGTGTGGCCATCATCGCGGTCTGGATCTGCAGTATCCTCGTTACCATCTTCCAATGCCATCCGGTCCGCGCGGCTTGGGATTTTACTCTTCCTAGAGACTGCTTGCAAATCGTCTCGTTCTATTACTTCACCACCGCTTTTTCGATATTCACCGACTTCTTGCTGTGTACCCTCCCGTTGCCAGTCTTTTACAGGCTTAAACTACCAGCGAGGCAAAAGTATATCGTGTCTTTACTGTTTGCCATTGGCTTGTTCGCAACCGTCGCATCGGCTCTACGCATAAGTGTCCTCAGGAGTGTCGACAGCCTGGATGTCACCATGGGATCAGTATCCACAATGAAATGGTCGGTGGTTGAGGTTGGCACGGGTATCGTCTGTGCATGTATACCTTGCCTGAAGCCTCTTTTCAAGGGGTTTTTGCCAGATAAGACCTCCGCCAACAGGTCTGGTCACCGCGCCGATGGGCCGAGTGTGCATACGCCTCGGCTGGGAACCGCGCACGAAGAGCGGCACGAGCTGACCAAGCCCTCGGAAGGCTGGACGAACTTTAGTCGGCAAACACTGACTTTGAAACAAGGCCCGATGGTGACGGCAAAGAACTTCGTGTAACACCAAAGTGTCACAAGAATGGCACTTTGGCCCATTTGGAGCCAGATGAAATTCCCTTCGCGACTGCTGCATTTTCGGCCCAGAAACAGAAAAGTCACCATATTTGCTTTCTATAAACAGGACCCGCGCAAGCAACCCCATGTCCTAGAGATCACTTGATCTGACATGAACATTTGGAGTTTGGTTGATGCCGTTCTTCATACTATTATGCCCGTCTCGCGCTGCACTGGGACTCCCTTCTCTGCGGCGATACTGTCTGTACGATTCCAAACTATATATGGGAGCGAAGCTGTCCTGGTCGCAGACTTGACCCCGAAGGGATATACCACTTCCAAACGCAAAGGAAAACGCAGTGGAAAATTGCAGCTCTCACGAGACCACGACAACTTTTACGAGACGATATTACAGTCTCCACTGAACAGAAACAAACGGGACGACATTGGAGAGCTGGCTTTCCTTGGTGTGGATGATATTTTCGAAATCTATGTTTGGGTAACTGGTTGAGAAAGGTCTCAATCTGCGTTGATAAGCGGGAGTGGAACAGATGTCTCAAGGAGTCGACCTTTTTCCTTCTACGTATGTATTTTCCTACTCTTGTGATATGTGTATTCCCGGAGGATGGGTCTCGTTTTGGCATCTGTCTCAGCGAGGGTTCGAGATGTATGCATGGGGGAAATGTACGAGGTACCGTTCAGCCCAACGGAAGCTGGCGGCGGCGGCTGCGGATGTCTCAGTATCTCCCTTTTTCTCCTTTCTCTATCCCTAATTCCTCTAGAATGTCCTTTCCTTTTCTCAAGCTGTCGTGCGAGGATGAGGTCAGGGCAATATGCGGATTTTCCCATGTCTATTCCCAGCCAGTCTATGTATACGGAACAGGGCAACTTGGGAACAACAAGTCGACATTTATTATCATGATGTACTTGGACACCAGAAATAGCCACCTTTTTTTTTAATGAAGAGGTATGGGTATTCTCGAAACCCCGCTTGAAAATCCAAATTATGTGGTATGTATGTATATGTGTTTGCAACTGATGTATATTGTCATGAACCGCCAAGTACACCACTCAGGCTTTGAGTCTTAGTCAAGATATACTATCAAGGAATACCTATACCTATTACCTATCGCTACCCTCTGCCTATCTACATAGGCAGTCCCTGATACCCCACTCCTGGTTGTATGAAGGCTGTTTCCAACAAGTATGCCGATCTGTACCTAGTGCTAGGGCAGCTACAGAATCTAATAAATATATACCTAAATTACGCTTTTCAAGAGCACGGGGAGCCTTATCCATAGTGGTTTATGCTATCAAAGAGAGTAGTGGTGGAGGTATACTGTTGAGAAAAGGAGGCATCAAAACAGGACGCGATTTGACGCGGTGCGCGCCCTGCGGGGGTGCGCGCGAGGTGGTGCCCGACGTTAGTCGAATGGCACGTGGCATGCCAAGACTTTGGAAACTATTTTGGCCACTCGAGGCATACTACCCTTGTAACATAATATCTGCTTGCCCGCCAAAACTCTGACAGTTATCCAGCTATGTCTCTTCACATTTCTAACATGCCCTTATCATCTTTAAGTCTTTGGGTTGAAGACCAACATCACCTGTCTCAGGAGCCCGCGGGCTCGGAGAACTTATCGAGAGAATATCAGACACAAGAACAAGCGGTGCAAGACACAGAGGATGCGAAGTCTGATAACATGGAAGTCCAGGAGCCCAGTGAACTCGACCTCATCTCGGAAGAAAAAGCTGCAAATCCCGACTAGGCCCTTAGTAACGATCTTACCCCAAGAAAACGCCCTTCTCAGCTCTCAAACAGCAGCTCATCTCCAGCCCCATTTGCCACCATACGAATGGTCGTTCTGGACAGATGCTTGCCTGCGGGGCCCCAAACCGGTTAAGCTTGACGGATGCGGCTTCTGCGTCGTACACCGTCGTCTCGACAATAGCGACCCTGGTGATCGAGACTTTACTATCACATGGTGGCAAAGCTGCTTTGTGGCACGCAATGTCCATCAGATAGGACACGCTGAAATGCTTGCGGTAGCGCAAGCCTTGGAGATGGCCGTCGACCAATGCGAACGTATCTCCGGTACCGTCGTCACTAAAGCAAAAATAAAAATGCCAGGGGCGGCTGAGGACATAAAGCGTCGGGCAGCTACTATTCCCTGGCCGATGCCGAAGGCGGTGAATGTGTTCACGGATAGTCAGCAGGTGTTGGATTCCTTCGATAGCTGCTGGCTTTCTGGCAGAACGCCAGCTCGGCGGTCACCAATGAGGCATGCCAACGCGATGATTGAAGCGCTTAGCGATTTAGGTGTCAGAGTGCATCTTCAGTGGGTTCCAGGCCATGCCGGCGACGTCCGTAATCGTTGGGCCCATGAAGGAGCTCGAAATGCACTCAAACCGCAATACCATGGGCGGAAAGTGTACACGAGGAAAGTGCACCGCGTTCACCGGAGGCGTCACAAGGACGGAACTGTCACACGACCCTCCACGGCCACTATTGAGAAAGGAACCTGAGCCTGCAGCACGACAGCGGTGTAAATTACGAGAACCAGTAGACCTCGAAGATTCGTCAATTTGAGGCAATCGAGTTGCACACGTCCAAACACCATTCGGTGATGGGAAGACTGAGTGAAGTTGCAAATTGCAGAGTCGAGTGTCTCGACCAGGCTTTTAAGCCAACATCCGAACGCCTTGATCAGGATTCGAACCATCATGGGTAGACAAGTCGTGCCCTGCTACCCATACCATTCTCCAGCAAAGGATGTCCCTCACCTGAGTATTGATGATGAAATCTTTTAGCCCAATCTGCATCAGTGTGGTGGTGACCCAGACAGGCAAGGAAGGTATGTAATGGAAGTATTGAAGATCGAGACATGAAAGCTCGGCCATGGAAAGAGTAATTGAACGATACACGCAAAAAGCACGAAAAGCAGGATCAGACTTGGAAATCTGCTCGGCTTGACAATCGAACAATAACTGGATACAGTGCGAGGCTGAGCTATGTGAAGGATATCGAATTCTCTTTGCGTGGACGTTCTTGTCGGCTTACACAGGTCTTTGCAAATAATGCATCTGCTCTCCTTGCCCCCGGATTTCGCCCATGCCCCGTTGAGGTGAGAATGTCTCCATAATGCGCTTTTCAAAATTAGGATTGCGAACAGTCGGTATGATGGGATCGGATAAAGACCTTTTTGACTACTATTATTCCAAGTCTGTGAGCTACAAAGATGAGAGGCCTGGCTTTGGTCTTCACACTGTATTAGTGCACCTTTATGCCCAAAATTGTCTATCAATCGCCTCGTTCCTTCTGAGTTGGCCTGAGCATCCATATTCGGTTCAGCAAATCGAGAGCGAAGTCTTTAATCCCAGCCTTAGAACGACCGAGGAGCAGGCTTGAGTCGTATCTGAAAGTCCGGTCTCGGCATCTTTCCAGGTCTCTCTAGCCTTCCCATTTAGTCCGTAAACGCGTAAACGGTAACGACACTGCAAGGTTAGAGAAAACAGAGCTTCGATAGATCAGTAGGCTGGGAGCTCGAGTCCAGAATTGTTGACGTGGAGCGACTCCCTTCGGGCATAGAACGGCGCAGGAGATACATAGACCGTCGACATCGACTGGTACGCAAGTCCGACCGCCCCATGATTTGAAACAATCATACTATTTCGCAACGCTTGAGTGCAGTATAGCTTTCAGAACGTGAGGTGCAGGAGTGGCTTGCCTGATTTAGCGAGTGTCCAATTGACATTGTCATGCACTCGTCTACATCTGGTGATCTCACGCCAAACCGCCGACACGATTCCGATTAACCAATTACACTAGACAGATCCTGTCATCTATAGTATAGTATTCGATAAGCCAAAGTCTTCTCTTACCTTGAAGGGGAAAAAATGTGTGGGGGGAGGGAGAGGGAGATAGGGCGGTCCTGTGCTCGTCCAAGTGTATATAAAGTTCACGTAAAGTTCTCTCCGTCATCCGATCGGTATCCGCGCTGCTGCTGCTTTTCCAAAATCAAAACTCAAAATCACAAGGGATAGATAGAAAACGAGATTGCACAGTTTTTACCCCATCCCACGATTTGACCCCCTCTTTCTTTCAAGGGAGGAGAATACTCGAAACCGAGCAGCTCTGGGTGCCAGGACAGACGTTCGACCTGGCCAGATCTTTGTCCCTGGGCCCGGTGGGACCGGCGACGTATTTGCGCTCGCCGAAGATGTCAATCTGGCCCGGCGTGCTGTCGGGAAGCTGGTTGTCGCCCCACTGGCCCGCAAAGTCCAGGTAGGCGGTGGGATCGCGGGCGTTGTACGCGGCGAAGACGCCGGTCGCGGTGTCGTAGCTGTAGGCGTACCCGGTCGCGAGGGGGTCCCAGAAGACGCCGGCGTCGGTGTGGTCCTCCAGCGGGCCCCCAGGGAGGTTGAGGCCCGGGATCGTGTGGTCGTGCGTCCCCGGCGTGGCGTAGTTGGCGTGCGTGCCGTTCGCCACGTACACCACCGGCCGGTCGCCGTTGTTGTACTTCTGCACGGCGGAGTAGGTGAAGGCCTCCCCGGAACTGTGCTGGCTGAACCACATGGCCATGGGCGCGCCGTTGACGAAGCGGACCATCGTGTGCTCCCAATCACCGACATGGTCCCCAAACTCGAGAGCGGGGAGGCCCAAAACCCAGTTTCCTTGGTTGTAGGCATAGAAGTAAAAGTAGAATGCGTCGAGGATGTTGTTCGGTTTGGAGACGGTGACGATGAGGCTCACAACAGAGGAGCCTGTTGAGCCAGAGGCATCAGGCTCGACACCTCGGAACCAAGACGGGAGAGCCTCGATGCCTTCATTCGATGTGAGGTAAACGTCCGTTCCGGAGGAGGCAAAGTTATTGAGACTATTGAGATTGTCGAGGGTTAGGGGTGCAGGGACACCGGCGATGTCGTTTCCTGTGCCATCTTCGGGATGTGTGTGGGTTACTTGATCAGCGATGGAGCTGGGGAAGTAGATTTCTGAGGAGTCAAGATATGCCACCGGCGCTGGAATAGGCTGTGTGTCAGCTCCCCTCCAGATGTGAGAAAAGAGTATTGAGAGAGAGAGAGAATACCATATTGGCGGACAAAAGCTGGCAGGTCACGTTTGTCAAGGTGTTTCAGTGGCGATGAAATCGATGCTCTGCCGAAAAGCAAGACCAGGGATAGGTAGTAAGAAAACATTGTGGAGCGTTTACCCAGAGCACCATGCTTCTCAAATGTGCAGGAGGAAACACTCGATATTTAAGACAGTTCCAGCACTGGTAAAGAGACATCGCTTCTGCCACAATCAACAACTGTGGGTTACCTTCAGGGATCAATCATCAGCATCTCAATTTGGACGATCTGTACCCGTAGCTCGCGACGAAGCCTCAGTGGACAAGATGCATACTGAAAGAAACACGATTGACAAACCAGATACGGGCTGGCGCGTGACATAGTGTCATGCTCGTCCATGTTTGGAGGGATGACCACGAATAAGCAAGTATAGAGCAGTGTCAGGAAGGCCACGCATCCTGGTAAGCGAAAGCATCGAGGGGTGTTCAATGACAGGCATGGGACCAATCTCCGAAGTAAAGACCAATCATGTTGCACGCAAGTCGAACCCATGAACAGGCCAAACTAACAAGCAGGGATCCATCCCAGGGCTTAAATAAACGTGCATATCAAAGATGCTTCGATTCGCAGGAAGGCCAGCGTTCGAAACCTGAGACTTCCACGGCCCTGCGGTCTTGCATTGGCGTTAAAATTGAGACATATCCTTCGGAGATTCATTCTTGACACTCTAGCCTTGACGTTCAGAATCAGCTGGGGTGCGCTTGGCATCGAGGCACGTGATAGACTTGCTGGCGGCAAGATGAAGCCGTAGAGCTGCTTGCATGAGAAATCCCTCTGAAGCAAACAAAAGACTGATCGGAAATGGCCGGACTGATGTACCTGCAAGCCGATGGTCTCGGTTGTGGAAACAAGAAAGGATTCGTGGTCTTGATATTGAGGACAACTCTTTGAGATACTGCGCCTCGATTCCGATTCTTTGATGCGATATGTACAACGGTTGCACTGGGGCCCAGAGAGACCTCTATGCACTTCAACTCCCTCCCCCTCCGCTTCAATCTTCCACTCTACCACAGCGTCTTGTGACCGAAGAGAACGCGGGTCATTCCGTACACGGAGAACGTGAGGCTGCCCAAAAGGATCGTGTAGTATGGATAGAGGATGAACGGGCTCCGATGAGTCTGTGAGAAGATTGTGTTAGCGAAGCTGATCGGCAGGTAGAGCAAAAAAAGGTCTGAGAACGTCTGCAATGATAAGGCTGAGACCAGAAATCGAATTGAGATTGAGGGGTGCTAAGGACTTCATGGGACGGGATGGTTGATTTCTGTCCAGGACAATCCGTTGAGCCTCTAACTGCAGGCAGGAATTGTGCGGTTGTTGCTGAAAAGCGTCCGATATAGCCAGTGTTGCTATTATGGAAGATTCCTTTTCGGAACGTGCGGCGCAAGTCTCATGGTAGTCATGGTCGAGCGCAGAACGCAGGACAGCATGTATAAGGTCAAGATGCTGAGTTGAGCATGCAATGCAGCCCCAAAGTGTTGACTCGGGCACTCTAGGCCAGATGCAAGTCACTGCCGGAGCTGTTGAGCCAAAAAGCCAATTCTCGGAGATGTTACATTTCTTGCAACTCTTTATTCTCTTCGGTTTTGAAAAGAGCGTGCCTTTGCTCCGTTTGAATTTTGGGCTCCAGGGGTTCGCAGAGGCAGGGTGAAGGTCTGATACAAGAAGGTAAGAGTCTACTGACCTTCCACCATTGTCGTTTTCCATCGTGGCCCTGAAATAGACGTTGGTAATAAGGTACACGATTCTCTCGATACACAAAGAACCTGTACACGGAACCGATTAGCTAGACTCCAGTCCTATCCCCCTGGTGCCGCAGCTGGAGGTTCGGAATGTAGGTGGTTTTCCCTTCCACAACGTACCCAGATTTCTGCTGAGCTTGAGCAGGTCTAAACATGCGGGCCCGGGTTGCCTGCATCATTCGGAGAGCTGTGGGAGCAACCATCTTGTCGTTTCAGGAGGGTAAATCACTTGAGTATCGGTGGAAAGAGGTGGAGTAGAGAGATTCAAAGAACTGCACCTGAAGTTCAATTGAGGTTCGGAGATCGCAGGCTCACGCCATGGCACCGCAAGAGCTAGCCGCCAAGCCTTTCTGAGGCACGTGATCGGACTGTATATTTGAAGCAAGAATCTCCTGACTTTTCAATCAAAGAGTTTTTCGGTTACCAGTCTCTTCCTCATTGGCAGCAACTTACCTTTCTTGATCAAGCCTCTTCATCTGGTGGCCATGCAATCCTAGATGCGTTTGATAATTGGTCACGTGTATGCTGCTACATGAGATTATTATGGGGTCGTCTTGAGAGATGCTCCTTGCCGCGATGTCTTCACCACGTATTGTCTAGCCAATGGCGAGCCCGATTACCCCGTTCGTACGTGACCATTGCTTTGAGTCCGTTTTTACCAGTATGGCACCCATCACACGGCCGGCCTATGACGACGACCTCGACCCCAGTATCGAAGCATAGTCCTGACGAGCATCGAGAAGACTATTTCTCAGCCGCTGTCTCCAAGCAATCTCATTCTGATGACGCACAATGGGAGAGCCTCCTGGACCGTGGGCTGGCATACGGTATCAAAACCCGAGATCAGTTGCGCTTCGAGGCAGACGTGGGCCATACGTCGTTCGTTGGCGATCGTCTAGTCGACAAGGCCTCCCATCGTCACGACATAGAGCTTTGGGAGATCTTGTTGATTGCCCAAGCTCTACAAAACGGCCATGATGGAATCAAGGCTATATGGAGAGGAATGAAATTCCGTGGAGAGGCCTTCCGGTTCGAAGGAGATGACCCCCGTGTCGAAGCTCTGTGGAAGACTTTTCTCTCTGCAGGGTCGGAGGACCATCATTTTCTCTGGTCAATCTGCAAGGAAGCCAAGCATTTGAAGTACAAACGTCCAAAGTTGTTTGCAGAGATTGTTGGAGCTGCCTTGGAAGGGTCGGGCCCCCTGGAAGCCTATCAATTCGCATCCTTCATCGGCCAGAAACATTATAAGGGGAGTGATGATCTCCTGGCAGTCTTCTTTGCTGCCTGTCGCTCGAAGGAAGGCAATGCCCTAAAAGGCTTCTGCAGTGTCTACGATGTGGTTCCCAAGACTCGGATCTATTCAGAGGTTACTTCTCATCTATGGAGTCAAAACCGGTCATCTGATGCCTTCATGATGCATTCTTTTTTGATCGCAAGGAGAGACCTGCCACCGCGTTTCGAGCTGCTTGAACCCTACATCAACTACTTAGCTCTGCACAACGAAAGTCTCGAAAATTTTCTCTTGCCGCTGAACCAGGCTGGTGCTTCTTTCGAAGCCCAGGCGAGACGTCTATGGTCAATCGGCAGAAGTAGAATCACGGGTGTGCCTGCAGATTCCCTCAATATCGTGGCAAGCAAGACTATGGGATCAGCACCGACAAAACTCAGCGATCAGTTTGTTGCACGAGCCTTTGCCACTCGGGCATTTTCTTTCGATTTTGCAGTCAATAGTCTGAGGATGATTGGACTTATTGAGGTCGGGCCGCTGGCGGTTCGGCAAATGACCCTGGCTGCACCGGATCTCTCTACCTTACAAGCTCGCTTCCAGAAACTCCGCGACCTCGAAATTGACACTGGATCGTCTGTTTTTGTTCGGCTAATTAGAGATGTCTGTGATGCAGGGCATTGGGAAATGGTCCGAGCGCTCGTGGACAATGATTTACATCACGAAGTATTTGAGGATACCGAGCTACAGAAGCGGCTTTTGACCGAGTATTACCGGACAAAAGACTGGGGACAACTAAATCGTACGCTCATCATTCTCAACGAGGGACACTTTGACAACTACTCTCGTAGTCGATCCACCAACTTCTTGTTGAGAGCAATGATGGAAGTGGGCGACTGGAAGAGCGTTGTAAATTATGTGTCGACTTTACAAGAGCACGGTTTACATATCTCTTCTTCCTTTCCTGAATTTGTCGTGTCTCTCTTCCGAAGCACTAAACAACTCGCTGATGGTGGCGGTCGAGGAGATGTGGACAAAGTTGGATTTCTGATAGGATTGATGCAGAATGTCCTTGCTTCGGGAACAAACTTCAAGATCAAGCTCTGGCGGGCGCCGATAAAGGCACTCGGTCGCCAAGGACGACTGAAAGAGCTGGAGTTACTCGCCTACTGGATATCGGAGTGGTACCGCAGTGGAGGACTTAACGGACAAGTTCTTCAAGTCCCGATGTCCGGCTCAGGGACGAATCTGAACATCCTTTTCGACGACAAGTTCCAAAAGTCGCTCATGTCATGGTGTTTCAGACCTCGCAAAGGAATGGGTGCCGTTTCCCCTGAACGTTGTCTTAGGTGGACCCGCGTGCTCAAGAGGCTTCGGGACGTCTACGGTGTGGAAGTCAAGGAATACGTCATCCGATGGGAGTTTATTCACCGCTTACGACGGCTTTTCGCTGTGGGAATGCGTCTCAAGGCACCAAATGCGTGGATGCGTTCGAGAAACCGCGCCTCGCTCACACGATTTTGGGCTCTATATGACAAGATGTGGGACATGAAACCAGCTGGTCAGGTCAAGTACGATGATCGAATTGAAGCCAGCCTCTACCACCGCAAGCTAAGCCCTCTCAGGAGGAGGCGTTTGATAAGCCACTGGGCGACAAGGCGGACTGAACGAGCCTTGGGCCGGGGACAACAGATTGGTCACGGCCAGAACAAGAGGCAAGAGGGTATTGTTGTGTACAGAGATCTCTTTAATGCGTCATGGGAGGACTATAGACGGTGAATAGCAGATTGAATAATGCTGGTCTGTGAATGTCCATCCAACTCAGTTCATTCTGCCAGACCTTGTTCTGTTCTGTTTCAACTAAAAGCGGCGACTCAAATTTTCAGTTTCTCTTCGAGACTCCAACTCAAACACCTCGCTGCTTTTGTCTCTCAGAGCAACCACAGCGCTAACGTCTTTTGGACTAGTCGGTGGACATATCATTCACACTCACATAACTCAACCCGGTAAGGCGGTCTGACTTTTGTTCCTTTGTCATATTTGTGAGATTTTGTGAAAAAAATGGCGGACCTGGGCGTCTTGAACGAGCTGAAGAATCAGCAACGGCCTGCCCGTCGCAATGACAAGACTTACGGCAAGAAGAAGGGCCAGTCGGCGGAGAGACGTGCGATGCATTTCGACCTCTTTGGCAGAGGTGGCAATGAGAACGACATCGTTGACCAGATGGAGAAACTGACAGTTCACAACGATGTTAGAGAGACACCTTTGCAGCCCTTACCCGAGCTCACTCCTCCTGTCGAGCAAGGAACGGATAATCATCACCACCGGCCTCGAGGACGTCGAAAAATCGCTTCATCTAGGAAAATGGCGGTATGTTTTGCTCTACAGGGCATTCAGCTGAATCTCACAAAATTGACCTTCAAACATAGAACCTCACATGGTTAGAACTTCAACAACTCGAACCACTGCTCTCGCTCGTACAACAAAAGGCTGTCAAGGACTTCCAGGAATTCGGTCGAAGCATCGGGAAGAAGTACATATGCACAAAGCTTGGTGAAGGATCGTATGCCGACGTCTTCAAACTTCAGGGCAAAGACCTCGCAGATATTAAGGATCTAGAGAAACGAGGCGGCCTCATCATCAAAATCATTCCGTTCAAACTGACAAAAGAGAGCAATAACGACATCACCGACCTCGAATCAGTAGCCCGAGAGGTTAGACTGATGCAGTCAGTCGATGCTTTGCACGGATTTGTTCGATGCCGGGGCATTCATATCGTTAGCGGCCAATATCCAGATGTCCTTCTTGAAGCGTTCGACACATTCAAAGCAACCAGACCTGTTTCAGCACATCATACCAGCCCTTTGAAGGACTTCTCTCCACAACAGCTTTACGCGATCCTGGAAATGAACGATGTCGGAAAGCCTATCTATCACCTTAGACCCTTGTCAGCATTTCAGGTGTATGACATCTTCTGGAAGACGGCAATGAGCCTCGCTGTGGCAGAGAAACAAATCGAGTTTGAACACCGCGATATGCACAATGGCAACATCTGCTTCAAACCTTTGACCAAGGATGGCCCGCTGGACGCATCACAGAAAGGCATTGAAGAGATGAGCGAGAGGCCACAAGTCGTCCTGGGAATGTCGAACCTGCAAGTCACTATCATCGACTACACCCTGTCACGCGCCAGGATCAATGCTGGGGATGACAGTGACATCATTGTCTTCGACCCAATGTCGTACTGGGAAACAGAGGCCTATAATCCGGAGACCGAGGCTGAGAAGCGGCAGTGGAGGACGTATCGCCGCGTCCGAGAGTGGGCGAGGGCCGCCGAGCTCGAGGCGCAGGGGGGCGCCGAACTTGAAGGACTCAAATACGAGGCAAGGGACAAGTACGAGAGGTTCCTGCCCAAGTCCAACTTGTTCTGGCTCGGGTACCTCCTGGCCGACATGCTGGCGAAGACCTCTGCTGGCAGGGGTGCCACCTTGCCAGGCAGTAGCAGGGCAGCAAAGACGCTGCAGTTGGAGCTGTGGGGGAAGTTGATGGAGGTGTCGACCTACCTCAACAACGTCACACCGACGTTGTTGCCGGTGGGCACCGACGACCTCATCGCAGAAGCGGTGGAGAAGGGATGGTTGGCGCCAGCTGAGGTGGCGGCCTATAAAGCCCAGATGGAGGAATAGAGGGGGCGGCGGTTTTGTTTCAAATGCATAGCGAGGTGCTGGGGTGGGACGTCGCCGCAAGGCGAATTATCATGTGCCATGAGTAATAAGAAGAATGTCGACCATTCGCACTCCTTCATCGTGTTATCTTCTCCTTGCACATGACGGTTTGCTCCCGAACAACGAATGTGAATATAATATGTAAGAAAGAAAGACGCTGTGATTGGGATGGCAAAGGGAGCACGGATGGTAGGCATCTCGCATATATTTCGACAGTACCGAGTAGAAAGTCGAGTAGAAAGTCGAGGATTGCTGTGACGGCAATGATTGCGGCCACTCTGCTGGGAAAGCCGTAGAGCCTCGGGCGGGAAGCTTAGGCGAATGCCAATACGGCCCCCTTTGATCAAGGATGCGTCATTCACACGTCTTATCCTCCACTACGTATGCCAGTAGGGCGGTCCATCACACGACGTATCTTTATTCGCTCTGCCGATGTGCACATGACTTGGACCTGTTGACGCGACAAATGATGGAATGAGATGAAGGGTTAGATGACTTGACCTCTGACGGCGCTGCCCGTCCTCCTACATGTCCACGATTGCCACCGAACAACCACCCTCTTTCGAGCTTCCACAACTGTCCAACATGGGCTTGTTTCGTTCACGACAGGAATATCAACCCATCCGAGGTAATGCAGAAAGAGACGATGAGAGTATACAAGATGGGTTGGATGAGGATGTTGGGATCCAGACACCTTTCTCATGGGTCGAATACGCCATTTTTCTCCTACTGGGAGTAGCGATGCTATGGGCGTGGTATTTTACTCCCTGCGGCTCTCTGAGCCTGGATTAGGTTCGTCGTTGACAAGGAACGCCCAGGAACATGTTTCTCGCTGCAGCACCTTACTTCCAGCACCGTTTTCGCGGGGATCGATGGATTCTCAACCACTTTCAAGCCGCCGAGGTCTCGGTCTCGACGGTCACGAATCTCGGGTCGATGATAGCATTGACCAAGCTGCAAAAGGGGGCGTCATACCCGAGGCGAATATCCTTATCCCTCGTGCTCAGCACTGCAGTGTTCGCTGTGCTGTCTCTGTCAACACTCGTGCCCACGTCCGCAGGCGTGTATTTCGGCTTCCTCCTTGTGGCCATCTTCGCGGCAAGCTTCTCTACGGGTCTACTACAAAATGGATTGTTTTCGTTTGCATCAGGATTTGGAAGAAGCGAGTATACACAGGGTATTATGACGGGACAGGGTGTCGCGGGTGTCCTCCCACCGATGGCGCAGATTATATCTGTTCTGGTGGTCCCGGCTGAGAAAGACGGCAATGGTGCAGATGCGGCCGACGAATCTCCCACTTCAGCATTGGTCTATTTCTTGACGGCCACTGCCATCTCAGTCATTGCTCTCTTTGCCTTTTTTTATCTCTTGAAAAGAGAGGCCAAAAGTCGAGCTCTCCAATCGGCGGCAAAATCCACGGCCAACGAAGCTTCTGAAGGCGATGCCTTGACGACAGGAAGCCTTGCAGCGGCAAGAGAAGAGGGTACGGACGACGTCATCGAGCAACGGCCTTCAGTACCGCTACACACGCTCTTCATGAGAATGCCTTTCCTTGCGTCGGCGGTCTTTGTCTGTTTCGCTGTGACGATGGTGTTCCCGATCTTTACGGCGTCGATCCAGTCTGTCAACAACATTGACTCGGCAATATTTATCCCAATAGCCTTCCTGCTATGGAACATAGGCGATCTGGCTGGCAGATTGATCACACTGTGGCCGAGGATCTCCCTCACACACTATCCGTTTGCCCTGTTCTGCATCGCAATGGCACGTCTTCTGTTCATCCCATTGTATTTCCTCTGCAACATCAAGAACAAGGGCGGAGTGGTGAGGAGTGATTTCTTCTACTTGGTCATTGTACAATTCCTTTTTGGCTTGACAAATGGGTATCTAGGTAGTGAGTGTATGATGGGATCAGGACAATGGGTGCTCCCGGAAGAGAGAGAGGCAGCGGGAGGTTTCATGGGATTAATGCTTGTCGCCGGGCTTACTGTGGGGAGTTTATTGAGCTTCATGCTTGGGGATATTTAGAAGGCACGCGTAACATAGAAAGGGAGTTTAAAGGGAACATCCGTTGGTACTTTAGCAAAGGGGGCCAGGACTCAGGAGATGATGGTAGGGACAACTATGGAAGAAATATTCGTGACCCCCACCATCTCCTGGACACAGCCTCGTTGTCAGCAGAAGGATGACGAACGATCCCATCTTCTGATGACTTGTCTCGAACTCTGCTCTTGGGACTATTGAAAACCATCAGCCCACAAGGCTGTGTGTTTTGGCTGTCTAGCCCACATGAACCACATTCGGAGGGATTCGGGCAGATCCCCCTGTATATCTCATGGGGGGTTGCAGACGCGACAATGTTTCGTGCAACGTGTGATGCGTGATGTTTGTACGAGGACTCGGGAGGCAGGTATATTATTTGACCTGGTGTGAAGCACAATTGTTGCAGTTCTGATCCTCCCGAGTCGTACGTTCATTTGATGTGACAATTGTCATGCTACTGCCCCGCGATCTCTTGTCAACAAGCCAAGCGTGTCCCATGTCTCTGATGTTACGTCACGTGTGACATGGGAAATGAAGCTTCCAGGAAGATGTCATGAAGAAGACAGAGCGAGGGCTGCGTACGAGTGGGAGTCGAAGGGGCTAAGATTTAGGGCCGGCACTCGGTGCGCGCGCGATGCGATGCAGCCAGTAGTAATGGGACGGTCTGGAGGCAAAAGTCCGTAGCGCGTTCCTGGATGATCAGGAACAGGAAAAGGCAGATGGAGATGTGGAATTGCGCCCGTTTGGTAGCGACTTGCATGCTGGGACCTGGATAAGCTGGGCCTGGACAGGCTGCTGAGTTGGGTGAGCTGGGCACCTGAGTTTCAAGGTTGAGCCCTGTTCCCAGGAGGCTGAAAGGTTGAAGGTTGAAGGTGGGAAGCTTGGAAAGGTTGAGTGAGAGGATGAAGAGGCGCCCGACCTGAAACAGTCTTTGATTTGTGTGGCTTTTTCCAGATTTTTCCCTTGCCTCTTTTCTCTCACCAAAGACTCGTTCACCGCAGTTTGACTTGTTCCTCCTCCCAGCGCCTCCTGATACCATACGAGTCTCTCTCCTCAAGTTACGAGCAGTGGCAATGTCAAGATAATACCAAGAAACTACGCGGACCCAAGGCAGCAGATCCAAGTCCGTCCATGTCCATTCGCGTCCATCCGAACCTGAATTTCCCCAGACAAAGCCAAGGTCCAGGATAGCCCTGGCTGATCGGTGCATCCCCCCCTGCATCCAATCACGGAACCCCGTCCACCATTGCTCTCAGTCCTTTTCAGCTCCAGGTCCCACGCAATGTCTAAATGTCGATTCTATTCTCGAGCCTGACAGACCTGGCGGGATCCATACGAGCGCGTCCTCCAATCAGCCGTCCGTCAACGGCCTATCCAACGTTTCAGATGAAGCTGCGGGCCACCAGGAGAACCACTCTTTTGTACTCCTTTCGGATAGGCGCATCTCCTTTTCCTCTTCCCTTGTCCGTGTCGCCGACGCTGTGTTGGATGCTTGGTGGCTTGCTGCTGGTCACTGGTTGCTCGTTGGTGCCACTTCAGCCCTGGATGCTCAAGAGAATTGACAAGATCAGGTTCAAAGACGCCAAATACTGCCGCTCAAGCTTCACACCCGCGTCTCCCTCTTGCATCTTTACTTGTCCGTGACTCGTTCCTTACATACCTGCCCTTTTTTCTTTTCCATCAAGTGCTTACTTACTATCCATTGACGTCTTTCAGGACCTCCGTCACACCCTTCTACCCACCGTTTCCACAGGCTCTGGTTTGCCCTGGTCCCCTTTCGTGCATATTACTCCGTACGCCTCATCCTCTCTGAAGATCTTCTCGCCTCTTTCCAACATCACCACTCGACCCGTCCCAACAATCTTTCCTTCGGTTTTCCCCTTCGAATTGCTTCTGTGTCGCTGGTCGAAGACATCGTGCAAGTCATCGCAACCTATACAGATTCACTTGGTTCCAGAATCGCCATGTCACTAGCCATGGCTCATTCTCTGTATCCTGCGGCTTTGCTCGCTCTCGTGGCGACCTTTCCCTCAAACACTTTGGCTTCGCCAATTTCACACCTTCAAAAACGCGACATGAGCACAGGTGCCAAAGCTGGTCTCGGTGTCGGTCTCGCAGTTGTGGCCATTATCGTCATTGGCCTCTTCGCCTTCTTCATCATCCACTTCCGCCGCTCTCGACATCTAGCAGCTCTCAATAAAGAACGGGCCATCCTCGCAGGCGAGAAGAATCAAGATGGCTCAGACAAGCCCGATAAATTCGTCGAAAACCCACCTGAGAAGTCAGCCATGCCTCGACGAAACAAGTCGGTCAAGGACCGACTGATGGGACCACTATACCGCGGCAGCACCATTGACCTGATGCCCATCCCCAAAGCCCACTACAACGCGAATCGAAGCAGCACCGCCACTACACAGACTGCTCACTGGGATAATGTCGATGGTCAACCTTTCCTGCACAAACCATGGGCCGGCGGCGAAAGCTCCCCTCGTCCCAGCTTCAGCAGCAAGCGAGCTACCAGAATGATGATGATGATGTAAACTTTGTGTCATCCCACAAAATTTTGGTTACTCGTCGCTGGATGGGAGCTGGCTTCGTTGTCCTCTTGAATGGTACATTGTGCCCATTGAATTGTATATCTTGTTCGTCGCACTTGCCTTGAAGCGTTCGTCCAAGAAAGGGATCTTTGGGTGTTTCGCGGCTTGAGTGCAAGCCAGGGCGTTGGAAGACACTACACCGCCATCGATGGCAAGGGCCTTGGTGTAATGATGTATTTTGCGGCGTTGGGCGCTCTGGTTGTCTTGTCGCCAATGATCTAACATACCCAGAATTATATTGCAGGTTCTGCCTTTGGGGATTTTTGTCAACTATGTTGTGTTGGTCTTCGGGAAGAAGACGTATCAATATACCGAAAAATTTATATCAGTTGCAGAAGCGAGAACTTGTTACAGGAGCGGACAATATTGCAACTTTCTCAAAGCAGGTTCACCAGGAGCAGAGCCTGAACGTCTCCTGCGGTGGCTGTTGGAGGAGTAGCCATGGTCTCAGCCCTACAACTTTACAGTACCTACATCCTACATACATACCAATGTACCGGAATCAAGGAATCAATCCTTGTCCATTGTCTATTGTCCGTATCTTTCTCTCTGTGTGTGGGCGCATTCTGTGGTCTTGTCCAGAAGCCCACCATTACTATTACTATTTCAGGATGCACCATTAACTTAGTGATTGATTTATAGTGACTACATGTATATGGTAAATGGTATATGGTATATGGTATATGGTATGTGATAAATGGATGGTATATGGTCTTTAGCATATGTGGTATAAGTGTCTAATACCTACAGTACCTCGTACGGTACGGAGTACAGAGTACAGAGTACAGAGTACGGAGTACGCAGTATGGAGTACGTAGTATAGAGTACATAGTACAGAGTCCCCGACACTCAGTACTCGATACCCACTCCTTGCTACCCTCGCCGGTACTTGGTACTACTGGTCCTCGTCAAGAAAATCAAAGATTCTCTGAGACGTGATGATCATATCATATGATATCATACCGATATTTGCTGAGCGGACTTTAGTCTATCTATCTATCTACATACATACATACATACATACATACATGTATGCATGTATCTATCCTTGGTCCTTCTTCCTTGTTCCTTACTCACTCACTCGGCCACTGAGTGAGTCAGTGAGTCAGTGGCTCTATCTAACAAAAAAACAACTCTTCTTTCCATGTTTTAATGTCTTTTGACCAGACAAAATCCCAAAGGAAACGAAGCAGGAGGAAAGTACATAGGTATCGGTACATTGTACAACTGTCCAAGAAAGGAAGAGGCAGACTCAGCCTTCAAAGACACTGTGGTTCATCTCGATGCCATAGTCCTTGGCCATGCCCCTCATGAGCTGTTCGACATCGTCGTCCATGCCCTTGCCCCTCCCGAGCGCCTGCTTGAGCTTCGCGTACCAAAAGTACGCGTCCGAGGCCCACAGGACCAGCTTGAACATCAGGTGGCTGCCAAAGAACTTCCATCTCTCGACAAACGTCAGGTGCTGGTCCTCGGCCAGCGCCCGCGAGGCCCAATTGCCCGTGATCTTGATCCGGTTCACGGGGCTGCCCAGGTACTGGTTGTTGCCCTGGACGATGCGCATGTTTCGCCCGATGAAGATCAATTCGCGCGGCCACTTGGTTTCGTCGGCCAAGATCTCTTTGATGCCCTTGCGCATGGCTTGTTGCAGCTCGTACTGGCGTCGTTTCTTCTCGTGTTCTGATATGCCCTTCAACCGCGTCGTCACTGAATGGTCCCCTCCTTCGTAGGGACGCATGAGTGCGGCAGACGCAAAGACCTCGGCGTTGTTGATGCCCCATTGGCTTACGACTTCCTTGAGGGTCTTGTTGTCGAATGTCATCAGAGACTTCCAGAAGAGGGAATACTGATGTCGGAATGAGGGAGACATGGTGATGTATAGGCCATGGTCGATCAGAACAAGCTCGGAATGACCGTTGGGGAGCCGTCGAACGAAGATGTTCCCAGGATGAGGATCACAATGCACCTTACCCCAGAGAAACATCTGGGCAGAGAATAGGTCAACCATCGTGGTCATGACTTCTTTGAGATCGAGACCCAGACCACCCTTGCCATTCGAGCCCCTCCACCATGTCCTGTCTGGCTTGAGTTCTTCGTTGTACGAGCGAGCCTTTTCCTGCAGCGAAGTGATGGGGGTTTCAGGCGGATCGAGCGGAGTGCCGTGACAACCTGGACTGCCGGTTCGCCAACCTCCCTGCCAGGGTCGGGTGATGGCCTCCTTATCCCACAGCCGTACGCCTTCGACCCATTCAGCGGTCATGACCCTTTTTGTGGAGAGGTCGTCGTAAATCTTGGGGATGTAAACCCTATCCCGTAACCGGGGCTCGCCCTGGATGAGTTTGGCCATCTCCTTGGAATTGTTCGCCTCGCTCTCGAAATCACATTCCAGCAAGAGCCTTTCTGTGATATAGGGAACAAGTGAGTAGAGAGGCAGGTCGAACCACCACGTATATATTCGTGTCACCACCTTGAATGCCCACAGGTCCCATCCAACTTGCTGGGCAATCTCCCTCTTCTGTATCTTGATGGCCACCTCCCTTCCATCTCTCAGCCGAGCCCAGTGTACTTGTGCCACGCTCGCGCTGGCGCGGGCTTTCCTCTCCATGACGCCCGCATCAGGATCACCCTCGAAGGAGATCCCAAACACCTCTTCGGGCGTCCGACCACCAAAGTCCTCCATAATGACCCGCCGCACGTCATCCCAGTCATTCTGCGGTGCATCGTCAAACATCTTGGAGAACATTTTCTGAAATTCGGGGGGCAAGATGGCCGTCTGCATGGCAATGGCCTGGCCAATCTTGAGGTAGAGACCGCCATTCGTCCGCAGGAGATGGAACAACCTCGTCGCATTACGGGCGTGTACTTCGGCGATGTCGTTGGCAAACCACGGATCCTCTCGAAAGTTGATCTTGTAGTCCAGCGCGGCAATCAAGCCCATGGAAAAAGTGCGGAAACTCCTCGTCAGACTGGATGCGTAGTATCGCTTGTCCACCGCATACACCACGGTCCCGCCGAGGAACAAGTATGCGAGTCTGCGCGCCCATTTTTTCGTTCTCTTATATTGTCTGGCGGGCACGGCTTTCCCGAGCGATGCAGGCGTCGGGGGTGCAAAGGCACTGCGCAGGCTGGTCTGGGAAAGTGACCGTAGAGGTTGCTGTGGGGAAATCCGCCACACAGGCAGGCGACGAGCACCGGGTCGAGGAAGGGAGAGCTGGCGGGAGCATTGGGCGCAGATGCGCCATGCTGCGATTGTCATGAGGAAACGACGGGCCTCAAAACGACCATGACGAAGTGTTTGAGGAGGTTTAGGGCACGCACGCGACGATAGAAAATGAAATCTGCCTGGAAAACTCCATAAGATACGCCGGTGTTAGGCGATATCGATGACGAGCATGCGGCAGATTTCCAGATCGATCGTCGGGCTCGGATCTTGAGTTGCACCGAGTATCTGCGGCGGGATCTCCATACACTCTGAGTAATTTCCCCCGTGCCCTCGATACAACTACGAGGATGGAAGCCATTGAGATAGATGTCATTCCTCATTCAGGCTGCCTGTTATATTTAGAGTCTTCATCGACTCGCTTTTGGGTCCAGCTTCTCCGGGAAAACACCTCCTACGTCCACCCCGAACCAACTCTTCTCACCGCTGTCTGCGTGAGCGACTGCGCCTTACTTACCATGGAGATCCATCTCTGGCCCTCCCCCTCGTCGTCCTATATTGAACTACTCCTGATCAATTCAATACAGAATTCGGCACAGAAACGTCCCTCTACCGTCTTCATCTGGCCCCAAACTTCCCGCTTGACATCCTCCTCCACACTGCACCTATATCGCTCTCTATACACCGCCTTCACCCTTTCCAAATGCTTGGGCTCCCAGTGCATTCTGACAAGCCTGGATATCAATAGTTCCGTCCGTTCTTTCCCTGGAGCTGTCTCATTGATGGCCTGGTGTAGCAGCAGGGCATCACGCATGGGGCGGTTCAATGCACCATTCAGAATATGTGCCAATGTCTCGCCGACCAAATTCCTCGACTTGGAAATCATCTGCCGCGCAAAGTTGACGCTGTAAGTCCGCTCAAATAGCCTGAGGACTTCGCGTAGATGAGCATCGCTCCGCAGGACAATGATCTTGATCATATCCGTCTCCCCACCCTTCGATTCCAAGGCTTCTGCTAGCTGCACCACATCTTCCTTGATGAGCCTGATGTCCAGTGGCGTTGATTCGGGCATTCGTCTCTCCTCGAGCGCCAACAAGATAGCGACTCGGAACTTATCAGCTTTCAGTTCTGTGCGGATACACTTCTCGAGGTCATCGCTGTATTTCTTGTCCTTGAAGCAGTTCTTGATCTCGCGGATGTCGCTATTTGAGCGGCCCATCAGACTCTCAATCAATAACTCTCGCCGAGAAGCACCTCCTTGGTACCATGAGTTGGCCCAATATGCCTCGCTTTCCCATCGGCCTAGGGCGGTCGCATAGCACGCTTTTCCCAGATTTCCAGGAATACGCATCTTGATGTGCTTCGCCATGTTGATACCTTGCCCACTCACTTTGGCGTGGTTCTTGTATTCTGCCCGAAGGGCCAGCAGATCATCTGTAGAAAGGCGGGGCAAGATTTGTACCAGCGGACGTGGATCTGGTGCGGACCGTGTGCCTGCCAGAGCAGCAGCGATACGTTTGGCATCCTCACTTGGGTCGTAGAATGAAACGGTCTTCCTTCTCCCGCTCCCCCCTCCTGGCGACATTATGCTCCTAGATGGTGAGCGGTCGCGATTGGCACTACCAGGTTCGCGGACTTCAACGTCCAAATTGGTATCGAGCTTTGACAGCCGACGTGGCCGGACCTCGTGAGTCGTTTCTGCGAGACTGGCACCCCTGTCGTGTCCCTTCGTGTATTTTTCCTTCTCCCTTTCGAGCTGACGTATCTTTCGTTTCAGCTCAGCATCCGCATCCGCATCGCGATCATCTAGATCAAGCTCGAGGTCAGACAAATCCGAATCGCCTTTGTGGTTGGCCAGAACCAAGGCTGAAGGCATGGGTGAAATGGATTGATATGTCCCCTTGTATGCTTCAAGTAAGGGTGAAGGTGGAGGCTTGTTGCCGTCATGAGAGCTGTGATGTGCCACGCCTAACGTCGCAGCACCCAGCGCTGCTCCTCCTACTGCCAAAGTTGACATCCTCTTGGTCACTTCTTCTGGCGAGGAGCCATATCTGTCCTTGTCACGTCTCCGGTCGCTCCTAGCGTAATTGTCATACTCATCGCGGCGATCCTTGCGTTTGGGTTCTCGGGTCTCAAATCTGTCGTCGTCATATTTCTTATCCGTCGGGGTACGTGTCTCATACTTGCTACTCCTGTAGTCGTTACCATTTTCCCTAGTCTCCTTTGTGCGGGACCGTTCGTAGTCTGATGGACGAGATCGTTCGTACTCTGGCCTTCGTGGTGCAATTTCGCTCGGGTCTGCGTATTTATACTGCTCGAGATTGGCGTACTGTGGACCGTTGGCACCACCGTAGGAACTCGCGCGTTGTGGTGCAGGCCCAGAGCCACCACCATTATATGCTCCAGGGGCAGCGTATCGAGGATCATTGGCGGTGTAGCTCATATGGCGAACTGCTTCTGGCCGCATCTCGGCGTAGGCACCTGGCGGATAGGGATATGTCCCGTTGCCATTTGGATAACCATGATCTTTGTCTTTGTATCTGCGACGAGCGTCTGAGTCGCTCTCCTCGGCCGAATCGTCGCCTTTGCCCCTGCCAGATTTCCGTCGCCTCTCTCTGCGTCGATCCGAGTCGCTGTCGGACTTCTTCCTTCGTTCATAGTTCCTGTCATCGTCCGAGGGCGCTATTTCTTGAACTCGAGGGTCCTTGCTTGACCTGTAAGAGCGATATTTGTCCTCGTCGTCGTCTTCGTCCGCGTATTTCTTCGAGCTTCTCCTCCTGTTGCGACGGTCTTGCTCTTCTTCGTCCTCATCGTAGTATTTCTTGCTAGAACGCCTGTCCTTGTACCCACGATCTTGCTCCTGGTCATCCTGTGGTTCGGCGTATTTCCTGCTCGATCGCCTGCTGCTGTACTCGTCGGGCGAGTCCCGGTCTCGGGCGTCGCGTGATCGAGATCTCGACCGATCTCTGTCGCGACCGCTTGGGGATTTGGACCTGGACCTGCGATCGTCCCTCACATCGAGCATGGACGACATCTTTGGGACAACGTTAAAACGTCCGTTCTCTCGACGGCTTCCTGTGCACAATTATCCAGTTCTCGCACACAACCGAACAGAGGCGGAGGGACCGGTGGCTAAAATGCAGTGCCAGCAAGTCATGCGGCTCCTTTTAATTAGGATTGCTTCCTTTGCTGGCATGCGTAACACTCAAACCATTTTGACACGCACAATTGGCTGGCCCCGTCATAACGGCCCCCAAACCTACCTGGACAACTGTGCATTAGGCGTGCAGAAACGGAAACCAGGGGGGCTAGTAAGGCTTCAACTGGGTCGCCAGTTGTGCATCTTGCCGAATTGGTGGGTTGCGAGGTTTCAGCTTGGATCGGTCGAGCCGAAGTCCCCCGCAGCTGCTGTGCTACGTGGTGACCAAACTTGGCGACTGCTTCTGTCCTTTGACAACTTGCTACACCTTCAACTCGTACCACGCCCTGCCGCTTCAGAAAGTCTGATTTCTTTGTTTTGGTCTTGCGTCGGCGCAAGATGGCCCGAAGCTGTGTACTCGTACAGGCAATACACCGCACGGAGCTCTCCCGCAGTCGGCCAGAACAGCTTTCTTCGCGGTTGCATAATGGAAGGCGTCCGACCTCGTTCTCCTTCATAGAATTTCTCAATTTGGGAGACGAGAAGAACGCTAAAGGCGTCCAGGACAATTAGGAAAAGATATAGACACAAAGATTGTTCTCCTCTGGGCTTGTCACCTCTGCAGACATGTTTCCTGCACGAACGTTGCGCTCTCTCTTCACCTCTCTTTCCCGGCCCCCACCGCTCAAGCCTACATCATGCATGTTCCTCTCCCCTCGTCGCACCCTCCGAACTCTGCCACTCTTTTCTTTGGAAGACAAAACATGCGTGGTGACTGGATCTGCGCGAGGACTGGGAAAAGAATTTCTCACAGCCTTTGCCCTCTCTGGCGCCAAAGGAGCTTGCATTGACTTGTCCTTGAAAGACTGCGAGTCGTCCATTGCCTCCATAGCGTCTCAAGTCCGAGACGCGTACCCAAATGACCCTGTCCCAGAACTTCGTGCCTACGAGTGCAACGCCACGATCGAATCGGACGTGAAGACCACGTGGGCCAAGATCGTGGAAGACTTTGGGAAAGTCGATGTCCTTGTCACGGCTGCTGGAATCGTAGATAACGTCGAGGCTGAGAATTACGAATATGCTCGGTGGCGGAAGATGTTGGACATCAACATTGAGCAAGTCATTCCACGTTACCGTGTGTAATATACAAGAATTTTATTGGGGCTGACTGAGGGACTCTCACAGCGGCTCATGGCTTTTCGCCCGTGAGGCTGGCAAGCACATGCTTCAACACAATATCCAGGGTTCTATCATACTGATTGCATCGATGTCTGCGACGATTTGTGTCCGCCCTCAAAAGCAAGCCGCCTACAACACCTCCAAGGGCGCTGTGCAGATGCTTTCCAAGTCCCTGGCGACGGAATGGGGTCCAAGAGGCATCAGAGTCAACAGCCTCAGCCCAGGCTATATGAGGACGGATCTCATAAAAGGACTGTTGGAGAACGAAGGGAAAGAGCTTGTGAACAACTGGGAAAAGGACATCCCGATGGGAAGAATGGCGGAGCCACACGAGTTGAGGGGCACAATTGTTTGGATGGCCAGCGGAGCGAGCAGCGTGAGTTCCACCTTCTCTCTTGTCAAAGAACGGGGGGAGGTTCTATTGCTCTGGCGCAGTAAACTTCAACACAGGCTAATCTTTGCGTTGCAGTATTTGAATGGAAGTGATGTGGTGAGTCAAAATGCTTGGTGTCATCCTCTCTCCTTCTCAGCGGGTAGGGGTGAGGAAGTTTTACTGACCTACTCTCTAGATTGTAGATGGCGGCTACACTGCTTGGTGATTAATCAAGCTGGCAGCGGGAGTGGGATGGAACAGGTTAAAGAATTACAAGAGGCCTGATGCTCTGGTCGAGACACAGAGCTAGAACGCTCCCACGAAGCCATTGCGTGCGGACGCCGCCTACAGTGTGTAGAGACAACCTGTTTGGAGTGTGCACAGGTGACGAAACGACACCACCGCAAGGAAACATACATGAGAAGGCAAATGTCAACAGGGCCTCGATAACGCGACCGTCAACACGTGTACACAACAAGATAAATCTGACTACGATGACCTGAAGATCGGTTTTCTGGGCATTCACATCCTCTGATTGACCGTAGAGCTATGTGAGTAGCCCTTAGATGGACATGAAATCATTCTATCATTTCATAAGCACAGCCCGATTTCGAGTCAAAACAACCCATGCTCTTTTTTCGTTAAAGCCAGCAGTACCCCGAAACGTAGCAAGTACACATTGGTTGTCATGTGAAAGAACCGCTGAGAAGGACAAGACCGTTGATGGCAAGAATTAACCGTGCGGAAACCATGAAATCTCCAGGGTCAGGAGTAGATTTTATATCCCGCAATTCATGAACCGTGGAATGAAAGCCCGCTCCTGAAAGTGAATCTTCCACAACCTCCGCCACAAGAAACAATACCACTGTAGATGGATTGAATTAATTCCTGTGCAAGACATCTATTTCTTGCCAGCCTTGACAGCAGCCTAGACGAAGTTAGGTTCAGACATCTATGTGTATGTGCGTGATAGCTTACCTTGGTGACCTTGCCGCCTCCCTTCTCGGACTTCTGGACGGATTCTGGAAAACAGTCAGCACGAGGCTCTAGTAGTAACACTGAAAGAAGCAGGAACTTACTGATGACACCGACGGCGACGGTTTGACGCATGTCACGGACGGCGAAACGACCAAGGGGTGGGTAGTCGGTGAAGGCCTCAACACACATGGGCTTGCTGGGAACCATCTTCACGATGGCAGCATCACCAGACTTGATGAACTTGGGGTTGTTTTCCATGGACTTGCCGGTACGACGATCGATCTTCTCAAGGAGCTCGGCGAACTTGCAGGCAATGTGGGCGGTGTGGCAATCCAAGACGGGAGCGTAACCAGCACCGACTTGCCCAGGGTGGTTGAGGACGATGACCTGGGCGTTGAAGGAGTCGGCACCCTTGGGGGGGTCGTTCTTGGAGTCACCACAGACGTTGCCACGACGAACCTCCTTGACGGAGACGTTCTTGACGTTGAAGCCGACATTGTCACCGGGAACACCTTCGGCGAGCTGTTCGTGGTGCATTTCGACGGACTTGACTTCAGTGGTGACGTTGGCAGGAGCGAAGGTGACGACCATACCGGCCTTGATGGTACCGGTCTCAACACGACCGACAGGCACTGTCCCGATACCAGAGATCTTGTAGACATCCTGCAGAGGAAGACGGAGGGGCTTGTCGGTGGGACGAGAAGGAGGGTCAATGGCATCGATGGCCTCAAGGAGGGTCTTGCCGGAAGCCTTGCCAGCCTTGGACTCCTTCTCCCAGCCCTTGTACCAGGGGCAGTTGCTGGAGACGTCGATCATGTTGTCACCGTTGAAGCCGGAGATGGGCACGAATGGGACGGACTTGGGGTTGTAGCCGACCTTCTTGATGAAGTTGGAAGTCTCCTTGATGATTTCGTTGAAACGATCCTCAGACCATTTGGTGGTGTCCATCTTGTTGATGGCAACGATGAGCTGCTTGACACCCAGGGTGTAGGCGAGCAGTGCGTGCTCACGGGTCTGGCCATCCTTGGAGATACCAGCCTCGAATTCACCAGTACCGGCGGCAATGATGAGAATGGCGCAATCAGCCTGGGAGGTACCAGTGATCATGTTCTTGATGAAGTCACGATGGCCGGGGGCGTCAATGACGGTGACGAAGTACTTGGGGGTCTCGAACTTCCAGAGAGCGATATCGATGGTGATACCACGCTCACGTTCGGCCTTGAGCTTGTCCAACACCCAGGCATATTTGAAGGAGCCTTTGCCGAGTTCAGCAGCTTCCTGTTGATCATGGTTGTCAGTGAATGGATTGGCTTGTGATAACGAGTGGCATGTCACGTGTTGTTTGCTATACCCCTCCCCCACCAAAATTTTTTTGATAGTGATTTGTGGCAAGTCCAAAATGAGGGCAAATGCAAAGGGGACTCGAAAAGAATCGATGAGAACATACCTTCTCGAACTTCTCGATGGTACGCTTGTCAATACCGCCGCACTTGTAGATCAAGTGGCCTATCTGATTGTGAGTATTTGTGCCGTTGCAGTCTTGTAGGCATCCTCTTACCGGTGGTGGTGGACTTGCCGGAGTCGACGTGTCCGATGACGACGACGTTGATATGAGTCTTTTCCTTACTGAACAGAAGGCATGCATGTCAGCGATGATCATTGATATGAAGTCAAGGGTTGCTTCGACGTTGGAACTCGAGCGCAGGCAGATTTGGGCAGGTTTGTGGCTTACCCCATGGTGACGGATTGGAGGTTTTGTGATGGTTTATGAAGTCTTGTAGTTCTGTGGCAGATACTAGAAGAATTCCCAGCGAATGCTCAGGTACCACGGCTTGCGTAGAGGTGCTGTTGGCTGATTAGTCCTGAGTGATGGGAAATGTAGGGGTAGGGCGAAGAACTCACTGAGCGACGAAGGAGGGAGAGAAACAAAGTCGGCGAGAGTGTGCGACAGATTTTGTAGGCTGGCGGGCGAGGGACGAAGCTTGGCGTTTTGAACCATCCAAGTGGCAGTGACTCAAAAAACCCGTGCTGGACCGTCATTCACTCCCACTCGAGGCGCTGTTCACTACAGGTTGTTCGCCCTCACACTGTATTTTGCGGCCCGAGCCCCACTACTGCGCGAACTTCCATTCCTCGCTCAGGCTCCTAAGCTCATCGGAGTGCTCATCATGGTCTGTCTCCGTCAGCCCACTGAATGTATCTCCCATGATTGGCGAAGGAACAGAAAGCTTCGGCATGTGCTAGCGACTGAGAAGATCCTGCAGGGTGTCAAATGTCGCCTCATACAGCCATCGGCCAATTGGATAACTACAATCTACAAAAATTCTCCCCGAGGCTGCTATATCTGTGGCAACCACTTGACTATTTATCCACCACCTACCAAGTTCCAGATAGATTCGCCCCTCAAGACAGTGAAAGACCTTTTCAAAACAATCTTTTGGGCGGCAAATTTTTTGAGGGCGCCTCTTCTCTGTTTGACGGTTGAGTTCTTTTCACTTCGATATGTACCCCTCCCACGGAGTTAAGAGTCATCAACTCCATCTGACTTGGGTCCAAAGACTTATGTGCTCCCATGCCACCAACCACTCCTGTGTGGTATCAATAGCACTGACTCATCTTTCTATTTCGCGCTTTCCTTTTCTGATAGCCCTTACAGGCCATACCTGGTTGCCTCTAATGTTATGCCAGTTGTCCATTCCTTTCCCATTTGCAGATAAATGTTCTGCACTGGTATTTCCAGCTATTAACTGTCACTTGTGGCAGAGGGAGGCTGGAGTTCGTCAACGACAGCATATCCTCGGCTTCTCGTTCCGCAAGTTGACCTCAATCAGATTATGCTTGAGTATTGCGAGCTTTTCTCGCTCTTGCCCCGGTTTCTTCCTGGAGAAGCCAAGGTTTTTGATTTCAAGGCAATTCTGTGTCAGGCAACCACATGTACTCTTAGCCTTGCATTGTGGCTCTTCCTCTTTACCAAAGAAACGATCCTTGGTCCACATCTCCGCATTTTGTCATAGAGGAAGGAGCCATTCAGGCGGCCGGGGACGAGATGTGTATGATGGATCAGTATTCTCTCCACTGTTTTCCGCATTCAATACACTGCGCTTTGTCAGTCTTTGAACCAGGGAATTGGAACGAATCCAACACATACTTTGAAGAAAGAGGTAGGCGGTTCATCCGCACTCCGTGTCTGTAATTGGTAGAAGTAGGCCTTTTTGGAGTCACATTTCTCGTTTGGGCATCCTCCGGGAACTACGAGGTACACAGCGTCAGTAACGTTCTTCTCTTTCCGTCATTCGGTGTGGGCATGGTGTACCTTCGTTGACTGGCAAGTCAGATTGCTCCTCTCCCAGGATGTCATCCTTCTCTTTCTTCTTCATGTGAGTACGTTCGTAGTACTGATCGTCAAGGACGAATTGGTAAGGGCATGTCCGGCAGGTAAAAGCGTTGCGACCTTGAGGATATTGGTCGTCTCCTGGGGCGCGGGCGATTGTGAGGCAGTTGCAGCAGTATGGGCAGACTGGGTTTCAGCTCCGTCAACAAGAGGCCTCCAGAGACTGGAAGTGCTTGCTTACATGTGGGAGCCATGGCTCAAGGAAGTGAACACCTCCTGGCAATGAAAAGGTGGTGCTCGTTCCTGAGAAAATCTGTAGGTACTGGAAACGCATGTGTAATTTGGACAAAACTTGCAAACACAGCAAAAAGCAAAGCGGAGAGCGGGGGGTGCTCGGCAATTTTGCTTCATGAGGCGCTGGCCTGTGTCGAAGGGTTGGCGGGATGCCTGGATCGAGTGTTTGAAGTGCCCCTTTGTCTGCAATTCATTATTATAGAACTCGTTCTGCCTCTGCTCCTGTTCACTCCTTCTGTCTCGTCGGTCCTTCCAGCGCATTCACAGCGATCACTCCGTCTGCTACCGTCCATCAAGTCCTGTACCCAACCCGTGACCATCCGCCGCGGAGTCGAGGGTTGCGAAACGGTAAAAGCGTCTGTACGAGGTTCAGCGAACACGGTCATATTTTCGTGACCAACTACGTTTCTGCGGCTCTCTAGGCAGCCATCATGGCTGAGCATGTTGATGTGAGCTGGTTGTGCCCGTGTCTCATTCTCTCCATTGACAAGCTTGGCAGGGCGCATCTCCGAAAGAACAGATCCTCGAAGCATGTCGGAGAGACAATGTCGAATTGTTTCACGAAGTTCTCAATGACATGAAGGACAAAAGCAAGGAACAAATAGCAGACTTCTTCAACTCCACCACAGACACCATGGGAAATCACCTTTTACACGTCTGTGCAAGTTATGGAGCATGTATGTCAACAAGGCTTTATCTCTGACAGGGATTATATTGACTCGTTTTCAGATGATGTTATGGACGAACTACTCAACATTGAGTTCCTCGAGTGCGATCCCTTGAACAGAAGGGAAAAAGAGACCCCAATTCATTCCGCAGTCAAGTACGCGAACGAGCGAGAAGTGGAACTTGGACAAGCAATGGCCAAAATGTTGATTGACGCCGGAGGTGATCCTAGAGTCAAAGATAAACATGGCAGAAAACCTGCCGAAATCTGCACACCTAGAACAGAAGAACTTCGCAGCATACTCATCAAGGAGGAATATATTCTCAACGAAGGTCTCCAAAACGCCGATGTACACCCAGATGAGACAGACGATGGAGATGCTGGGCCGCCGTCAGATTCGGAATGACCGTTGTCCGCCTGAAAACTCTTCCTACGGGAATTTGCAGGCTGCCTGCTCCAGAAGTCTTGCCTCTGATGTGCTTGCTCCAGTCTGTGGCGGGCCTGCAAATAAGGGAAAACAATGCTTCAGGAAACGCATATTGTTCACCAAGCAGCACTCGGGAGGAAATCAGATGTGACTGGGTTTACATTTCTCCCTCCTCGTTTCGAACATTAGCCTGGCAGTTCCAACAAGAGCCTGTAGTCCTGGTTCAATGACAGCACTAGGGTTCTGATCAGACGCTGCCTTTTGGAATAGCTGAAAGACATGACCTCTCAAAAGATACGCCATCCTGGTGATGGAATCCTGGAACTGAAAGATGCTGCAGCTGGCTGAGGGCTTGACTGATGCTGATGACATCTAAACAATTGAAAAGCCTAGACTACGCCAAATCCGCCTTTTCACTGTTCACCTTTTCTTTACCCTTGACCTGCGCTCTCCAAGAGAGAATCAGACATATAGCACACAAAATGCCCAGTCCGTCAAGTCCGATTGCCAAATACCAGGCTCCGCGGTAGCCTTGGAGCGGGTTACGACCACCTTCATTCACATGAACTTCGACAGTCCCTGCGATGCCCAAGCCGATGGAAATACTGTAATTAATGACTGTGTTGATGAGGGATGCCGCCAATCCCTGATGCTCGGGCGGCATATGGTCAGACAGCACAATATTTCCGGATGGGAACGACATATCCATTCCCCAGGGAGTAATGATGGTCGACACGAAAGTTTGCGCCCCTGACTTCTTGTTAGCGATGGTTCGGATTCGCGAAGCGACAGGCTTTGAAACAGACTTCCATATGGAAGGTCGTGGACTTCTTATGGGGGAGGGGCAAGCCTACAGTAAGTCTGGTGCACCGGCATCGTGGCAAGCAGGATCATTCCTGTCAAGAAGGCACTGATGCTGATGAGCATGATCCATCCCGGCTGCATTCTTGCGATTAGAAGTCCGGTGGTTATCGCCGCTATACAACCGGACACCGCCGTGGGGATGCTCTGAGCAGCTGAGAGCAAAATTGATTGGCCCCTTTCGAGCTCGAGAAATTGCCTGAGAAAAAGGAAAATTTAGCAGAGGCCTCCACACTAGGGAGACGAGTGAAGAAGGACGTTGCTCACCAGAGATAAAATACCCAGACTCCAAACGAACTCCAACCCAGTGCTTCGCAGCCAAAAACGAGATTCGTGTCCATGGTGAAGGACGACATGGGCAGCAACGGGAACGTGGCTCTCTTCTTCTCAAACCAGAAGAATGCGACAAGCAATACCACGCCAATGATGAGCAGGACATACACATACACTTTGCCCCATCCAGACGCAGGGCCTTCGTTCCAGGCAAAGTTGAAGAACATCAGACCCAGCACGCCAAGCACGGTGCCAGTGGCATCCAGCTCCTGGAAAGACGCCGAGGGCCCTGCGACGGGCATGGGAGGGACCACAAAGAAGACCAAGACCCCGATCACAACCAGCACCATGGCCAAGACCCAGTACGCCCAAGGCCACCAGACGAACTGGGCGAAGATGCCCGAGAAAATGGCGCCGAGGACAAACCCCACGGGTGCGGTGGCCCCGAAGATGCTGAGAGCCATGTTCTTCCTCCTTCCGGGAGGATAAGTCCGGGCTAGCACGGCGATGCCGTTGGGGAGCAAGATCGCCGGGCCGATGCCTTGCATGCCGCGGCAGAAGGCGAAGAAGATCAGGGAGCGCGAGAAGACCGCGAAACCGGCGATCATCGACCACAGCGCGAACCAGAAGTAGCCGACCAAGAAGAGCCTCTTGTGTCCGTACAGATCCCCCCATCGCCCGGCGGGGAGAATGAACGTCCCTACCGTCAGGGAGTAGCCTGCAGCAAGCCACGACAGCTGGCCCGGGTTGGTGGTGTTGAAGGAGCGGCCGATGACATGTAGGGGTGCAATGGACTGCGCGAGGGCCGACTGGGTCAGGAGTTGCGCCGAGCTGACGACGGCAATGAACAGGATCTCGTGTGCAGGGGAGAAGGACGGAGGTTTTATTGCGGTGGGCACGCGCGAGACCGTCTTGGTTACGCTGGGCTGGTGGTCCAGAGTCATAGTCCTGGTGGTTGTGATATTTTCGGTGTCGTGCCTGGTCAAATCCGAGTCCATGCGGACCGGCCAACCCTCTGCGTTGGCTTCTGTCTCCTTCTGCGTGTGGCTTGTAGTGGCATCAGGTATAGGCGGCGTCTCAGCCTCCTTCTCACGCATCGGTGGTGCTCCAGGCCGATCGTCACTCTGTTCTTGGTGTGAATCTGTCCCATTGCTGCTCTGTTGTGCATTATCTGGTGCTGCCACCGAACGACCAAGTCGAGGATAATCCCCAGCCATATGTCAGCCTTTTTGATCTATTCTCTCTTCTCTTCAGTGCTCTTTATGTCTGAGGATCTGTACCGAGTACTCCTTCAGTGTCACCAAAATCCCTGACGCCAGTGGATGCTGTCTCAATTTTATCTGACACAAGAGAATCTCAAGACAATAGGTCAGTCCGTGGATGTTCCGTTTCTAGGTTTGATTGGTGTGATGGCACAATGACGGTTTTTTTTTCTGGGGCTCTCTCGCCTCAAAGGCAAAGAAAGGTATAGGAAAGAACAAAATAAGTGAGAATTGATATCGCTTTCGAATGGTAAATACTCTGTGGGTTGGAATTCGTGATGAGGAAGACGAGGATAATATAGCGTCAGTCAAGAGAGTATATATCCTCTCGCTCGGATATACAGATCCAGCTAGCCAGCTAGTCAGGGCTGTACGAGGTGGAAAAGTTGACGTCGATCCCATGTGCCATCATGGAGCCTCGGAGGACCGTAGCCGACAAACAAGACCCGGTCATTTCGCAGCGAGAAGAAAGTCCCCTTGCTCCGTACCATCATCATACGTCGATAGTGCTTGACCAGTGGAGTGCGATATGCTTCGTACTACTGACTGATAGGACCCAGCTACCACCACTGGGAGAAGTATGTACAACGAAACGAAAAGACGCCCGAACTAACAGCGTGGGCCCCAGCACCTCTACGAGGTACATACTCGTACAGGTCGGCGCGGCGATATCGGTAAATGCAAACTGAACAGAGGGTGTTAAATGGCCGAAAGTAGAAGAAAGGGGCAAGAGACAGCGAGCGGAGGGTGAAAAGGCACCGTGGCTCCGGCGGCGCGGAGGCTTTACTACTGACTAAGTATAAACTAGGCAAGCACATGCCAAAGTGCGGAAAGTATAGCCAGGCATCGGAGACGATATCGTCTGGATATCTCCCTAGGGCGTGCTAGATTAGGTACGTACTTAGTAAGTATGCCGCGAATCGAGAAGACTTTGTACTCGGTACGAGGAGTCGAGAGGCCTGGATTATCAAACCACCGTCCCCACAGGATAGAAAACAAGTGGGAAGATGTGGTGGCAGAGGGGACCATGGCGGAGGAAGTTCCGCCTCCCGTAACTTGGTACGAGTAAGAGTCAAAGTATATATTATATACTATCTCTCTTTTTCCTGGAGCTGGATCAGATGTATATGGAAGTTCTACGCCATCTATTTCCCTTTTCTCTTTTCGCGTCAGTCTTGTGAAGAAGCCGGATCGAAAGGGATTCTCTATGGCTGTGATCTAGCCTGAATTGTCGAGACGACTGAGCTCTCTCCAAGGCCTTTGCAGGAACCCAGGTGTCGAGGAGCAATAGAGATCAAGGTGTGGGAAAGCAGCCATTGTGGTTGCAGTGTTTTATGGTCTTCATTTGTTACTGCAGTGGTTGGAACTTAACAATACACTACAATTGACCGAGAGCTCGCTGATACATGGCGAAAACAGACACGGGAAATGTCAAAATGTCCCCAGGCGGGTGTGGTGGATGGAATAATATGGCATAATATGGCAAACAATGACGTCTACGCATCTCTGTCTGCATTTCAACCCCCCATGGCCACGTTCACGGTCTTCACAGTCCATCACCCATAGTGGCGTCATACATATATTTTATCTGTGGCGAGATCTCTTCTGATTAGCACGGTTAAGCTCCATCTACCTGCACCTTTGTCCGGATGCCGCGTATGTGTCTGCGGCCGTTCCCCGGGTCCGATCCCTGCTCCCCGAACAAAATCCTGACGGCACAGACCCCTTCGCCAAACTAGTGGACTTGAAAAAAATGCCACAAGCCATCTTGAGGGATTCGAAGGGGAATCAACATTGGAGGAGGAGGGAGCAGAGACCGAATAAAGTCCCACGTGGATAGCGCATGCTGTTTCTAATAATGGACAGAGATCACAAAAGAGATATACGGAGCACAAGTGCGTATGCACACAATGGCGGCACCGCGAACTCCACTGCCCAACAACTATTCCACTCCCTGCAACAGAGTCGTTCCTTTCATGTCGTACATCGCAAAGGCAAGTATTCCACACAGTTGAGATGACGAAGCTGCAGAGATTGCGCACGGTAAGGATTAGACAGTTTTGAAGAATTGCCCGATTGAGCGGCTCATACCCCGTTTCGCGACTGATTGCCTGGTACAGCCCCGCCGTCACTTGTGATTTACCGCAACGTCTGGCCGAAAACCCCATACTCGTAGGGTTCATACGAATCCGTCAAATATAACCACTGGTAGCCGCGGGTCCGAGTCATCCGGCGCAAGTGTTTGGTCGATCTATCGCGGACTACTATCCAGCAAGAGGGATGATGATACAATTAAATCGGATATGAAGGTCAGTCTGATATCGCGGAACGCAATCTCAAAAGCTCCAGGACTATTTCGGAATATCAGAGAGAAGATGACCCCAACTACGAGAATTCCCTCGCGCATGCGGACATCCAATGAGTGTATACATGATCGGGAGCGGTGCAGGACCAGGCAGACCGCAAAAGAGCCGTGACGGTGTCTCATGTGAAAGTTCCCTTGGGTCGACTCTGTTGATGGTGCCAGGGACGGACTCCACTGCAGAGTGGCTTTTCGACTCGAACGTCTTGTCCTGGGCCTCGAATTTCCACGACCTGGCAAGAAACACATGAGGGGCTTCATTGTGGGACGTAGACCCAACTCAACGTCGGACATCGCTGGGTCGGAAATGTAGAGGACTGGATCACAAAAGGTTTCTGCATTCCGGCTGTATACCGAAAATTCAAAGATCGCTGCGTGTGAGTTAAAGAGGACCACTATGGTTGAGGTGCACAGGGATGGAGATTGTGAGTGTAAAGGGTCAGGCGCGGAATACTTCCCAAAAGACCACTATCTTGGTACTCGAACAGGGATTGCCGACGACCACATGTCTCGGCTGCGTGGTCGGGAAGATCACCATGTGGAAGCTGTGCCCGAAGACGAGTTAAGCCTGTGACAATAGCACGCGAAAGAGGACTATGCCACGTAGGGTGACAAAGCCGTAGCCCGTTGTGTGTGGTCGATGGGGTTGATGTTCCACCGCCCCTTGCAGAGAAAAAAGCATTCGTCACCACGACACTGCACCGCATTTTGCAGTTTGCACTACATGCATTCGGCATTTCTCGTCCGTGCCTGGAATGTTCCCTTATGCACAACACTAGCCAATATTCAGCCGGAGGTCCGTTGCTGGCGATTCAACGAGTAAGGTGAAGAGAGGTCGTTGACGATCCCTCGAGATCCACAGGACGCAGGCAGGCCAGGGCTACGAGCCTACCTACATACCTATAGTACGATAGCCAATACGGAAATAGAAAACGGCCAAGGCTGATACCGATTAGATTGATAGCGGGCACTCGGCGAAACTACTTGTTTCAGGTTGCGGCGAGTGGGAGAGCGACCGGCGCAGATATGATTGGCTTAACTGTTATCGTGGCTGGGCATTCCCGGTCGCTTGAGATTGGTCCGACCCAGATCCACCAATCGGAAAACCACCTGCTGGTCTTGGCAGGTACCCGCCCGCATCCTCCTTCGACCACCTGGTCATTTCCTTTCCTCCTTTTCTCCTCCATGGAGAGATCAACCTCTACGTAATATTCGAGTGCATCTACGAGTACCTTGCTCATGTATTTGTTCTCAGGTGACCGAGGATTTTAGCGCATGCCTTATCTGCGCCTCCCACAGCTTTGGAATTTGGTTGTTGGATTCATAGATTCATGGTTTCATGGATTCTCTCTGTCTCGCCGTGTCACCTTCTTGCCCCGTATGCCCTTCTATGGTCGCCACCCGCTTCTCTGGCCCTTGTTGTTGTACAACGCCGGACATTCCTTCAATATTAATAGTCGCAAGCTATGGCCCCGGAGGGGGATCGAAATCACATGGACCATGTGTCTCCCGTAAGCCCTCAATAGATAAACAAAGCTCACCCATTCTGCCCATGAGCGGGAAAGCTTCGTTTCAGACCAGGTCGGTTTACCCCACACAAGTCATTACCACGGATCTTGGCCCTTGGATTCGTCATCTCGCTAAGTCTCGAGATCTTGGGTGATTTAAATATTCAAGTGACTACAACCTAGCTCCAACAGCTGTTCCTTGGCGTCTTCTTCTTCATCACTGGGACCATCGGGGGAGTCTGTGTCACCTTCTCAATGCTCGTCTGGTATACTGTGCATTCTCGGTGATCCAAGGCATCTGCCGTCTGCCTGATTGCCTAACGAGCCGGGCTCGTCTGTTGCTCTTTCTCTTTTGCCTCTCGAGGTATTGCCGCCTTTCACAAGATGACGTTCTTTTCTTATTCCCTTGCGATGGCAGCCATGTTTGCGGCCACGCAGGCTGCGACGACGGGAAATTCATCGACCACCGGGACTCCAAGTTATCAGAATAGTGCAGCACAAGCGCAACGCGAAGCACTCCACCGGACCATCGCCCACTCCTACATTTGGGCGTTGCTGGGTGTTGTCGCCTTGTTACTCGCCTATTCATGGACCTTGCGGCTCAACGCACACATTCGACACTTGGCCTCCATGTCAGGCGCAGGCGCTCTTCGATACTTTTCTAGCTCCTCGCCCGCCATCAGTCTAAGCAAGAGCAAGTTGCTATACGCGCCGGTCCTCTTCTATCGACGGGCACGAGAGATCAGATTTTCTAAACATATCACACTGGGGACAGTTCCAACACGACTGCAAACTCTATTCATTATGTCAGTTGTCATCATCAATTTTTTCCTCTGCACCTGGAACATCCCATGGTCGCACGCAGAGCAGCAGGTTTTGCCTATTCTCAGAAACCGGACCGGTACACTGGCGATAGCCAACATGATCCCAATCATGGTCATGTCGACAGTGAAAAACCCCCTGATAACGATGCTGGACATTTCGTACGATACATTCAATCTGATGCACCGCTGGTTTGGTCGTCTCACTATCTTGGAGGCCACTACTCATGTCCTGTGTTGGCTCATTGCAAAAGTGCAGTCAAGCAGCTGGGCAGCAGTGAAGGCGTCACTGAACAGTTCTTTCATTTACAGTGGCTTGATTGCCGCCATCAGCCTCGTCCTCATCTTGTTCTCAAGTCCCAAGATGATCCGAAGCTTGGCTTACGAGTTTTTCCATCACCTACATGTCGTCCTGGTTGTGTTGGTCCTGGCATTCCTCTGGATGCACCTTGACGGTACATATCAAAAGGGCTTTTTGCTTGGAGCGATTATAATTTGGGCCACAGCAAGATTCCTCAGACTCGCGACATTGGTTTACAGAAGTATTGGAAGTGGTGGGACCAAGGCTAAGGTGGAACCCCTCAACGGTGGCGTGGTGAAGATCACGATCACTAACCCGAGGCCTTGGACCTATCGACCCGGCCAATCGCTATATTTGACAATCCCTTCAATCGGCCTATGGACTGCGCATCCCTTTTCTGTCGCATGGTCCGGGGTCGAAGAAGCTTTGAACCGATCGTCATCCCTCAAATCCAATTACAGCGAAAAGAGACCTGCCATTCATATATACTCCAAGGACATTGAGAAACGTGGAGACGAAACAATCTCCCTGATTGTCAAAAAGCAAAACGGCATGACAAACAAACTCTGGCAGCGGGCAATGACTGCAGGAGCAGGATTGGAGGTCAATGCGTTGATTGAAGGACCTTACGGAAACGAACGAAGTATGTCAAGCTACGGAACTGTCCTCCTCTTTGCAAGCGGTGTCGGCATTACACATCAACTTGGGTATGTCAAACAGCTCGTTGAAGGCTACGGACATGGTACCGTAGCGGCGAGACGAGTCACGCTTGTGTGGGTTATACCGTCTACGGAATGTCTCGACTGGATCCGATCATGGATGCATGAGATCCTATGCTTGGAAGGACGCAGAGAGGTGCTCAAAGTTCTCTTATACGTCACTCGGGCCAACCTCAGCCAGCCTATCCGAAGCCCAAGCGAACACGTTCAGATGGCACGAGGACGACCGGACGTCAAGGCCCTCATTGCGGCGGAGGCACAGCAGAAAGTTGGTTGTATGGGCGTGAGTGTCTGTGCTGGTGGGGGCCTGGCAGATGAAGTCAGGCGTGGGTGTCGGACGATGCTTGACAAGGGCGTAAATGTGGATTTCATTGAGGAAGGCTTCGGGTGGTGATGTGGACAGAGTTGCTTCCTTTTCTTTTTTTTCCTTCTTTTCTTTTCTCTCTGGCTGGATTTGTGCCGTACTTCGTATAGATTGACCCTTTGTTGGCCTTTTACTTCAACTCTTTGAGTTCTTCTATCGATAATTGATTACATTTTGACGCTCCGTACCTCGTATACCTGACAATGATTAAGGGTGAGAGCTGATTGGTGGAAGCTCAACCAAGGCGAAGCAAAACTAACAAACGCTGCAAATCTCGCAAACTCTGCAAACTTTTTGACAAACGAGCCTAATCATGGGCACCCGAACATGTTGATCGTGTGCTTACCATTTATTCCATCATAGCAACCAACGACCTTCAAGTTACGAGTCTCTTCTCCTTCCTCCAGCACACATGTCTCGCTCTTTATGACCTCATAAAGGTCCTTCGGCCAGTACTGTCAAAGTTATTCACCGATCCCTTCGTAATCCTCTGATCCAACAGTGAGAGACAACTAGTGACACTATAAGCTGGCTAACCTCTCAGCGCCGCGACGCTTTGCGCAACTCGCCCTCGACCGTCAGCAAGCGTCACATGAGCTCAAACAAGTCGACAACCCGAAGACAAGTGACGGCATCGGTTCCTTATCTCACGTCTCTGCCTGAACTGGCGCCATCTCATGAGCACCAATTTCTTCGACCTGTTGCCATCAGTGGTGAAGATCCAGAGTAGCCCGGAGTGGCAGTAGTCCTCTCATTGCAAGAGGTCTTTTGCTAGACGCTCCTTGCATTACTCGCGCCAACAATCGACATTGTCCATCGACGCATTCATCGACAACACACGCCATAGCCCACCTCGCGACTTACCAAAGCGTCCACAAATTCCTCAACATGCCTCCCCCGCGAAGGAGAAACGGCGGTAACGACAGTGCCAGGACCACGGCATTTGGGAGAGCATACCCTAATTTGCAGAGAGCCCTGTTGTTGTCATGTGAAGTCGGTCCATTTCTCCTCATCGCCACCATCTTGACGAGCGCTGGCATTTGGAAACGGCCCATGTGGCAGAGAGCGTTGCTGTGGCGAGCGGCTCTTTGGAGTTTCCTCTCAAGGTGGATTCTCGTTGGTTGCGCCATCACCTGGACTTGGAATGAATGGGGTCAGGAGGAACGGCGCGAGCAGACGGCAAATGATCTTCGACCGGAGCAACGCCAGAACGGAGAACAAGAGGGTCAGCCGCAGTGAGTGAGTGCAACATCCATATAGCGACGGCTTTTTTAAAATTCGATGGAGGCGGTCCGAGGGACCTGTATGATGGCAACCCTCTACCATTTATCATCTCCTCGCAAGAATTCGCCTCCAGAACCTGTTACGAGTGGTCAGGCATCTCTCGGACCGTTCAGAGTCCAACCCCAAGTATCAACAACCGCAGGCTGGTTGTACATACGGGATTCATGCACGAGGCTGTTCATGGCTACCTCTACATACAACATGGTCGATACCCGGACATTTTCCGCTGTGGACTGTCCAGCGACCCTCTCTTTCAACTGAGGCAATTATGGAAAAGCGACGCAGCGAGATCATTTACTGTTCCGACTGGAGTGGACGGAGTCCAGTCTGCGTACGGGGAGCTGTCTCCGGGGAGCGATATTGTTCATCATCACGCATATTGGGAAAAGGCCGCGCCTGAAACCCCTTCGCCACATCCCACGCAGGATTCCGCCCCGTATGGATCCTCTCGCCGTGTTTCTGTGGCGGCAATGACTCCTCAGTCAGGTCCATGCTCTATGGGAGATTCATTTGTAATCCTAGTTTCCGGACAGAGGGTTCTTTCCTCGGCCAAGGCACGGCGTATCTTACAGGCTGGTTGATAATATTGATTGTTGGCAATGAGACGAACGAGGCTCACTCTCCCGCGACGCTCCAGGGGTCTTTGTAATATTATTTCACACTTTACGATTCTCTCATCACTACCTTCGCTGTGGCTATAAGCGAAACTCTGTTGTTTGTCGCTAAATCATCGTTTCGCCACCACATGCCACCTGCCATTCTATTTTCTGTGTAATATTTACTTCCTGAATTCGCCTTTGCTGTGATAGTCCTCCCAATCGACGTAGACCTGGAACTCGGCGTAGCTGGTCTGGTCGTCGGTCTCCATCTTGTTGGTGTAGGTGGCTTCTTCGTCCGAGATGAGCACCTTGGCCAAGTTGCCGCCTTGGCTCGCGGCCTCGGCCAGCAGCTGGCCCTGGCAGGCGTGTTCCATGCTGAGGAACAGGAAGGCGGCCTCGTCGACCGTCTTGCCCACGGTCAACAGCCCGTGGTTCCGCAAGATACAGGCCTTGTTGGTCGGGCCCAGGGCCTTTGCGATCTCGGCACCTTCCTCGCTCGCGAGCACGACGCCGCCGTACGAGTTGTAGACCGAGTGGGAGTTGTAGAATTTGCAGGCATCCTGCGTCAGCATCTCCAGCGGCCGGCCGAAGACGGACCAAGCCTTGCCGTAGACGGTGTGGGCGTGGCAGATCGCAGTCACGTCCGGGCGGGCTTTGTGGACCTCGCTGTGGATTAAGAAGCCAGCGGCGTTGGGGGGTCGGGTTCTGTTTCCTCCCACGACCTTGCCCGACAGATCCACTGCTATCATGTCGCTTGCTTTAAGAAGGCCGAAATGCACACCCAGCGCTATTTGGTGATTAGTTTATGGTCCTCATCTGTCGAAAAAGGGAACACTGTTGTTGAGTGGGAACGTACGATTCGTCCAGAAGACTTCGTGGTTCTCCGGATCTCTCACACTGATATGTCCTGATATTCCCTCGACGAAGCCCTCTCGTGCCCAATGCCGGAAAGCCGCGGCCATATGTTCAAGCTGCCATTGGCGTTGGGCGGCGAAGTTGTCGAATTTGGGAACACCAGGCAACATCACGTCGCCGTGCGAGATGGCCGCGAGGGGCGACTTGTCTTGCATGCCGTGCACATGTTCTTCCTTGCCAGGAGCAACGGATTTTGAGGCCAAGGGGCCGGAAGGGAGGATATCGCTGATCGCAGACGGGGCCATTTTGGCAGAGGGCAGAAGTTGAGGGCTAGGAAACAGAAAATAGACAAACAATGGGAGAGGCAACGATATAGAAATCTTAACGTCGCGCGAGCAAAAAGTCTGGAACCGTTTTGACCGCAGGATACTCTTGAGAAATCGATGTTGAGAGGAACAGTGCTAGATATGGAGGAAGAAGAAGACTTGGTAGGAGATAATAGTCTGAAGGGCGCGAGGAGCGTGAAGGGCGTCGAGGATCCGATGGCAAAAAGATAGACATCTCATTGGAGCGAACGAGGGGCAACTGGTGGATGTCTTCATGGAGAACTCCGCCGCCCTTCGATTGGATCTTTCATGACAGGTTGGGCGCCATGCTGAGTTTGAGGATGAGCTTCGATTTACAACATTGGCATTCGGAGAAGAGTGCGATACTCCGATTGAGCTATCGTAGGTGTCCACTGGGACGTTGGTTGAGCAGATGAACAAGGCTGCGGAACACGCATTTGTTGCGAGGCTCAGGTGCAGCCTTGGCCAGGCTGACGTCACACAGCCTTGATCGAACACAACACGGGCCTTTCACGCTTGACTTGATTCTCAGCCGCAGTCTCAGTTGCGCTGCACAATCACTACAGCATGGCTTCGTAAGTCTTGTACATGCTCTAAGTTGTAAGAGTCTTACTGACAGAACTCAGGAATCTCCTCGAAATCCCCTTTCGTCGCACGCACTCTGTGGACCTGTCCGCCGCAATCAAGCAATACATCTCCACGAAATATGATCAGTCGCCGGAAATGTTCGCAGATGACCTGCGAGACATTGACCGTTTACGAAACGACGCCATAAATGTCCGCGAACCCCATGTCAGCGGTATCAAGCGCCTACAGATATATGCTGCTCAGCTACGCTATCTGGGCGGGAAATTCCCCATCGATGTTGGTGTCGATTTCCCATGGTACCCCGCGATAGGCTACGATCGAGACAAGCCCGTGCTACAAAACAACCTACGGTTCGAGCTGGCAAATATACTCTTCAATCTCGCGGCATTATATTCACAACTGGCGTATGGGACGAACCGAGCGACGCTAGATGGCCTCAAATCTGCTGCCGAGTATAGTATTGCTGCCGCCGGCACCTTCGCCTTCATACGGACCGACATCCTCCCTGACATGCGCTCAACTCCACCGGAGGATATGGATGATATAACCTTGGACAGCCTACAACAACTGTGTTTGGCACAAGGACAGGAATCGTTCTGGCAGATAGCAATCAAAAGGACCATGTCGGACGGCACGGTAGCAAAACTTGCAGCCAAGGTCTCGGATTACTACATCTTTGCAGCTGATGCCGCACGCCAGTCCAGGGCTGTGAGTGCGGAATGGATACATCATTTCCAAGCGAAACATCACCACTTTGCTGCTGCCGCGCAGTTTCGACAATCTCGATATTGTCTGCAAAACAAGCAGTATGGAGAAGAGATTGCCAGGCTTAAGGATAGTCTCACCTGCGTTAATGAAGGCCTTCAAGAAGCCCGATACATTAATGCTACAGTAGCTGGGGATTTGAATGGACTCAAGTCCAAAGTCACTGAGGAGCTGAAGAGAGCTGAGAAGGACAATGATCTGATCTACCTGCAGACACCAACCCCTAAATCAGAGCTGAGGCTTCTGGATCGAACCAATATGGTCGCTGCAAAAACACCTGCAGATATTGTCAATGGGATTTCTCTGCTCGGCGAAGGCAAACCTTTTGGGCGGCCATTATTCGAAAAGCTTGTTCCTTATGCTGTCCATCAAGCTGCGTCCATATACGCCGATCGGCGCGATCGTCTTGTCAACCAATCCATCATCGTTGATCTTGAAGCCATGACAGCTAGGCTGAGGGAGGTATTGCAATCGCTCGATTTGCCCGGGTCATTACAAGCCCTCGAAAAACCGCTCGGCTTGCCTGGCAGTCTCGTTTCGAAAGCTGAGGAGCTTCGACAGCAGGACGCGCTGTACAGGATCAAGAGGTCGATGGACGACACAACCAAATTGAAAACGAACGATCTCGCGATCTATCAGGAAGGCGTTGCATTGCTAGAGGCCGAGAAAACCGAGGATGAGCGAGCTCGAGCAAAATACGGCACGGACAGATGGGCACGTCAACCCTCTACCACGGCTTTGGCCAAATTATATCAGACTTCAAAGGAGCTGCAGACATACCTGAATTCGGCTGCTTCGAGTGACAACTTGGTACAGGCCAAATTCCGGGAGAACGAGCACATCCTCAAGATCTTGACAGGCACGGACCGTGATCTTGAGCGATTTGTCCCCTCGTCCAGTCAAACGACTATGACACCAGCCATCGAGCAAGCCGCCTCTCGATTACGGACATGTCTGAACGAAGTCTCTCGCTTGGAGACTCGGCGGAAAAATCGCATTGCAGCTTTGAGAGAGAAAGCAAAATCCGATGATATTGGACCGGCTTTGCTCGCCGAAGCAGCTCGCCTGGAGCGGGAGTATCCCATGCAAAAGATCGAGCCAGGACAGTTTGAGAAGCTGTTCGAAGCACGGCTTCAGGCTTATGAGCCTGATCGCGAAGCTCTCATCACCGAACAAGAAGAACAAGACCAAATTGTGGCTCGCCTGCGCGAAGCCAACAAGGCATTCTCGGATGCCCGACGGGGTGACACCAGCACCAAAGATCGTCAGAAGGCTCTCCAGACGCTGGACACAGGATACGCCAAATATAAGGAGCTCATGAGCAACTTGGACACGGGCAGAAAATTCTACAACGACCTTGCGGTTCATGTGACACGTTTCCGAGACAATTGCAAGGCACAAGTCTCTGAACGCAGGATTGAAGCCAGTCAGCTTGAGGCGGAGCTTGCTGGACAAGATATGGGCAGGCTCAATCTTCAGGAGACGCGGAGGGAATTGCGGAGCCAAAATACAGCACCGCAAACGAGAAGCCGTCCACAGCAACAGCCCCCTGCCGAAACCCAAGAAGCACTGACGGCACCGGTACCAACAAGGAATCCGCCTCCTGGAGGTGTAATGCCCTCCACTTCGCCTTTAACAGTCGGTGTTGCAGGTGGCACGATTGGCGGTGGAGGAATCTGGACACCGGACATGGGCATCAGATTTGGTGGGGCTCCTAATCAACCTGGACAGGCGGGTTATCCTGTCCCCAGGCGACCATGAGAATTGCTTGCGATCCTCCAGACTCAGCTGCCCACATTGGAGAGGAGATCTTTGAAAACATACTAGCTCCCAGAGATGAAGAGGTGGTGTTGACTCTTTTGCATTGTGCGACTCCCATCCGGTCTCCTCTATGTAGCGAAACATCCGCGCCCCAGCTGACACCCTGACTTGACAAAGCCCTTGACGAAGACCCGAACACCTCTTTCCCCCATTGCCAATGTGCGAAAGACGCCTCCTGATATCTGGTAATTCACAGTCCCGATGAGCCAATAACGGCGGCCATGCTAGTAGTATGTGGAATCTGAGGACTTTGCAGAGTTCTTTTTGATGTAGTGAACGGCAAGCACCACTCCCAGGGACCCAACACAGACAAGCACTAGCATGACCAACAGACATATGCATAAGCTGCTCCTCCTCTTGTGAATCGGCTGGTTCACCTGCACGGGATACGGACGGTCGACCACATGCTGTTGTGCTGGAAGATAGACATATGCGTGGTCTTGACCGTTACCAGCAGCAACAAAAGCGCCATTCCCGCTGGGGTCCAGGGCTACCAGGGCTTCTCCGCTGGAACCATAGTAGGCTGGGTTATTGCTTCCTACTTCTCGAGTTATTAGCCTGATGCCGTCATGCGAGCATTGAACCACGCACCTGAATAGATTGGCTGGTATCGGGCACGGCGCGGAGAACTTAGGATCCCATTTGGCATTGCTTCAACTGTGTGTTCGATTGTCGTGCTCCGAGACGAGAGGGGGCAATGCAAGCGCCGCCTTCGTGGTGCGAAGTTGCAGGATCACCGCAGGTTAATATTGCGGAATGGCAGAGACCCAGCTGAGGCTGAAGGAGATTGCCAACCTGACGACTCAGTAGTCCTCGCACCACGCTTTTCCCGGCTGGTTTTTTCCCTGCATCCTGCATGAAAGTGTAAAGGGTCTCACTGCCTCGTGGCTTCTGATGGTCCTATCATCGTTTGTGACATGGTGCATCGGTGGCTGATTTGGACCTATCAAGGTCGATGTGCCGAGACCGACTTGACTTCAACCGTCGGATTCCAGGGCTGAACAGCGCCCAGTCTTCCAGCAGCGGTTCGAGTTCGTGTTGACGGGTCCCAAAAGTGCCAGCCTGAGACAAAGGCAGCCAATCGAAGAAACCCATCAACCTTCCGAAGGCGGCCACTGCCTCGTCCTGTCAAGATTTGTCACAAAGGCTTCGCCTGCCTGAGCCTGACAACCTCAGAGTCATAAGAGAGGTTTGGGCCACCTCTTTTGGTTTCTTGCTCTGTTAAGACTTGCACGCTTTGTCGATCTGAAGATCCCCGTACCAAGATCCCACTGTCATCATCCAACCCACATGGCCGATCCGGTCACTCTCGCCATCGGCGGGGTTGGGGTTGCTGTTGCACTAACACAACTCGGTCAGGCTGTATACAAGGGTCGCAAAGATGACAAGCAAAATCGCAAGATGATGCAGATGGTTCAGGTGTGCCATTTTCTCGGACCTACCGATTTTGATCTCTTCTATTGACACATGTCAGCAAAATAATGGTTACGGTGGCTCACATTCGGGCGGTCCGGTCACTCAACATGCCTACCCTCATCCAAATACCCATATGCTTGCAATATCGCATCAAACAATGGGTCGACAGTCCACGTTCACAAGTCCCAATGGCTGGTTTGTGTCCGTTGGGCACGGTCCAGAGGCTCGATCGTCGGGCACTTTCATAACCCAAACTACCTCATACAACAGTGGATTTCCTACCAGCCATATCAACCAAAACAGCCACATCCCCTCGCAATCCCAAGTCTTCCTTCCAGCCCCAGCGGCGGGTATGATGCTTCCGATTGAATATACACAACCATACACCACGGGAAGAGTCGTGGAACTGCCTCAAACAGGATCACAACGGTTTCTTACGGACTCGGCGAATCACATTCCTCGATATTCTCACGCAGAGCCCACAGTGAAATCGAAGAAGTATCAATGGTGAAGAGCTGGCCAAGGGTGAAGCACGTGAGACGGGTGTTCCATGAAATACCATGTGAAGGCCGTGGACATCATTTGAAGGATATTTCTGTGAGAAACGAGCCAGAAGAACAACATCATCTCCTTGCAGAGTATAGGTTGCAGGTCGCTTAGAGAGGTGTTTGTCCGATTGTATGCACTCTGGATAGACAAGCGAGTAATGGGGCGGATAGTTTCGAATCGAAACGGAGCTTGTATCTAGGACGTTTCCTTTAAGGCAAAGGGTAGCAACTGGTTCTAGACCGCAACCGTGATCTTGTCTGACTTTCCCAAGCCAATGGTACCATTATACTACTTGGTAAGTACTCATATAGTCGGGAGAATTGCGGTATCCACTGCCCAGGCGCTCACACGGAGCTGCTTCAAGAGGAAGTTGGATTTTGCCACTAATCCCAATGAGGGAAAAAACCTCTCGCCCTATCAGCCTCGTTGATGCCCCACTTGGTGTGACCCCCCAAACCTTAGTCAACGACGCTTCAGATATTGTCGACCAAGAGCCATCCCATCTCTCCATGCAAACAAGCAAAGGTGGACTCTTGCTTCGTGACATTGATCTGCCTGCATGTACACATCATCAACAATGGCTTCACTTCTGAAAAAGGCAACTCTTTAAGATGCGTCAAACTCAACTCCAACCCGGCCACTGGGAAGACTCGGTCACTTTCCGCGTCCAATCAGGCCCTCCAGAAGAGCGGACGGAAGCCGGATACGACACAAAGGACGACGAACAGGACCAGCAGGACTATCCGGGACAGTCTCGAGATGGACGACACGACGCATTGACATCCAGAACAACTGGAGCACCGGCTGCTACAACCCCGCGAAAGCTACACGTCGGGCGGGGGAAGGCCCGGATATCTGGGACGAAGAAGGCGGTTCCTAGGAAACAAGAACATCACGAGGCTCTGGCTGTGGTGAAGTACCCTCCTAACCCACCACCGTTGTTGGAGCCCGATGCCGACGAACCGTATGCTCTTCTCCCATCAGCAGTTCCGAATGGCGTGGTCAAACGATACATGCATAGCCGTCAGTAATCCCGAGCCACCCTTGCTTTTCGAATAGAGATTGGATAGTTTCGTCGATACTGACTAGTACACATATCCAGTCCCCAATGTGCTCGCGAAGCTGGTATCCAATGCCGGCTTGACCGGGAACTATGGAAGGTCTTTTGCGAGTACGATGATGGCCTCGCTATCGCAGCAGCCGGCACAACTGCACGCTATGATGTTCGCGGTGATGGTGCATGACCGTATCCAGCAGGGAATCAGTGAACCAAACACGACGGAGCTACTGGTCGGTACAGAAGCTATTCGACACCTGAATCGTGAAATCAGCGACCCGAACCCCGAACGAGCCCTCTCGGACTCCAACATCTGGGCCGTCCTGGTGCTTGCATATTCGGGCCGCGAGGACAGAATCAGAAGGGGCCAGAGCTACCCACGACAGTCCTTTTTGAGAGAGCTGCAGTCGATCCATATCTACCTGAAGATGGAGATCGTCATTGAGCATGTGCTTGGCCTCATCAAAATGATGGAGCTCCTTGGGCCTTTGTCCAAGATCAAGACACACGGGATTGCTACCGTGGTATCTTTGTAAGCCGGCCCCCTTTTCGTGCCCAGTGCGACCCCCGACCATCCCCACATACCCACAACCGCACAGTTTGCCTGAAAACTAGGAAACGGCCTAGCTGAAGCGTCCAATTGCTGACTTATCATGCCACCGAACCTATAGATGTGGGATCATGGGCGCATGCCGGAATATTGGGCGGCCCATCTTTCCATTTATATCCCACACAGCCACGTTCGTCCGCGAAGATGGCCGGCTGTCGGTCACGAGCTACGAGCGCGACGCCGTTGCTGGCGACTTGGGCCAGCTGGGCACGAGCTTCCGGCACGTCTGGAGCGCGGGGGCATCCACGCCGAGCTACATCGACGATCTTCTGGCCGTCATTCAGGATATAGGCGACTTCACCGTGGTGGTCGAGAACCACGCGAGTGGCAGGTGGGTGCCGCGCACGTCTCCCGTAATCATCGACCAGAGAAACTATGTCCAGCACAGCTTGATGTCCCTGCCCTCCGCGGAGGAACTCCTCGCCCCGAACACCACGGACGTCGCGCTGGACGATTCCCAGTACGAAACCTGCCGGCTGGCCTGCATCATCTACTCCTTCCTCGTCGTCTTCCCCGTCCCACCGGTTGTGGGACCCTTTGAAACCTTGATCGACCGGCTCAAGAGCGCTCTGCAGACGACCGAGTGGAAGAGCTTCGGCCGCCCGCGACGGAAGTTGCATCTGTGGACTCTCATCATGGGGGCCATCGGGTCGATTGGGCTGCCTGACCGGCCGTGGTTCCTGCTCCGGATCATGGAAGTGTTGGACGACGGCTTCAAAATGGCCGGGTGGCAAGACCTGAAGGGCTTGTTGCAGTCGTTCCTGTGGCATCCGCGCACGAGCGATCTTGACGGCCTCGATGTTTGGAAGGCCGTTCAGGTGGGAGTCAATGTGCCAGACGAGATATGATATCTTTGAAATGGGAGCGAGAATGAAACAGGTCCATCATACCCACGTAATACAGCTATTGTTTCCGCCTGGGTAGATGGAGTGTCAATTGTCAAACGGTTCACATGAAGAGTAAAATGAAGGGGTGATCCCAACCACCACGGAGCACATAATGAACGCCAATTGATAGGTCTGCGATATATGTTTTCAAAAAAAAAAAAGACAGTCAGTTGTGTAGAGCGAGCGTTCCATTCTTCCTCCGCTCTCCCCTTTTTTTCCATCCTTCAAGGCGGCCAGATCAAGTTCCACCATAGCCCGTATAATACGATCTGAACGATTCGGGAAAGTCAGGAAACTCTGAGGTTCCGCCGCCGTCGCAGAAGAAATTCCGTAGTTCAGCCTCGGCCACGGTCATGGCACTCGTCTGAGGATACTGGTGCTCGGGCGTCGTCGGGGACGAGGACCAAGTCCTCTCGGCGTCGCGCGAGTTCTTGAGGAGTTCGATGCTGCGGAGGAGCTCCTCGACGCGCGATTCCAGCTGTTTGATTTCCTTGGCCTGTTGCGAGCAGGCGCGATTCAGAGCCTCGTGCAGCTGTCGGAGCTGGGTCCATTCGGCTTCTAGCGCCTCCACCCTGATCTTCTGCCTCGCCCGGAATGCTTGTTGGGCGATGCGGTTCTGTGCTCTTCGACGCTAATGGAAAGAAAGGAGAAGGCATGAGTTTACGACAGCGTGACAACATCTTAGGTCGTGTTTGCATACCTCTCGCATCTCTGCTGTCTCGCCCATCTGCATTGCTCCTGGCGGGTTATCGCTGTCAGAGGTTGTGGGTATCCTGCCTTCAGCTCGCGAAGGATCTGAGGGATTCTGCGTGGCAGGCTGGCGAGAAGCGTCTGGATAGGGTGATTCTTGTCAGCATCTCATTCATTCCCTCACGCGACGCCGAAACGTGAGTCTGAATGGGAGGTGAAGGGCAACTCACTAGGATTCGTAGCGTTGCTCATGACTGCGATGGGTCGACTGTGGCTATAGATTTTGCCTGAAATTCGTCGGACGTGATGTCTGTTGTCTTCAAAGCCAGTTCCCCAGGTATGGGTCTCGGAGAATAAATAACCTCGCAGGAAGTGCGTTGAGAGTTTCTGTTAGATATGCTTCTAGCGCCCGGTGAAAACTGACAAAGTGGTGTTCGAGTGGTCAGAGGGTTGGGTGACTAAGGATCAAGTATAACAGCCATTCTGAAATTCTGCCACCGTCCCGGAAGGTGAACTAGAAGAGTGAAGAGGCTGCCCACCAGCAGCATGCATTACCGGACCTCCGAGGTACATTTTTAGAGCGATGGTCAATTTTCAAGGGGTTTCAGGGCTGCTGCTAGGGCAATAGAATGTGTTTCGCAGAGTCTGTGAGGCTGAAATACTGTATGAAACCAGAGGGGGGGCGTGGCATAGAGAGAGGGTGAACCAGTGCGGGAAAGCATTTAGCAGTGGATACCAATTACACCAATATGGAATTATGCCGACTACAGTAAAGCTCCACCGCGCTAAAATCCAACTGCCAGAACGGGATAGCCTATCCGGTTAGTCAGCTGCTCGCGCACGTGCCTGGCCTGCGCCTCGGAAATTCTGCTTTTGCTCCAAACACAACCGTCTCTCTTGCCTTCATCACGATCACGATCCTGCACATCGCCTTGTGTCCCATCCCATCTAATAGTCGTTCGGTCACTGGCTACTAGTATTGCCCCCGTGGGACTTGCGCCGATCCGAGTGCCATTGAAACAAAGCTTGCGGAAGCAGCGGTCTCCGCCCAACCACAATGCACGAACCCTGTCTGCCATTTCATTATGCCAGACCAGACCGAGGAAGGCGACCCAGCCGCACAAAAGAACCAAGCTGAACCTAGACTGCGATTCGTCACAGCACGGCCCGACTCCAACCAGGCAAGACGCGAGGCTAAAGCCCTGATCCGAGCCCACGCTTCGCGCGCATCGTGGGCCAAGATCAGGCAAGGCAAGCAGTCGAGGCAGGAGACCGGTTCTTTGCTCGGCCCAAACCCAGCTCCGGGCGCGAAGCAAACCCATCCAGTCAACACCGACCCGGCATCGCTTATAGACAACGAACAGGACCAGGGCCTCGATCCAGGGCGTGCTGGCCCCTCGGGCGGCCAACTAGTTGTCCCAACTAGAAGGCAGACGATCTTTACCGCGTATCCTATTCCCAACCCTCTTTGCGCGGTAGGGTTGGGCGACATTGATCCGTTTTCAAGCTACCCATCGAAGCTGCCCAAAGAGATAGCTACGCCTATTATTAGCCAAGGTAAGCCAACGAATCTACCACCCACTATCTTGTGCGCAGCATCGAACATGCAATCCAAAGACCGATAGAAGCCCTTGATCTAATTTTGCATGCCGTCGACAGTTAACCACTACTTCAACATCATGTTTCTCCCGGAACCAGATCGCATTGAAGAAAGCGTCGTACCCCACTGGATATCTTGGTACATGAGTAACAGCATCTTGTTCCACGCCCTGTGCTTCAGCCAATTAGCCAGGCTGTCGGTCACCGAGGCTTCTGGCCTCGACCCAGTTAGTCAGAGGGCGAAATGGTACTGCTACTCGCTGGTGGTTCGAGAGGTGAATAGACGATTCAATAATGTCTCAAGTCGGTGTTCCGACGAGAGTATTCTCGCCGTGCAGGCACTGGCATTTCATGGTGACAAGGCAGCAGACGACAGCGAACAACCCCGGGTGCCCTCGCAGGGGCCAATGAATGCCATGCAGGGCCTGGATATCTACGCAGGTCGACTAGATCCCGTGAACATGCACGTCCATGGATTGGCAAAGATGCTGGCCATGCGGGGAGGCATTGATGACATGGAGTTCCCCGGTCTGGCAGCAATGCTCAGCTAGTAAGAACGCTCACCTCAAGATGACCGTTTTTCTCCACCTTATGCGCATTGTCACTCTTGCTTACTTACATCTGACTGATTTTAGTGGAGACCTGATCCTGGCGTCACGATCATTGCAGAAACCGACCTTGCCCTTTGTGCCAATCGGGGAGTCTCCGGAACATACCCTGGCCACAGTCGAAAGGATCGGGCATCCTCTAGCTCGGCTCGGTGTAGGATTCCAGACGCTCTATGATCTGCTTCCTTCAGATGTGGCTCAAGAACTCCACTTGGTTTTATGGCAATTGTCGACATACTTGCTGGCGGTCGAGGACTATATCATGGGTAGACCGCGATCGCAAAGCATGTTGGTACTAGTCGACCAGAGGAACTTTGTCCAGCATAGCTTGATGTCCTTGTTCCTGAGTTCGAGGGACAGTACGTCAGCAGACGAGATTTATTCACTTCGACAGGCTGCTTGGTGTGCCGGCGTCGTCTACAGCCTCATCGCAGTCTTCCCGGTCCCTCATGTGCGAGCGCCCTTTGCAAAGCTCTCTGCAGGGATCAAGCAGTATCTGATTTCCACGTCGAGCAGTCAAGACGGTAAGAGATGGCGGAAGGCCACATCGCTGATGCTCTGGATCACCTTTATGGGCGCGCTGGCCTCCACGGCCGACCAGCACAGCAAGGCAGACAAGACGTGGTACCTTTCCGTTCTCGAGCGGCTTGTGTACAGAATGCAGATTCTGAGCTGGCAGAGTCTGAAGGACCAACTGCTGAATTTCCTGTGGTTTCCCAACACGAGTGACGACGACGGACAGCATTTGTGGAAGGAGATACATACTTCGAACCCTTTCAGGTAACGCGTGCTGAGAGGCTTTCAGCGGACAAAGAAACAGCTATAGATGTGCAGCCTGACCGAGCCACTGATACACTGCCCGAGGAGAAGAAATGTACTACAATATCGCGCCGCCGCATATCTCCGGGATCTGCTTTTACCACACGATTTGTGGACACCCGGAGAGGAATTGTGCTTGACACATGAGACCCTCTCTCTTTGCGACGTCATATCTGACCGGGATCTTTCGAGCCCTACACCTTGCGGCAATCAGCACAGCATATCTTTCGTGCTCATCCTATGGTCAGTCAATGGCATAGCGATCTCCCCATTCATCTCGCCGCAGACATTTGGGGAGAGTGGGACTGAATGCAACGAATTCAGCGGCGTCCAACGGAGGCTTTGACTCGAGTTGAGTTGATGGAATTCACGTCGAAAAGGTACCCCTCCAGCCCTCCCAGCTTGACACCCAGTCTAAGAGGGACGATGCTAACAGAGATTGAAGGCGAAGACAGGGACAAGGGCGATAGACGCGCCACTGGACCGTTCGGCCAATCAGTTATATAGTCCTCAGTGGGCAGAATCTCGCCATGTGCCGACGTACACGGCGGGCGTAACCTGCGAGGACACATACCATCTCCATCCCACGGCGGCGCAGTGAGGTGGCAGCGGAAGACGCAAACTTGACTATGAAAGACCATCTCAACCGCGCGAACCTGAGATCTGAGAGTTGGGACCGAGATGGAGATGGAGATGGCGCTACTTGTTGATACAGAGTAGGACCGAGTATCACAGCCTTGCGAGACTCTTTCCGAGAATCTAAACTACAGGTCCGGCAGGTGGACGAGTTGATACCTACATACCATACATATACAAAGCAAATAAATAACCCAATGCGTCGTGTTTGTGTGTGTGGCTGTACAAGTGCTATCGTGCCGCTTTGGACGGGCTCTTGGGACATGTATACTTTTTTTAATTCTCTTTTCCCCTTCCTGTTTGAAAGCTTGTCAAGTCAACTTGTGCTCCGGTATGCTCTGGTATACCACACGATACCTTGGTAGGACAAAGTTTGTGAGACTTTGCGACACCTTGCTATGATATACTTTGTGATACTGTCCCACGCCATGTCGTATCATCTCATGTCATGTCATGCCATCCACATGTTACACGTACATGTACATGTACTACACATATAGTAGTGCATATAATCCATAACGCCAAAACACTAATTTCATGTTCACACAACACCTCGCTCACTCTCTCTCTCTCCATATATAAACCATGAGCCCCCTCCGGGGTGCGCAGCGCAATCAAAAGACACGTTTCAATCCTGAGGGGCAAACTTCCCCATCGTCCCCGGAAACCTGCCCTGCTGGTACCTCGCCCAAGCGTCATCGACGACGTCGCGACAATCGTAACCGAACAAGAACGGCTGAAAGACCGGGTCGCGCCAGCGGTTCTGGTACCCTTCAAAAGGCCGGTCCTGCCAGGCGATCATTTGGCGGTCGCGCTCGCGCTGGCGCGGGCCGTCGTGGAGATGGAAGACGTCGCGGCCGAGCTGGGAGGAGGCGTTGACGACGCGGGTGGCGCGCGGCTTGCGCACGGCCTCGTAGATGGCCAGCACGTCGGGGATCTGGGCGCGCGACTCGATCTTCTCGAGGAGGTGGCCGAGCACGGCGCCGTCCTCGACGGCCTGCGCGGCGCCCTGGGCGAGGTACGGCAGCGTGGCGTGGCACGCGTCGCCGAGCAGGGTGAAGCGGCCACGGCGCTGGTCGCTCCAGGAGGGCATCTCACGCGAGTTCTGGAGGCGCCACTTGCTGGTGTCGTTGCACAGGGTCAGCAGGGCGCGCAGCTGCGGGTCCCACGCGGCGAAGAGGGCGTGCATCTCGTCCAGGTCGGCCTTTTGCTGGTTGACCAGCTCGGGCAGGTTGTCCGGGCAGGCGATGACGATGTTGTACAGGTTGCCGCCCTTGAGGAGGTACGAGACGGCGTGGGCGTCGGGCCCCAGCCAGTAGTTGATGTTGGGCACGGCCACGAGGTCGCGCAGCAGCGGGTGCGCCTTCATGGCCTCGGCGGGCACCACGATCCGGTACGCCAGGTCGCCCGTCAGATGGGGCGGATCGGGACGGCCCAGCAGCGCCTCGCGACAAACCGACTTGAGCCCGTCGGCGCCCACGATGAGGTCGGCCGTGAAGGGGTGCGGCTGGCCCCTAATGTGCGCCCCCGGCCGCTCAAAGTCGATGCCCGTCACGAAGCTGTCCAGCCGGATCTCGACGCCCTGGCGCTCGGCCTCCTCGACCAGGATCTGGTGGTAGTCGGCCCGGTGGATGTGGAGGTACGGGTACCCATAGGCGGATTCGCAGTGGGGGATCAAGGGCTGGGTGGACAGGACCTTGCCGTCGCGGTAGGAGCGCAGGATGAAGTTTTGTGGGCGCACCGACGCCTTTTCAATGGCCGGGAGGAGACCCCAGCGAGAGAGGATACGGGTGCTGTTGGGGGGCACTTGGATGCCTGCACCGACCTGGAACGAGAATGGCATTAGTTGAACTGTTCACTTTTTCTCTCTCTCACTTCCCCCCTCTGTCGCAATATTTCATCAATGGATAGATGGATAGATGTCCTCTCTCACCTCTCCCAAAGCCGGCGCCTGTTCCAGAATCGTCACTTTGTGACCAGCTCGAGCAATTGCAATCGCAGCTGCCAATCCTCCGAGCCCCGCACCGATGATGGCGACGTGAAGCTTAACTTTGGCCATGACTTGTCACCAGTCTCTCTCTCTCTCTCTCCAGATCGCCTCTTGGGTTCTTGTATCGGAGTGGGGGAACAAGGCTGTCCAGATCAGGGGGGGTTCAAATGACGTAATTAATAAATTACCCCAGGTGTCACCATCACCACCCGCAGCGCCTCCGGGGTTTTTGTTCGATAGGGGGACGACTTCTCTCAAGAGGGAATTTTCCGATCTTAACCCAGTAGGAGGTAGATGGTCTCGGAATGGTCCGAAATGGGACTTTTGTTCGATGCCTAGGTCGTGCAAATCCGACGAAAGTGAAGAGTACCGAACTCGCTCGCTGCGCCAACTTCAGGTGTTTCTTTTTTTTCTTCAGTAAACAAAAGCTTCTGTCTTACGAGAACAAGCTGGATGGTGAAATAAAAATAACCCTCCGCAGGGATCTGTATCTGAAGAGATAAGTTTTGCAGGTGATATGTAAACAGTGATACACAAATTAGAAAACAAGAACAAATCCAGCAGATGGTGACGGTGATGATGATTATATATCTATCTATCTCGTCCCATCTCAGACGTCGTTGGTACTTATCTATAAAGGTAGTTGTAGGTGTGCAGTTGTGAGCGTGAAAGGCTGAGCAGCTCATTGCATTGCACTGCCGTGGTGAGATACCGATACCCGTCAAGCATCAACTCGGCGGAAAAGCATTTTTACATTTGTTCTCCAGTCTACTGAGTACAATTCTCCGTTGCTCAGCACCTCGTAATACCAAGTTGGGCCTTTTCTGTCGCTCAGGTGACAATTCCGCAGTTGGCGCGAGACGAGACACACCCGTCTTGATCCATCGTAATTGTGTACCGGTAAATCCAGTCATTTTTCTTGGGCGAATACCTCTGTTTTCGGAACGTTCCTTGACCTCTTTTCAGCGGCCTACGCCAGCAATTCGCCAGGCCTTCTAAGAATCTCTTTCGGCGAAGCCTAAACCTGAACCTGGACCTGAGCCTGACAACCCGATCTCAAGCCCCCGTGACGGCCTTTCTCGTCTCTCCCTCTCATCTGGCTTTGGAATCAATCTCCCTTCTTGGCCCCCCATCGGCAATCTTGAGCGGGATGATTCTTTTTTACAAGATCCCTTGGGCCTTGGAAAAACTTGCCTGCCCGCCCACGCCGCTTTCGCTCTGCCGCCTCCGCCTCACCCGATGATTTGCCGTTTGCAAGTCCCTCATACTTGGTACTCTACCTACCTCGTACTGAACTGTAGAACCTCCCCACCCGAGACGGGTGCAATCTTCGGCAGTTACCTACGCTAGCCTCGCGTGCCTCGCGTGCCTCGCTGTTAGGTAGTTGGCATTATTACACCACAACGAGTCACGTCATCGTCTTCTCATTATTTCTCCAGAACTCCAAAAAGGAAAAAAAAAACCCCAAGACAAAACAGCATTGTATCTGCCCGCTTTGCGAGGACTTACTTCCTTCGTTCCTTCGTTCCGGACCGGCAAACGTCAAAAGGCATAAACACCCTGAAGCAACAGAAATAGAAACAGAAACAGAAAGAGTGTATTACACAAGGATAATCTGGCTGCTGGGCTGCCGGGCTGATGCGCTCTCGCATGAAACGGGGCTTACTGGCAGGCAGGGGAGAATCCTCGTGTTCACACTACCCTACGTTTCTATCTAAACCTTCTCCCTCCCCTATTCCTTTCCCGCTTCCAGTTCATCCCATCCCTTCCTGGCCTCTGCTAGAACCAACATGGCAGGAAATAATATGCACCATGGCACCGCCCTCACTTGCCATCTGCCCCCTTAAAGCTGTAAACGAAAGACTCAAAACAGTTGCCAAAACACAACAGAAACAAAGGCAGGACCCTCGGTCTTTCCTATCAATAACTAAGAAACGCGCGGTAAGAGTCCGATGGAAATACCACCAATGTCCCGACAATACACGGGGCCCTATCAATCAACGCCCGCCCGCATTGTTGGCACACGAAAATGGCTTATTCGTTGTCCCGGTTTCGACCATGGCCGAGATGCTGGCGTATGTTCCCACCCCGAATAAGATGGCGGCGACCAGAATATTGACGCAGTTGAGAAGAAACAAAAAGGCCTTGCCCAAACTCCATTTGCCGTTGAGATTCATGTGCATCCAGAACATGCCCGACAATCCGAATGTGAACCAAGATGCAAACAAGGCCGAAGTCAAGCCCAACAGGTGGTTGAACACAGGCACAGCTTCAGCAATGACCCACGCCCCCAGCCACGAAATGCTAACGATAGCGAACCACACACCGTATGATTTCCACGTCTTCTGGTGCAGCAGGTCGTCCTCTCGGTCGTGCAGCAGTCGTACGTACAGGAACTTGGCCCCGACATGCCCGTTGACCACTCCGGCAATGACAATCGTCACAATGGCCACCCCGTACGCAACCTTCTTGACCACAGTACTCGCACTGTCCAATGCCGGACTGGCGACATTGTCTCCGGCGTAGTAATACACCACCACCGCCGTGATGATGTACATGGATATGTCACTGCATTGCAGAAACGCGAGGGCCTTGGGGAAGTCGTGCGGGTTCTTCAACTCGGAGATGAAGGTGAAGAATGCAACGTGGCCGGCATACGCAAAGACCATGTTCGACACTGCGTTGAACCCGTCCCTGAAGGTGAGATCTGGTTGTGGCCAGAGACGAACATGAAGAACCCCATCTGGTCCCGCCCCCGGCTGCGTGATCGACACCCCGATCATGGTGATCATGACCGCACCGATGATACTCACGAAGCTGGCAATCGAGTAGTAGGACAGGTGTTTCAACGTCCGGGGCAGCGTGAAAATCAGGCTCATAATGGTGCCCACCACCATCCAGACAATGGTACACACCCCGTGGTCGGTGATGGCGTTCATCATGATCGAAAAGGTCAAGATGTGACTGCCCATGATAAAGACATAGAACAAAAATTGACCCCAGCCGAGAATGAAGTTTCCCCATTGGCCAAACAACACTCCACCAGCACAGGCCATCGAGTGAATGTGAGGGTATCGCCTCTTAAACTGTCCGATGACAAACCCGGTATATGAAGCCATCGCCCCCAGCAGCACAAGTAGAATAAGACCCGGGACGATGCCCAACGTTGCCATCGCAGCCGGCAGAGAGAGAATTCCGAGAGAGATGGTTTCAGCCACCATGACCATGCCTGCCTGCCACCAGACCATGCTCTTGTATTCCACACCACCGTCGGTCCGGCTGGCCATAGGATCGATTTGTTTCTCTTGCTCCATATCCCCATTCTTGGGGCCACTCTCCGGGTTGCCGTGGTCATTCGAGACCAACGTGTCGTTACTGGTGGGAAGATTGTTGTCGTTACCGCGAACATCGGCGCCCGCCGCGTTGCGAGAGACGTCCATCTTTAATGCGACTTAGGACCAAGGAAATGGTGGTATTCGAACAGCGCGATGTTCTGAGGATGTGTGGAGGCGAGCCGCACCGTGAAAGCGAAGGGTACGGAGTGGTGGCGGCTCTGCTCCAACGGATGAATACGTTGCTAAAGGATAAGGAGTCTGCGCAGAGGAGAATAGTCCAGCAGAGACAGAGGGAATTCGTCCCTTTTTGTAGTTCTGGACGTGTGACCACATGCTGTGTTGCAGGCAGGAACCACCGACAACTGCTGCAGATCCAAGCAGTAGTTTGTTGAACCGTCAAAGCCCACACTGGATCGGCAGCGCTGAATGGCTATCCTTCTGGACGGATGAGTTGTATCCAAATATCCTGCGAGGACCGTCACTGATACACTTGGTACGACGAATAGGATCGACAGGGCCACAACAGCGAAAAAATCTGCCAGAAGCTCCGAGGAAACCCCATCGTTTGGTAAAAGGTTGCCCAGACTGCATATCCAGCGGAAGACAAGGCTACTTGTTGGCGGGCGAGTCTTGTCCCAGGACTGGATTCTGTCCCGGTCTCAATTTTGAGTCACTCTCGAGAGTATCCGCTGGACCATCTGCAATCTGTTAGCATTTCTTACAGCTTGTTGGGCCCAACAGCCCTTGACTTACCGTATCTTGAATATAGCTTTCTCTCGTATTCGTCCGCAAACCCGGCTTTTCCACTCTCAACATCCTTCCTCGAGACATTCAACTTGCTTCGTGGAAGGCCCATCGAGGCCAGAAAAGCCACGCTCTCCTTCCACTCGACGTCTTTCCTCTTACTGTCCCACTTTAGCTCTTCGGCCATCAAATCGATCACATTAGGCAAGGCTTCCAACGCCGCCTGGGCGTTCAGGAAAGCTAATCTTGTCCTTCGTGCAATCACATCCACGGCTCGCTGCGCGAATTCGTGTCTGACCGCGTACCGTACTTCTCCGTCTATAAATGGGTAAAGCGCCGAAATACGCTTTCCTCGCACTGGGAACCTCTCGTTGGTCGGGCTTGAAAGTGCTGCCACAGTCCATGCACGATCACCATATGCCTCCGCAAGATGCTTTGCCACTTCGGTCTCGAGACCAAAATGTTGAATCAGATTGATGAACAGAGTCTTGGAAAATCCATGGGCACCAACAAGCCTGACTTGGTGTGTTTGGCAAGTCCCATCGAGCGGAGCAGCGTCGTCCATCTTCTCAGTCCCACTAATTCTCGTCGGAGTTGTCAGTGGCCTTGTCTGTAGCCCGAATTGGTCGATAGCTTCATCGACCGCATCCTCTGCCATTTGACGATATGTTGTCCATTTACCACCAGCACACGTGAGCAGTCCTGAGGCCGAGACTGTCACTAGATGATTTCGCACTAATGACTCGGTATTCTTGGCTTTAGGATCTTTGACGAGCGGACGAATCCCCGACCAGGCGGCAAGCACATCACCACGTCGAACGTTGATCTCCGGGGACAGATATCCCTTGATCTCGTTCAAAATCCAGCCGATTTCCTCCTCCCCAGCGATCGGATGCTGGGTGATCTTACAGGGGGCATCGGTCGTGCCTGCGATCGTGTTCCCTTGCCAGGGGAGGAAGAAGATGACACGGCCATCGGACGTTGCAGGATCGATCAGACCCATCGAGTTCCTCTGCGGGCTATAGTATCCCGGGAGCACCACGTGAACACCAGAACTAGGGGCGACAATTTCTTGGACATTCTGGTCGTCCATCTTTCGTATCGAGTCGCAGAAAGGCCCTGTCGCATTGATGATGCCTTTGGCGCGTATCGTAAAAGGCGTCGCCGGCTTGCCATTCTTCTCGGCAATCACGTCTCGAACAACAGCACCATTCAGTTTGCCATTCTGGTCCTTGGTCAAGCTGGTGACTTCCATGTGGTTGACCACAGTCGCACCGTACAGCGCAGCCGTTGCCGCAATGGAAATGTTCATGCGACTGTCATTGTGCGCGCCATCATAGTACACCAGCGCTCCCACTAAATTCTCTTTTCTCAACATCGGAAATGCGTCCAGGGCCTTGCTCTTGGTCAAGAAGTAGCTGGTTTCAATGCCTTCGCTACCTGCCAGATAGTCATAAAGCTTTGTACCTGCCCAGAAATACGGCGCTTGCCACCATTTCTGCAAAGGTATCATAATAGGGAGCCACATGGATAGATGAGGGGCTGTGTCGAGGAAATATTTCCTTTCACGCAGCGCCTCCTTGACCAAGGCATATTGGTTGTAGTCCAGCTCCCAGAACGCCTTTTCGAGGTATCGTACACCACCGTGCACAAGTTTCGTGCTCTTACTACTCGTCCCCGCCGCGAAGTCATCGCGCTCGACCAAGGCAACCTTGAGACCACGAGTAGCCGCATCCAGAGCGATGCCTGAACCCGTTGCCCCTCCACCGATGACTAAGAGATCGTATGGCTCCCCAGCTTGTTCCGCTGGCAAGCTTGTGTCACTGTCGCCACTTGTTGCGCCTCTTAATCGGTCTAAACTATTCTTCAACTGTTGCCGGATGGGCGTTTCCGCGGCGGCGCCCACCAGTCCTCCGCTCTTCCTGAGGTCGGCGATCTGTTCCGCACGGGGCTTGATCAAGGGAAATTTGGGAGGGATGATCGTGCCGTCCTCTGTTCGCGGGATGGGGACGATGGCGCCTTGGGAGCCAGGAACATTGATGGGACGGTAGGAGAGGTACAAGATGGTGCTTCCAACCCCGACGATCGCAGCACCGGAATAAAGGAGTGGTTTGAGGAAACGACGTGCGGAAGGAGAGCGACCGGCCGAGGCCATGGTTTCTATAATGCGAGGTCCAGTCTGGCGTCAACTGCGCGGATGAATCGTTCGACAGGGATGGACCGTGTGGTGAGGGCTGTGACTTTCAACAATTAACGAACACAGTGATCAATGCCACTTCTTCTGGACACCCATGATCCGACTTCTCATAAAAGAGATGGTGGAATGACACAAAGCTAGGGCTCAAAGCTTAGGAATGCTCATGAACAATTGAGGCTGAAGTGGTGGGTAGGGCATCGATGCCCAAGTTATACTAGACAACCAGTTTGTCAGGTAGTGCACAGTTCACACTTGAGAAAAGGAAGCTGGAATGAAGCCGAGATACAACTCCCAAGGCATGTGAGAAGAAGTCTTCGGACTTGTCATGAATGGGAAGAGCCCAAGGGGAGAGTCCCGTGTGTCGCTCGCCAAAGGGTGAATGGCTGATGGGCGCAGCGGAGAGGCATGGATGTGGATGAAGCCCGCTGCATGGCCGTCGTCATGGTTCACTGTACGGCAACAACGGAGCCTTTGGGACGAGTGGAAATGCGCGTGGGGGGAGCAGAGGGATGCATTTCGGTGTTGGCAGCCCGACCTGAGGGGCGGCTTTAAGCGAATCGGGCGGTGGTCGATTGGGTCTCCTGAGCTTGACCTTTACCCCCATGCAAGCTATTGGGCGCCTCCTCGGTGTCTATGGGGGCGAACCCCCAAGCCCCTCTAGAGGCACTTCAATTTTAGTACTTACCTAGACAGTTAGCCCCGGCTTATACAGACTGGACGAGGCAAGTGAATGAACACAAATGGAAAACATGTGATGTGCCACAACACATCCGAGGGTCGAAATTCAGAGGCCGCGAGCATGTGCAAGATCGCACCTGGCGACAGATCTGGGGTAGGTTCAAGATCTCTAAGAGGAATTGTAGGAAGTAAATCATGCAAATGTTGCAGGGGGGTGATCACCGCTGGCGCAGCCCAATATCAGATTTGTGTCCAAGGCGCATCCATCCTGGCTATACAACAAATAATCAACCCACTTTCTTTTTTGGTAAATCACCACTAGTGATGGCCTAATTAACCCCCATTACCCCCCCGTTTTTAGTTTTCATGCAAATGAACCGTGGCCCTCAGGAAAATGGCCGTCCGCACCTGTCCAGACATACTAGGATTCGGCGACGTGCCCATTCACAGACTCAGCCTTCTGTTCCAGCAAGTCGATGTCAATCTTTTTCGCGGCGACGCTGCTCGGATTCGTCTCCTTGTTCAATTTAGACGGTGTAACACCTCCTTCTGTTGCAGTCACGGACGATCTCAATGGGCTGTTGGGGCCGTCGGAGCCATTGTTCAGATTTAGACGCTCCAAAGCTTCGAGTTCCGCTTCAGAAAACTGCCTCAGGTGCTTGGGTTTAAAAGGGACCGGCGTGGAAACCCGCGATGTCAAGAACTGCCGAGTTTGAGAGTCAGTTTTCTGCTTTCAGTTTCCAGGAAAAACTCGCTTCGCTGTGGGGGGTGAGACATACCGAGCTTGCTGCACTCAACAACGCGATCAAGGATGCCTGGACCACATCTTCATGTATCCCAACTCCCCATACTTTCTCGTTCGAGTTGCTTGCCGTACACTCTATATACGTCGCAGCTTTCACTTCTCTCCCTTCACCAATGGCGTGCTCCTTGTAATCCGCCACATCAAGATCAATTCCCAAGGAATGTAAAGCATTAGCGAGGGAGGAAATGGCACCATTGCCCACCCCCACGATCGGGTGCTGAACTCCATCAATGGCAATGATACCTGCAAACTGTCGTTTGGCAGTCGAGGTATTTTGGGCCGGCGCCGCTGTCTGGGGTGGCTGGCCTGCCGAGATCTTCGTCTGGGGCGCTGGTGAGGGAGTCCGAACAGCTGTGATGTTGTAGTCGATGAGAGTAAATCGCGGATTCTTCTTGAGATGATACGATTCTTCAAACAGGGCCTGGATTTCTCGAGGAAGCAACTCTCGACCTTTGGCATCGGCTTCTTTTTGCACAATCTTGCTGAATGCGATCTGCAACCCGCGGGGCAGGTCCAGTTCCAAGCTGCGTTGGATAATCCAGGCAACACCCCCTTTACCAGACTGCGAGTTGACTCTGATGACGGCTTCGTACGTACGTCCGATATCCTGAGGATCGAGTGGCAGGTAGGGCAGTTCCCATGGATCCTCAGCACCACGACCTTCCTTTTTGCGAAGTTGAAATCCCTTCTTGATAGCATCTTGGTGTGAGCCGCTGAAGGCACAAACAACTAACTGGCCACCATATGGCCACCGCTCGTTGACGGGTATCTTTGTTGATTCTTCACAGACACGGATGACTTTGTTGATGTCACTGAAATCGACATTGGGCCAGACACCTTGCGTATACAGATTCAGAGCCAGGGTAACGAGATCAACATTCCCGGTTCGTTCCCCATTGCCGAACAGAGTGCCTTCGACTCTTTCAGCACCCGCCATCTGAGCCAGCTCTGCAGCTGCTACAGCACAGCCTCGGTCGTTGTGAGGATGCACCGAGACACAAAATTTCTCACGCTCGGTCATGTGGGTGCAAAAGTATTCGATCTGGTCCGCGAATATATTCGGCGTGGCCATTTCCACCGTGGCGGGGAGGTTGAAAATCAATTTACTGTCTTCGGTCGGCCCCCACGCTTCTTTTACCGCCTCGCACACTCGTACCGCAAACTCGGGCGATGTATCTGAGAAGGTCTCGGGGCTGAATTCGTAGAGCCATTCTGTACCTGCGTGGCTGGGATCGTCCTTCGTAATGGATCTCGCAAACTTGGTACACTTGACAGCCAGGGCAAGAGTCTCGTCCTCAGTCATGCCAAACACAATTCTGCGGAAGCATTCGCTGGTAGCAAGATATAAGTGTAAAATGGCCTTTTTGGCTCCTCTTACAGACTCCACAGTCCGCCGGATGAAGTCCTCGCGGCAGGGTGACAGAACCTGCACCCAAACGTCGTCGGGGACCACGCCGGGGGTTTCGATCAGGTATCTTGTAAAGTCGTAGTCGGTTTGCGAAGCGGAAGGGAACGAGACCTCGATTTCCTTGTAACCCAGCTCAACAAGCATCTTGAAGAAGCGCAGTTTTTGTTCACCATCCTAAAGCGACCGTCAGTCTCTAAACCCGCGGGTTAAGAGGTTCCGAAGCGAGTGTTCATACCATCGGATCAACAAGGCTTTGATTGCCGTCTCGTAAATCAGTGGCCAGCCACCGAGGAGGCTTGTCGTTGGTCCGCGAGGGCCATTGTCGGTTAGGCAAGTCAAGAGGCTTGAACTTGCGGTATTTTTTCCAGGGCTCTCGAAGCCTAAGATATGTCGATTAGTCCTACCCTGTGATGCTTACAGAGAGCCTGCACATACATAGGCATGGTGAACGAGCAATTCGCGACCGGAGACCAGTCGTCACAGTAAAAGAGAGTTGGTCAACCGAGTATGCTGGAAGTATGCGGCCACGGCGAGGAAGTGGCTCGGCTTAGTGTCTGGGGTTCGATTGGGATCACCACACCAGGGTTTCAATCAACGTCGAAGAGAGCGTGAGTATGAATGTGAAGGGAGTATCATTCAGCGCGGGACAGAGGAGACTAGAGAATATGAGTCAATCTTCGCAAGGAGCGCAAGAGGCAAAAGTTTTCTGAACGTGGGGCAAAAGGTCCAAAGCGTGACGCACCGCAAATAACCGAGTTTGTGGGGTAATAATTAATTATGAAAGAATCAGATGCTTGTGGTTTTGCCAAGTTCGGCCACGGTCTGGATACTGGCAAGCTGGTACATACAAGGTCCTTGGTACATAAAACCATTGCGTGTTACTGTCTACCTAGATAGGTATACCTCAGGAGTCTCAACCTCCTGTGCTTCACTATACCGTCACCGTCGATACCTAGACTGAATGTCAATGCATCTAGACCCCGTCTCGCTCGCTCTTGACCTCAGCCTCGTTGCCCTTTGCCTTCCAGTAGATCAACGATGCCTCTCTTATGCCTTGTCGAATAATGTTGAGCTAAAACATGATTACCTGCCCTGCCCTGTGCCTTCAGTCTGCTACAGTAAAGCCCAATTTCCTCGGTGACGCCACGCACTTTGGTCCCGCCGACTCGTCTCGATCCCCTTCTGATGCAGGGGACGACGAAGAAGAAGAAGAAGAAATCACAACCTGAATTGTGTCCTCTATCTTACCCAAGCTCAATCCCGGAGAGGTTGAGCACCGCTTGCGCTTTGAGCCATTCGAGGCCGATCTCTGGCGATTAAAGCCAAGTGAAAGCGATCTCGACGCCGCTGACAACTGGCTTTTTCCCTCTGCAGGTGCACTCGGTCCCCGGGGCAGTCGCGGACTGGTCTGTTCTTTGATCAGCTGCGCCACTGGCTCTGAAGTGCTTCTGGAACTAGCTAGCGAACATGTCCGGCGTCGCTGCCGTGGTTCCTGCCAGATTCTTGCCGTCGCGGCAGCGTTGGCACCGCCAGAATGCATGACTCTCGGAGTGTTGAAATTGTTGGTGGTCCGAGGAGTGTTTGCTGGTGGCTGAGTGCCTGTACCGGCCACTGGACTATGTGATGCGCTGAGGGCCTTGAATAATTGTTCTTGACGAGCAGGACTTAGAGCTTGGAGAATTTCTTCAGGGTTGGCCTCATTCATGTGCTTCAAAAAGTTGGCTCGCGGGACGCTGACCCCGGACATCTCGGTATTGACGACGCTGCGATCGGTCTTGCTGGACGCGTAATCAGGCATGGAGACGTCGTGACTGGTTGACCTCAGTTGTAGCCGCCACTGCTGTATCGCCGTAGGGGTCTGATGCGAGGAGGTGAACGGGTCATCATCTTGCGCCATAAGCTTTATGGGAATCTGGCTTTCAGGGGACTGGCTCTTCAAGACACCAACATTGGGGACTTTCCTGACCGAATCGAGCTGGGCTTCTGAATGCTTCTGTGATTCCAACAAGTTTTGATAATTTTCATTCGTCGACAGCCTTTTACTTCGCGACGCTATTGGAGGTAACCGCTGTGGCGAATGCGAATGAGCTTCGTGGCCCGAAATACCAGAGACTCGAGAGCCGATCGGTCCAGGCCGCGACGGTTTGCTGGGCAGCTTTTGGAACATTTTGAAGCTTGGCCATGCGATTCCCGAGTACTCGAGGATGTCTGAGGTGTCTTAGCTTTGACTGAGGCTGAGGGAAGCTGCAACTCCTGCTTACCTTGAGGGGCATGCTGAAAGGAGAAGGCAACGACATCTCGCAGGCGATCAAACCTGGTAGCGGAGGCAGCCGGGGGAGTATTGTCTCTCACAACCCCTTCTGAGATTACAACCCTGATTCGACCCATGAGCTCGCTGTGATCCCAACCGGGTTGCTGAAGCATTTCTCTGTAGAACGTGGGAAATTGGAGATACCGAGCATCGCGATCTGTGCCGTTAGCCCTGACCGGTACACAAGGGGTTTACAGGGACAACCTGGATCCCCTACAGCGCCATTAGCCAAATAGGTTTGCGTCAGGGTGGGGATATTCTTCATACCAATGACTTCCGGCCACACATTTTCGTCGAATGCACGTTGACTGTATGGTCAATTAGCCAGGCGGCCGACTTGACTTTCGTTGTCGTCCTTACGCAACGAGAACTCCGTCAATGTACACTCGTGCTTCAAACAGAATTGCTTCTTCGGGGGTCTTGTAGCTGAGCAAGAGGTGAGATGGGGTTGGTTTATCCCAGCTGTGAATTGAAATTCGGAATGCCGCGCCACGCTCGAGACTAGCAATGAAGGAGGTGAGGATGGGAACCAGTGTCATCGACTCGAAATTGTTGGGATATTTCTCAACGGTGGCATCACTCGAGGAGATATCCACGTCTGAACGAGTGAGTCAGTGTGCCTTGTTCTCGCTCAAAGGTGCATAGCACTCACTCTGCCTCAGCACGAAGCATTTGGTGTTGAATTCCTGTATGGGAGTCCTTGAGTCACCAGGGAAGAGGAGCACGTCCCAATTCTGGTACCTCATGACGACAACGGACGTGCAGTTTCAGTCCACAGTCCACATCGAAGGGAGACAGCAGAGTATGGGTGGGATATGAAGCACATGCTGGTTCAAGACAGCTTTCCGTCTTCGCAAAGTAGTGGTGGTCGACATGACTCCCTCGCCTTGCCAATGCAAGAGCGAAGCAGTCAGATGCGGCAGAAGGTGCGAGCATTGATCCGACGCCAAAGAAGTCGCTATCAGCATCAGATCACTCCTAGAAGGGGAGTTCCAACGCGAATGTCAAAGGTGGTTGGTACCAGAAGGGATAGGTAGACGACTCGAACCATGGAGGCGATAGCGATGTCTATATCGACGACGAGGCCATACTGTAGAATTGGAAAGTGAAACTGGAATTAGGCACCTGTCCATCCCTATACCAATGCAACTACATGTCAACCCATAAAGTTATGTCCAAGCAAGTAAAATCATTTTCGTCTGAGCAACGGGTATAGTAATCAACAGAGCAAGTATTTCCAAAAGGAGAAAAGGACAGGAGCTCTTTTCGTGCACACGCCGTAACCAACCATGCGTGAGCATCCAAAGATCATCAGTAACGCCAAAGCATTAGTTAGTAATTGATACACAGCATCACCTGCAACGGCCAACTATTCGTTAGTTGCGTCAACCCCAAAGTCTCCCCCTATCATGGCATTGTCAAAGTTGAATGTGTCCTCGTTGGACGTGTTCAGGAAACTGTCAAAGTCGAAGTTTTCCAAAACGTCGCTGTTCTCTAAACTGCTGAAATCCAGGTTGAAATTCTGGTCCGCATTGAAGTCGGTGAAAGCATTTTGTTGGGATAGATCTGGCTGGTGCATCTGTGGTTGACTGGGCGGCATGGCTGCATTTGGTGGAGGAGCTTGACTGGGATTCGGCATTCCAGGAGCACCGGCTTTGCCAGCCGAATTGTTGAAACCTGGAGGATGCACTGGAGTGAGAGGGGTCGAAGGAGTGGGTGTTGCAGGAGGCTCATTCTCCGAAGACGCAGCAGCGGCAGCTGTTGAACCCTTCTTGGCTGGACGTTTCTTTGTTCCTTCTTCCTTGGCCTTCTTCTTGGGGTTCGGTTTGTTCGTTGTGGACGGGGTTGGAGGTGCGTTGCCACTCTGGGGGGATCCAGGCTGGTTGCGTTGAGCATTGTTCCCAGCGGGAGCTTGAGGAGGTGGCATCTCATTCCGTTGTCCAGGCGTGCCCATCGGTTGCGGTCCTCCACCTTGAGAGGGTTGCTGCACCATTGGTTGACCACCTTGAAACTGGCCACCCATACGATTTTGCTGTTGACGAGCCATGGTTGCCTGCATTTCCATGGCCGTGGGAGGCCTCATATTGGGAGCACCGGGGACCATGCCTTGATTGTCTTTCATAAACATGTTGGGGTTGAAGTCGGTGCTTTGTATGCCGTTCATGAAGTTCATTGTGCCAGGCGATCTTCCTGCCATGTCTCCCGCCGATGGCGAGTTAGGCATGCCTCCGAGTTGTGGCGTGCGCTTCATACCATCAACTGGGATGGGCGAAGTGCCCGTTCGACTGCCTGATGGTGACATGCCGCCGGGTTGCATTCCAACCATGGGTCCACCTGGGCCGCCGTCTCTATTGACAGCATTGTCTTGCTCCTGTCTTGCCATCATCAATCTCTTTTTGTTCTGCTGCTCAAGGAGCATCAACTGCATTTGATAATCTTGAAGAGCATGGTTTCCAGTTTGGCCTGCACCTGGCCCACCTTGCATCTGTTGGGTAGCCATCCTTTGGTTGTAAAGCTCTAGCTGGATGTTGTTTTCGTATGGAGGGCCCACGTTCTGCATGAGAGGTGATCCGGAATTGCCCATGTTCAACATGCCATTAGCCATTCCGGGCTATTATCGGTCAGTCAACGCAGACACCATCAGGAATTAACGGACTGCTTACCTGCATGGGCTTCTGTGGCATGCCACCGTTTTGCCGAAACTGAGGGTTGTTCATGTTGGGTTGGAAAGAGTTCTGGATCAGCATGGGCTGAGGTCCCACGTTGGGCATTCCTGGCCGCACATTAGGCATCATGCCACCGTTGAACTGTTGACCTTCGAGTCGGGGTCTCTTGGACGGCGACCCACCATTCTCGCCCTCCGCCGGCGACGAGGCCCGACCATTCATGTCCACGTCGCCCTGTTCACGCTGCATCTGCTGTTGCTGCTGTTGCTGTTGTTGCTGCTGCTGAAGCATCTGTGCCTGTTTGAATTGCTGCTGAATTTGCTGAGGAGTGCTGTGAATACGTGTCAGCGTCTTTGCAGCCGGGGAAATGTTATCTTAAGCGGTGCTCACTCACTACTTATTAGCCATATTATTGCCATTCACGACGTTGCCGCGCAGATTAGCCTGCATGTTGAATCGGTTGTGGGGCATCATGCCAGGTCGAGCGAGGTTCTGATTCTGCTGGTTCTCCCTCATGCGTTGCATGTTCTGCGGAAAGTCAGTGGATTGTGCCGAACACAGGCTTGCGACGGACTCGTACCTGATGTTGAAGCAAATATTGAGCAGCCGGTCCCATATTCCCGCCCTGACCACCCTGCATTTTGGTTGAACGATGCGCGGTGAAAAGGTCGGAAAAGATGCTGAACCATTCGAACAGAAAGCCGATGCCAGGGGTGTTGGCATCGGTAACATGCTGGGGGCGGGGAAGGTCGTCAGGAATATCGTCTTTGACATCGGTATCCATGGCATCTCCATCAACACCATTCACTTCAGCATCTTTACGTCGCCCCGGGCTTTGCTTGACCGGCGGTTTCGTACGGAGTTCGAATTTTTCCTCACGTAGCAGGCTTCGAGCAAGATCATAGTGACCAAGCTTGAGGAAATACTCGTAGATGTATGTGTTTAATTGAGCCTTCAATTGTTCAGGAGAGCTGCCCATGTTGACTTGTGTAGCCGGGCTGCCATTGTTCATCATCATCATTCCACCACCAACAGGACCGCCTGGCGCCATGGCAGCAGGATTCATGCCGGCCATGTTCATGGTAGCCATCGACATACGGGTCTGTGTAGGGAAGCGGATAGGGCTTGAAGGAGAGTGAGGGTGCGTGGAAGAGGAGAGAACCTCAGTCGTGGGAGTGTGTCAGGTCGGTGGGTCGCGAGATGATGATTCGAATTGTTCGTGAATGGGAGTGCGGAGAGAGTCGGTCGCGCAAACCGACGGCGACTTCAGATAATAGAGAGAAGCCTCATTTTCTGCAAGAAGGAATCGGTAGAGGATGCGAGGATGGCTGATGCAGATTAAGTGTTGTCGTGGGCTGCGATAGATGGAGGTCGAGCAGCGGGAGCCTCAGACGAAACGCGACCGCCACGAATTATGGGATGCGGTGGGAGCGCAAGCACCTCTGGGGGCTGCAGGGGAGTAAGAAATGCGGTAGGCTAGGTACTGTAGCGAGCTGATAGCAGTCCTGATCTATCAGGGAAGATGGAGGGGTTGGTAAAAGGGAAGAAAGTAAAAGATGACCTGATGGGAAATTGGGAAGGTGATAGTAACTGGGTGCTTTAGTAGGTGGTAGTGGTGGATGTGGGCGAGGCGAAAAGGCAACGAGAAAGATGAGGTTGGTTTTTGGTATAGAGAGTGCTCGGTGCCCCGGTGCCGGCTGAGGTTTCGGCGTTGGGTTGGCTAGGCTGCACGGTGCAGACCGATCAGAGCCCACGTAAATTGGAGAACGGGCTCGTGATTGCTGAGCTGCTGTCAGGGCGCAGGCGAGAAGATCAGAGGGTAGGGGGCGAGCAGCGAGAGGCGGACACGGCACCTGAGGGCAAAAAGGCCTCTGACCACGGTCTGGCCACTCAGAGTGCGTTCCGCATCAGCCCTATGGATACGTCCCGCGAAGATTGCAGCACGCCTTGCCGAAAATGGGGCTACGAATGGTGGGGTGCTTGGCCTTGCACCACAACCTCACCTCGATTGATTTCTGCCACCTCGACAAGATCTCTATGCAGCAAACATTTCAAAAATTCCACGCCCGGCTCAAGGCAGTCAACCGGGCAATAAGACAGGTAATATGAGCCAGGTCAAAACCGTTGACCGCTGTGCCCGCTCAGCATTTGCCCGGAAGTGACCCCTACCCCCTCTTTGCACTGTTGAAACTCTCTCAGGGGTAATAGTGAATCCCTTTCCCCAATTCCCCCCGAGTACTGTAGATACTGTTAGTAGTACCTTCGAGAAAAAGGGGCTTTTGACACGTGACGTCCGGATCAATGGCTGGAGAAACGACTCGTGTGCCGGGTCCCTTGTAATCCTTTTGAGCTCTGTTGTTTGCCAGAGCACACTTTTTCGCTCCATAGTAGGAGTCCGGTGCCACTATTCATCATCAGGAGGCATCTCGTCCTCGATGTACCGAATCAGGGTAACCCGCATTTCCGTCACGTCGTTGCCGCGAAGCATATCACTGACAAAACGTGCCTCGATGGACATCTGAACCTAGGATCCCGTTAGTATATGGTTATAAGGATTCCATCATGATTGCTGATACCATTTCCAATGCTCCGCGTAGGACACCACAGAGTATGTTAGAGAACCACAGCTCATCTTGAGCCCGCCCGTCGTCTGGAAGCTCCACAAAGTCTGCCAGAGGGTTTTCATCAAACAACAACGAGAATTGCTTGTTATCGGCGGTCCAATTCGTGACGGTGGGTGTAATGTTCAGAAAGATCTTAAAGCCAACCTTTTTATGGTCAGAAACCCATTCTAAAGAGGCGGAGTAAATGGACGTACCTTGGAGATCATCTCCGCCGTGTCCCTGAAATTTCCACAGCGGCCAGTATTGGATTTTGCAAGGAAATCCTCAATGAGTCGCATGCCGATATTATACCCCATTCTGTCCAATTGCTGATTGACCTGGGTGTAGTCATAGTCGTAGTCGGTACACAGTTGGGCCACGATGGTCCCATACGTGAGCGTGACAAGCTCGGCGTTGACTTTGTCCACCCGCGTCCTGAGGATCATGTAAGGCCCGTTAACCATTGAATTTGGGGGAAACTCACTTCCAGATTCTGAGAGGAGCACGATCAGTCCATGAACAAGTCGGCGCTTCAAGAGACAGCTTACTCTTCGCCCACGCGGGCTGCTTTCTGGCTTGACGCCATTTCAATTGAGTATTATATCCCTATCGACGGACGAGCATCTCACCACAACTCGGACAACTCGTTCTTGTCTCGAATGGAGATATCAGAGACGTGTCACTGACTATGGAGCCTGGTATGTGGCTGAGTTCAAAGTAGGAGACGCAGCATGCCAAGGCGTTGGTGGGCCTTGGACCTCCGGATAAACTAATTTCCCGATTTTCGAGCCAAAAAGTTTCTGGAAGTCGTTGTTTGATGTCTGGCCGGGGATCTCTCGCTGAACTCGTTAAGTTGACTGCGTTCACAGTTCATCGTCCCCCTCTGGTCTTCAACCCTCCTACAAGTTTCTGCTGGCCTCTTCATCATGATGCCATCCATAAAGCGACAAGCTTCTGACAGCTTTAGCCAGCCGCAGGCCTTGGTAAAGAGGCAAAAGTCTTGTTCCGATCTAAACGACAACAAGGCCCTCACTGTTGGCGCAAAAGACCAAAATGGCAGCCTCGTGCCTTCTGTAGGTTTCAAAACTGCAAGGCTTTGGTTGATACGCTAATCAATTTACAACAGTCTCTTCGCACCAGCGCGCTGGCTGCTCCTATCATGGAACTGACAGGTCACTCGGGGGAGGTTTTCGCAACCAGATTCGATCCTACCGGTCAGCATATCGCGTCAGGGTCCATGGACCGATCAATAATGCTTTGGAATACATATGGTCACTGCGACAACTATGGAATCATGACTGGCCACAAGGGTGCTGTGTTGGATTTACAATGGTCCCGCGATTCAAGAACAATATACTCCGCTTCTGCCGATATGACTATTGCTAGCTGGGACCTGGAAACGGGGCTGAGAATGCGCAAGCACGTTGGTCATGAGGAGGTTATAAACTGCTTGGACTTGAGCAGACGTGGTCAAGATCTCCTGGTCAGTGGCAGTGATGATGGCTGCATCGGAATATGGGATCCCCGCCAAAAAGCCGCAGTCGACTACATCGAAACAGACTTTCCCATCACAGCAGTGGCCATGGCAGAGCAAGGCCACGAGATCTACTCAGGTGGCATTGACAACGATATCAAGGTCTGGGACGCTCGCAAAATGGAGGTAACTTACACCCTGAGTGGCCACCAAGACACGATCTCCTCATTGGAAGTGTCACCCGACTCGCAGACCTTACTCTCAAATTCTCATGACTCCACCGTGCGAACTTGGGATATCAGACCATTCGCTCCGGTCGACCGGGCCGTACGGACCTATGATGGAGCTCCTTCAAGCTTCGAAAAGAATCTGATACGAGCAAGCTGGAGTCCGAAAGGAGATAAGATTTGTGCTGGAGCAGGTGATCGGACCGTAGTGGTCTGGGACGCCGCTTCCGCGAAATTACTTTATAAACTCCCTGGGCATAAAGGCACAGTCAACGACGTACGGTTCTCGCCTACCGAAGACCCAATCAGTGAGTGATCTTGACTTGGCATCCTGAATATTGCTGACCCCTTCAGTTGTCTCTGGTTCGACGGATCGCAACCTCATTCTCGGTGAGTTAGGCCGGTGACGACTTCGTGGGTACGTCATATAGATGCCTCTCGACAGTCCTCTGCTTGAGCAATGATCCTTCGATCGTATGATTTGGGGTTTCTCGATGAAACCGCCTAATGCATACTCTGAAAGAGACAAACCCCGCCAGCCTCGGGTGGTCGTTTTCACGATGAATGGAGAATGAATTCTTTGCGTGAAGCGCAAACTATCGTGGCACCGCAGCCTCTATGGGTGCTCGCTATTGCATGGAGACCCCAAACAACCTTTCTGTTGTTGCCAAAGACTCCTAAATGCAAATTGGCTACAGATGGTGAGAACATGGACATCGTATTTCACCGCTCTCGTCTACCCGGCATGTGACAACAGACCGGCCTTGATAAAGGGGAAACTCTTTCAGCAAGGCTGCACCAGTCCTTTACCCGTGAGACTTCGGGCCCAAATTTGCCTTGCACATGTCTCCAGCTGATCGCCTTCGTACGATGACCTTCGGTACTCGATGGCTTGTGATTGTCCTGTCGGAGAGAAGAACAGAATCCAACCAAAGTCTATTCACGCTATTTTCCACTTCTACAACACCTCCACCTTGAGTCGCAGGTTTGGAGCCCAAATGGATTCATTATCACCTCCTAGGAAGCAGATCAATTGAGATATCAAACGTCACACTGAGTTGGAAACGCCAGCAGAACTGTTCAATACGTCCACCTGTACAAAAATATCAAAAGGGGCCGGCTCCGCTCGTCCTTCAGGAGTGGCACTGAGATTCGACACGAGGACCAGGAGAACACAAAAGTTCGCTATACCTAGTGGCATGCTAAATTATTTGTCGAAAATCCCTCGATATCAACCTGGCTCTATCACAACCGTAGGTTGGTCATAGCTTGAGCTGCTGCCTTCAACTCCGCCTCACTGGGATAATTCACGATCATAAGATACAGCACATCCGACTTCATCAATCCTTTGATTCCTCCTTGCGGAGCTCGCTTGTTGACACCGGTGATATCGTAGCGCGGCTCGCGGCCCCTCGCAACACGTCTTGAGTCCTTGAACTGGCGCTTGCGTACCCTTCTCTCAGCCCTTGCTCGATCCATCTCAGTCGTGTCGATCTTGCCGCCGCTCAGCAGAGCGATTAAACTGCCGCTGTTGGCGGGATGATTGGGATCGCTGAAGCGCGACGCAAATTGCCTCTCCTGATACAAGTTTAGTTTGGATCCAGGATTCGCCTGCTCGAACTTGGCCTGGGCCCGGCGATCAAAATAGTCAACCAGTCGTTTGCTGCTGCGCTTGAATGCATTCTCTTTCTCGCCTGCCGGTAGATCGTCCAGCTCTGGGAAGATGATGGGTGCAGACTCAGGTATCTCGACTTCTCTCGAAGAACCTGCTGCGTTGGCAAATCGGCTCCCTCGTCCCGAATCCCTTTTTGCGATCGAGGTTACCACGTGGGTATTCATGTCAACGTTTTGGACCACATCATCGGAGTCGGGTTGATATGCCATAACCAAGGCATATAGGCCTCGAGGCTTGAAAAAGCTTTCGTTCATGTTGTCCAGATATTTGTTCGACTCATACTTCACATATTGTCTCCTTGACAGCTCAACGCCGGTGTGAATCACCATGGCACCGACGTGGACGGGAAACATGGGTCCCACCATGATGTCACTGGCAATGACGGCTCCAGCGCACGCCAGGTTGAAAGCATGAAAAACCGGATGCAACTGAACAAGCAATAGAATCAGCCTATATGGTCACACCATTCATGAAGAGGAACGAAGTTCAATACCTGAATCGCTTTTCCAAACCCATCTAGAAAGTCGAGAAACTCGCCCTGCTCGACTCCGCAGGTCTGCAGCATCGGTGCATAGGCACGAATGAAGCCTCGTTCCTTGCTCTTTGGCCGGCGCTGAGGCAGGATAACGGGCATTTCCAGTTTACCAGCAACTGGCGAATATTTGGGAGGTGGGTGTCTTTTCATAAAGGCCTCCAACACTTCATCAACGTCGTGAGCATTGTCCAGTTGAATGTCTTTGGATTTTGGTGCAATCGACTGCTGAACCTCGTCGAGTTCTTGTGCCGCTGCCTCGCCGTCAGATGACTCGACCGACGAGGTATCCGAAAGGTCGGTTTCAGCCTCAGTGGAGGCCGGAACTTTCAGCTGGGTCTGACCGGTCGTGGTCTTTTTGACGTCGTGGTCGGCCATTGCCTCACGCGCAAGACCATAGGCGCCAGTCACGCCTTTTGCCAACAGTTTGATGGGGAACATGTGGAGTGTTGTTCCAAGATTTGGGGGAACGCCTAGGCTGAACTTCAATGCAGAAAACACGATGACTTTTGCGCTGGGTAATAGATGGGAGAATGTAGACTGGGATGCAAGCCCTTCGAGGCAGCACACTGCTCTTCATTATATACACTTTCGAATGATGCTGGAGACAGGCGAATTGCCGGATGTGTCGAACAGGATCACAGCACAAGGGGTCTTCGAGGCTGATCCATGAGGCAGTGGTTTTTCTCGAGCAATATTCCAATATAGGCCGTAGAGCAGATCGCACCTCGCGAGATCGCAGAGACTTCCCCATTTAGTATCTAGTTCGAGGGAGTCACAGTCCATTGAGTATTGCAGGTGGGCACTAGCGAGCCGATGCAAGGAACAAGGCTTGTTGCAGGGCGAGGACGATATTAGCCGAGTTTGGACTCTTTCGCGAGGAGAAGAGGTGGGAAAAACGTCATAACGCGAGTTGTTGGGTGCGGAATACCCCGTCGCGCCTAGGGACGGGCCCCTGTACGAGTATTCTCGCTGCTTAAGGGGGGCCGTGCAATGTTTACTGGCCATGCAGGGCCCTAGACGAACGAGTTGGTGAGGTCGACCAGGCCTGGCTGCCAGTCCTTAGCCGCTAGTTAGCGTACAAGGCCATCCCTTCCTAGGTAGCGAGTAGGTACCTAGGTTAGAGCTTGTACCTACTACCCTCTGGCCTAATGCCCAGTAGTAGCGACGCTTTGACTGGCCCATCTTCTTCCTGCGGTGACACACGACCACATGGCGTTTCAGAACGCGTCCTGTTTCCAACCATCCTGTCGACCTCCGTTGCCCTCTCGCTCCTTTCGGCGACATCGCGGTTGACCAGTTCGCCCATATGTGTGACTCGTCTCCTGCTTAATGGGGACAGAAAATGACAGCCTGTCAACCGAACTGTCTTTCGCGATCCAAAGGGTGTCAAATGTTTCACTCGCATCAAGTAGAACAACAACATTCCTCTGCCGATTCTTCGCTCCTTGCACCATTGAACCGAAGAACATAGCCCAAGATGGCCGTTTCCTTGTGGCAACCACTGGTCAAAAGCATGGTCCTGTTTCTGAGACTCGAGTCTGGACGCGGCTCGTGTATTCACTTTGATGTTGTGTTGCTTCCTCTTTTGTCAACCTGTAACCCACGACGGTAAAGTCCACTGCTTTTCCTCTTCTCCTCCTGCATCTCATATCGACCTTTCCTCGTCCTCTCCTCGAAGAGTAGTTTACTTCAAGCGACCCAGAAAAAAATAAGATCAGGATATAACTTCTGCAACCATGGAAGAGAGACGCGGTCTGCATCCTCACCAAGCACAGAGGGATACGCAGACACGGACAGTGGGCGGCATGTCGCGGCTATGGAGGTCAAATCAGAGCTCCAACAGTGCTGCAACTTCACCCAACTCCGCCGGAAAGACTTTCGTCGTTCCCTTGTTCCTGGCCCCGTCCCGTCGCTCAGCCCGAAACGATATGTTCGCTCGAGGCGCGTTGTCTACCAGCTCGAGGGACGAGGTGTCACCCCGTCCAGTCATGGAGAATGCTCCGAGATTTGGAGAGGTGCCGCCACTATCAACCCGACGAGATGACGAGGACGAGCAATCAGACATGTACGCAGGAAGCTCGTGTCATCAGCCATCTTTGACGGAGGCGACCGAACCAATACCTCTTGCTCGAAATATGGACGATGAGCCTACCCCTTCCGAACGACAGGCCATGCAATCGTACCGTAATGGCAGCAGTACGAGCAGGAGCAGCCGTTCTTCGAAACGAAGCAACAGAAAACACGGCGTGTTTTCCAAGAAATCATATCGTGACCCAGATGTCAACGCAAAGGCAAGAATCAGCTTTGCATTTGGCGTCACCTTGCTGGCTGCGGTGATTATTTGTGAGTTGGCAGCCATCGAGCTTCGCGGATATAACTCCTGACACATCCAGACTTGGTCCTTGCAACCACCGGCGTGGGTAGAAATACCCTGTTTCATGTCCTCTCGATCCTTCTGATCCTGACCTTGACCGGGATCTTCATTCATCAACTCATCCGCATGTGCATGCTCATGCGACGACCAAAGAGGTCCAGACGTCGGGCGGCGGCGGGGGCTCAACGCCGACCTGTCGCAGGCCATGCTCGAGGCAGTCGTGATAGACGACGGGCGCAGAACAAACGAGTTGATGACTTGGTCCTTGAAAAGCCCATCCAGATACACATGGCGACGGACACGGGTTTCGGGCCCGATGTGGAAAACCAACCTGCAGTTCAGTTTCCCCCACCTGTATATGGGAACACTCGAACCAGCATGGTAAGCACTCAAAACAAAGGAGTGACACGGATAACTGACACTGTATGGTAGAGACTGAATCCGGATCTAGTACACTGGAAGGAAGTACAAGTACCGCCCACACCTCTGACGCCCACATACGAAGAAGCACTGAACCAAGTCCATCAGAGTGTCGGATACCGTCCGCCGAGTTACTTGTCGGACAGTGGAACAACGGCAGCTATAGAGAACCGTACTAGAGACGTGAACGCTGCGCTCGAGAATATCCATCCCCTGGAGCGAGATCGCATGAGGACATTGGCCGCTGCTGCACTTGAGGGCCGCGATCACATCTAGTTACTGCCAAACAACTATTCTTCATCTCCAGGCAAAGACTAAAGCCTTAACCGGAATTCAGCAGACATACGTAGAAGGGTTTAGTTTTACGCGGCACAGTGAGAATTTCAGTGTTGGATTCATATTTGTCCATTAGGAATTGTTGGTAAACTATCATGTAGTTGAACCATGCATGCCTCAATTTGAGGTCAGTTGGGGTATCTCAGCGCTCGTTGTGCTTTCCTCCCGTGTTTGATCCTTTCATATCCCATCATGTTCTCTTGTTGGTGAGAAATCTAGTGCTTGGCAGCCTCTTTGTGAACATCGGCCTTGCGGTCATGCTTCTGTTCGTCGAGCTTATCTGAGAGGGCATCACCAGCAGCCTGGGCGCGAGTGGTGAGGTCGGCGTTGTTGTCTTTGGCGACGTTCTTGTTGGCTTCCTTGGAAGCAGTGGCGCCGGCGCCGGAGATGGACTCCTTGACATAGTCAACGGTGTTCCTACAAGAGGACGTGTCAGTAGATGCCGCGAGTACAAGATCGAGGGTGGGAAGGAGTGTCAACTTACTTGATGGTATCCATTGTGGTGAGTGGTGATTGATTTGAAACAAGTTGTTCCTTGATTGTTGGAAATGGTTTGATTCTGGAGTTTTGATAGACTTTCGAAGGGTTTGTTGCTCTGTGATGATGAAGAGGAAAAGACTTCCTGAGTTGTCCGGGAATTTCTCAGAGTTTATATAGACAATCACAGGTTCGTGACAAGGGGAACAGTGAATGATCAGCTGCCACCCCCTCGATCTGCGTTTCTGGTCCCCAAGATCGAGGAAGCATATGCAGCTACGTCATGTCCAGATTCACGTATGACGCCAATGACGTGTGACGCCCACCGTCATTGGTGAATTGGTGACGGAAAGCTGAATACACGTGACGGTGCCTGGAAATGGTGGCTTTGACTGGACTCCACCACCCCATCCCAAACCCTGATGGGATTTTTACTTTTTCTCCCCTTCCTTTGTGTGAAGGGACTTCTTTGTTCCTCGAGCCCACCGACGGCGATTTCCAGCATCGCCACAGCTGATACTAGCTAGTCCTGTGCTTGACACGATGATCTGACCTCTTTCAGTCTCTAGCTCTCCTCGGGGATGAGGGATGACACCATGTGTTTCTCTGCCTCGGCCTCACAACAAACTCTGTCTCAGACAGCCACAGTGCCACCAGATGCTCTTCGCAGACGCAACTGGCTTGGTCCTGAGCAGACGAGTTCAACATTAGAGCATAGCTTGCGACTTCATACTCCAGTGCTCGGATATCCCGCAAGCCCCGAGAAAAGGGTGCCCTACTCGTAGGAATACTTCAATTTGAGCACATCAGCCCCCAACGAGCTTCTGATTTGTCTTACTCTATCGACACTCGGTACACGGAATGATGCCGCCGAACAAGTCTGGAGTTAGGCACCCCAAAAGCTGGAGAATTCTTAGCGAACCTGCGGATAGTCACAGGAATTGGTGTCTTGAATTAGTCGCTTGACGACTGACCACCGTGCCCGTGGCCACCTGGACACAACCGAACATTGCACCAGTTCGCGACTATATACGCTTTGGGTATGATTGTGCACTACAGCCCATTCATTTCCTTATTACTGTGTAGCTCTAACCTCTATACAGTTAGCATATGTCTGCTCTACGAGCGCGAGCTACCTTTCCTCGGTTTAATTGCCTTCTGGCAAACCCCCAATCAACTCGAGTTCTCTTGTATTTGTCTTCATACCTTCAGAAATACTTACTCTTCAGCCAAGCGAATTCCAGAGATGCTGTGAACACTTCTGCCTCGCATCCTTCTGACATGCCACGGCCTTGCAGATGTATCTCTATTTAGTTCTTGCTTGGCTGGTAGCATCGCGGTTTTCTTCGTGGATCTACACAATTTTCTTTTGCTCGGTCACTATGCTTGTGCACGAATCAAGCAGATGTATCTGCACACGTGCAGTCTACATCGGAGTTGTCATCTGATGGCCAACCATTGCTGCATCTGTTAAAAAGCCCTTCAAAGTACTTCTTCAGCACCTCTGGTCGTGTCAATCGTTCCTGCATTTGCATTTCCAGAACGGTCAGGTTCGCCACGTCGTTCGTTTCGCCTGAGCTTACCTTGCAGGGCTTCCTCCCTTTGCGATCAGATAACCAATAGAACGTCCGCTAATAGCTTGTCCCTCATCGCACAACCAATCATGATGGCGATCAAAACATTGCTCGTCTCCACACTCGCTGCCACATTCGCATTGGCATCTCCTGCTCGACGGACTGGCGCGGCTGTCAATTCTACCACCTGCAATGGCCAGACTTATGTCTACGAGGCTCTCGCTGGATATGGATTCACGCCATCGGATGCGCGTGACAAGTTTGGTGATACCGCTGGAGGTATTGGCAGTAGCGCTGCCATTGACCAACGCTCCTGGAAGGTCGACAAGAATGGCGTCTACTCGGGTATTCTCTGGGCTCTCCCGGATAGAGGCTGGAACACCGAAGGGACTCTGAATTATCAACCTCGAGTCCACAAGTTCCAGATCACTTTCAAGCCCAACTACGACTCCACGACGGCAAACCCAAGCTCGCCCAACGTTCACTTGCAGTACCTTGACACGGTCCGTTTCACAGACCCCGCTGGGACACCACTGACCGGTCTCGATCCCGATCTCCGACCCCCATACCTTACCTTTCCTGGCATCCCCGAGCTTCCATCTGCCACCTACACTGGTGACGGCTTCGGCGGCAATGGCACTGGGGGCCACCGTGTGGTTGGGGATACGGAAGGTCTTGTCCTCAGTCACGATGGGTTCTGGGTTTCCGATGAGTACGGTCCTTACATCTTCCATTTCGACCATAGTGGTAAGATGACCGGAGCTATCCGACCTCCAGCTGCCATCATTCCTGAGAGAAACGGCACCGAGTCGTTCAACGCCGCTAGCCCTCCTCGTTATGACCCTGATTTGGAGACGATCCCAGCAACTCCCGACACCGGGCGCTCAAATAACCAAGGATTGGAAGGCCTCACCTCTTCGCCCGACAAGAAAACTCTCTATGCTCTGATGCAATCGGCCTTGGCACAGGAAGGTGGTGATAACTCTTCAACCCGACGTCTAACTCGTCTGCTCGAGTATGATGTGAGTGACCCTTCTTCGCCAATTTACAAGTCCGAGTACATGGTTCCACTCCCAGTATTCAGCAACAACACCCTGGTTGCTGCTCAATCCGAACTCCACTATATCAACCCGACCCAGTTCCTTGTCCTTGCTCGAGATTCTGGCCGCGGTCATGGTCAGTCCAACTCGACATCCCGATACCGCCACATTGATGTCATCGACATCTCCAAAGCCACCAATCTGGCGGGAAACACCTACGACTGCACCACTTGCTCTGCGGCTTCCGTGGACGGTGTTCTCGCTGCGTCGATCATACCGGCGACATATTGCTCTTGGCTCGACTACAATGTCAACGCCCAGCTCAATCGTTTTGGCGTGCACAATGGTGGTCCCCAAGACGCCGGTCTTCTGAATGAAAAATGGGAGTCGATAGCCGTGGTCCCTGTCAATCCTTCCGGTCCCACCTGCAAAGACGGATATACCAAGTCTGACGGGGAGTATTTCATCTTCAGCTTGAGTGACAACGACTTTATCACTCAGAATGGATTCATGAACGGCGGGCAGTTGCCGTACGCCGACGAGAGTGGATTCAGCCTGGACAATCAAGTGTTGGTCTTTAAGGTTAAGTTGCCTACCCATTGAGATATGGGAGGACCTTTGTCGTATGGCCCACATTAATGGACTTGAGCGAGCAGAAGCGTGCACCATGCCGGAAATGAAGCCGACATGCGGTTCGCAAGCATTTACACGTATACTCTACCCCCTCTCTAGCATAATGGACACTATGTACATACGATTACGATAGTATATATTACTTCGATGATCTCTGCCTCGCATGCGCGTGGACGAGAAACTTTACCACATTACTCAGAACATGGCTTTGAACATGGCAGCATGGACTTTTCACACCTCACGAGGTCTATCTTTGCGTCTTCTTCTGGTCCGCAAACTCATGCACAGTCCTTGTTAATGCCGAGAAATGGCCGTCCAACCACCTTACGGACGTGTCTCCAGGTCCAGGTCGTCTCTAGGTCGCCTCCTGGATGCACTTGTCGATCTCGGGGAGATGCGTGCCACGAGCTTCCGCGAGCCACCATTCGAGATGTATGAGGGATATTCTACCAGTTGTGTTGATCGCTGAGGAAGCTGAACACCTCGATATACCAGCTGTGGTCACTTTTGTTGTGTCCTCGTGCAGGTACTTTTGTCTCGCTGGCTTTGCTACTAATACAGCTGTGCAACGGTATCTCTTGGAGTTTTACTGGGTCAGCTTTTCTACATACGGTCACCGGGGGGCCTTTCTATCCCGCCAACCCGCTCACCTCATCGCAGCTACCCAACGCCCCCCAAAAAATATATCAGCCGCAAACGCCAGCTCAGGCCTCGCGTCTTCGGCACCATGATCCTTCCCGAGAAGCCAGCTGAAAGTGCGTTGGTCCCCATACGACTAGGACTAGTGTGTATTACATGTCCAGGCATGTCAAAACGGCTGATCGGCTGCGGGGTATGCACGCGGTGTTTTTATCGTTGGCGATATCACTAGTTAGCTGGATGTCGAGCTGATCGCGGACCTCTCTCCGGATATCCCAGCGCAACCCAGTCCAAAACCCCAGGCCTCGGTTTCCGCATCTTCTCATCGGTCTTCTAGGAGATGGGGATGGGAATGGACAGAAAATCGCTCACAAGGAACAGAAAGTCACGAGGATGCAAGGGGGGTGATTTGAACCCAATTCGACGGCAACCCCCTAATACTTGCCACCCTCCTTCACAGGACCTCAGGTTCACCCAGGTCGGTGTTTCGCCTGATACTATTACTCCGTACAGGGTATCTAGGTATGTATGTAAAAGGGTAAAGGCACCAGAGCGAGGATTGTTCAAGTGCAACCCTTCGTTAGTCTTTCGGCTGCGCGGTCCCTGTCATGCGCCCGCCCACGTCCTCGCCCTGGGAGAGCGTCGTCTTTTAGGATGATACTGCTAACCTGGACTGGGACTTGTATATCCCTCTCGCTCTCCTAGGTGCCCGGTATCTAGGACAAGGGGGTCCTCTTATCTTTCCTTTTCTGGATAAGACGGCGTAAAACTATTTACCTCCCTTAGGGTCCTGTACCCACCGAGGCTGGTCTGTATGTATCATGCTCTGTACGACGGAACGAGTCCCCCGTCCTACAAGTATAGATATCTCCCATTCCCCTTGCGCCCGCCCCGCCCCGCATCTTCGTTTCAATACTACAAGTATTATCAGTTCTCTTGAGACTGACATCCCTCAAAAAGTCCATTCGATGCTCAGCTCTTCGTATGCTCGTATAGATTGCTGTCGCCGTCGATTCTGAGCTGTCTCCCTGTCATTAGCGTTGTTGATCACAATCACGATCAGGCTGACAGCCAAGAAGGGGTGAGCGTCAGCCGTGAGTGTGAACGTGAGAGTGAGCGTGAGCGAGAGCCGGCCAAGAAAGCAGGAGCCTGTACCGAACACGAGGCTGATCCCGTCAGGAGGGAGGGCCCTATCCCTGATATCTTTCCACGCGACGGCTCGCAGCGTGGGCCTTTTTGAGCGATCGTGATAACAAAACATAGTCAGCCACCGTGGCATAGGGGAATCTGGAACTGGGAGTTCCGATCCATATGCATTTTACCACACTGGCCTTTCGACATTCCAGCTTGAATCTCCAAGCACCCAGAGCGCCGTCGATCAAGGCGCCGACCGAGGTGGTGTCGTCGCAGACAATGTCGACCACAGCCACGGCTACGGCCACGGGTACTGCAGACCGTGACTGCGACTGCGACAAGAATTGCGACACGCACTTGCACTCGAAGATGGAAGCCCTAGGCGTGTCGTGCTGGGACTTTGCCTACCCGACGGGGAAATGCCCCCTGCCGCCGGTCAAGAACTGCAGCTTCGCCTCCACGGAGGCAAAGTCGGCTCCTAGTCCGCGGAGAGCGCGGGGCGAGCGCAGGTTCAAGCACGAGGACCTCGTCACCAGCGGCCGCGCGGGTGGTGCAGAGATGGTGATGGTGGCAGCCGCGGCGGTGGTGTCTGGACTAGGACCAGACGACGTGGGGGATGGTGGACAATGTCCATGGCAGATCTCCACGACGGGCACGAGATCAAGGTCGCGGTCGCGAACACAACATCATCACGATAGTCATCAGCATCACGATGGTACCAAAACGCACAAGAACGGCACGAGTAAACACCACCACCACCACCACCACCATCACAATCACCAGCAACAACCACGCAGCACTACCGCCGAACTACGAACCTACCTCCTCTCCTGCCCGACCATCCCCTCCATCACCTACCCGCACACCCACACGACCATCTCGACCCTGCTCCTCACGCCCCGCACACAACTCGTCCTCCTCGTGCCACAGTCCAACATCCTCTGCCCCAAGGTGTGCGAGCTGATGCGCCTGCCCCGCGCAGGCGGCAGCGGGATCTGCATACTCCCCGTGCCGCCGGAGATTGAGATGCGGGTTGTCACCGACGCCGACACCGACACCAATCCCGATCCGAATACCGCTACCGCCGCCGAACTCGAATTCGAATTCGAATCCGACGGCAAAGTCCATCTCAATGGCGCAAGCGACAGCGCGCGCGAGCACATCTCCACGGCCATGTCGATAATCGACGCCCTCGCCGTCGACGAGGTCGTCGCCAAGATTCTGAAGAATACCCCCGCCAGGGCCTTTGACGGGTATGTCGCGTTCGAGGACGAAAGGGCCGCCTGGACGTTTTTGCACCGCGTCGGGAGGGGCGTCATGGATAAGGGGGTGGGGAAGGGTAAGGGCGGTAAGGGCAAAGCGGTTGTGGGGAAGGGGCGGTAATGATGTCGAGGTCGGGGTCGGTGTCAATGGCAATCGCAATGGCAATGGCGAGGGGGTATGGGTATCGGTGGTATCGGTGGAGGGTCGAGGTGAGATAGAACGATATCACGACGACGGTGACGGCGACGGCGACGGCGATGGAGGAATCGATTACCTCACAGTCGTTTCAACTCGATCATGCCCATGTCCATGTCCATTTTCATATTTCTTGGCCTAGGGTTTTATTTGGGCTAGGCTGGACGGATATATCTACGTATCTACATATATGAATTACATATGTAGGATTTGGATTTGGATTTGGTCTTGGTCTTGGTTTTTGGTATTGGTCTTAGGGTTCGCCTTGGTGGTCACCTACATGACTACTATATACATGTACCTACCCTGCCCCTACCAGCCGAGCCTCATACGATGCATACAATGAATGGATGGGTTCTGTGTGTAGTCACCTAAGTTACCAGAGTAGCTGGCTTGTTACCTGGGATATGGACTTGGATATATGTTTGTATGCATGTATGTATGTATATTACACTAGAAACCCATTCCCTCCTACCTATGGTAGGTAGTTACAACTCCCCTCTCACCCGCGACCCGTGCCCGTGACCGTGACCGCTTGCCGCTCCCCTCTTCCTGACCATCCAGCTCCAATGCCTGGTCGGATCGTCCAACATGGCCCGCCACGCTGGCAGATCGGGTGCCCCAGGACCGAGTCGGAGCTCGATCGCCTCGATCGCTAGCGGGAGGTACTTTTGCGCGCCACGCAGGCTGCCCACCGCGCTGTACATGAGCGCCGCGTAGCAGTACGCCGGGTCGAGGTACCCCTCCAAGCCCTCATCGCGGTGTAGCTGCACGAGGCGCTCGGCGTGCTTGACGCTGGCGTCTGAAGTCGGGTCGGACCAGCGCGAGAGCGTGTTTTGGAGGGAGGCTATCTCAGACAAGGCCGCGTCGACATCAGTATCTGAACCTGCGTTTGTGTGGGTGTCGGTCCTGCCATCGCGGACGCAGCGCGAGCATGTACATGTAAAATGGAACGCGTCCGAGAGGTATTTCTGCCGCACAGCCCGCGGGGCCAGCGGGTTGGTGTAGGCGATGGTGATCTCCTCGCCCTTGCGGATCGGACGCGTGGCACGCACGACGTGGGCGAGAGTCGACGCGTTGATGTAGAAGACAGCGTTGGGCGCACAGTCGTGGTTCATGCGCGATGCCTCGGGGATGACGGCCAGATGGGCTGTCCCTGACCCAGGCATGTCCGCAGCCGATGCTTCGGGATTACTTCCTTGCTTCCCGTCGAGTCGGATCTCAAAGGCGTTTGCTCCGGCAATATCCTGTGCGCGGTGGCTGTCCTTCTCGTCGTCGGAGAGCGTGGCTAAATTCCAATACGCTTCGCGCGATGGGGTGGGTAACTGGAAAATTGCCAGCCGGAGAAATTTCTCTCGCTGGTCTTTGGGGAGGAGGTCTTCCTTGGACGCGAGCAACACAGGAGTGTAGGCCGTGATCATGTCGCCACGGATCAGGTCACGTTTGGCCAGCATACCGATTCCCTTGCCAGGGACCGGGTGTGTGTACCACGCACCTGTGAAATGGTTGACCCCCGATGCGTCGCCATCCGGTTGTACCGAGCTCTTCAAAGAGGCTAGGAGGGAAACAAATTCTTTGGCAACTTCTGGAGTAGTGAAGATCGAGATACCCCGGCCATCGCTGAAGAACCGGTCGGTGTAGACGCACAGTTCGCTGTCGATTTCACTGATCTTTGCCGTACACGCAGGCTTGTATGACCACGGCGCGAAAGTGTCTGCGTCCGCTGAGACGCTGTCATTGGTCCCTAGACCAAAATCATCGCCGCTGAACCGGTAGGTTAACTGGTCGGAAGCCGCTGGGGTTTTGGTGTCTTCAACCACGTTGGTTCCGGTGACAAGTAGTTGGAAGAGGGAGAGCGCAACCAGAACAAGCATTTCAGTCACCCCAGCATGTCTTGCCAGTTCATTTCTCTCTTCTCAATCCATACAAGTAGTTTATGGGTTGTCGAGTGTGGGGGCGGTCAAGTCAGGTTAGGGGGAGGAACCCAAGGTCGCGGGTACCAAGAGAAACCAAGGAATACCAAGCCATGCCATTGATTTTTGGGAGGGCGTCGCATCTTTCTTTACCCAGAGCATCCCATCCTGTAGTTTCACGTCAGCTGGGCTGTGTGGACACCGTATCTTGAGGTCATGATCAATGGAGACCTGAATTGCGATGGTAATTATTGTGCGGGCAGAAGTGCTTCCTTGTCTGGGAAGTGGACGAAAATAGACCAGCTAAGGTCACGCCCTCATACCAAAACATGTTACACAGTAACAGCTCTTCGTGTGGATCTTGAACTAACCAAAGTACTCGTAAGTGCAAGACTCATCCGCCATTAGTCATTGACTTGTATGTAAATTATGCCCCGGGCCTCGCATTAAGCCTCTGAGAGCATCAACCACAAAGGCACTCGTAGCCTCGGTTTATCGGCTGAATGCCCCTCCTGGATTCTGATGCCTCTCTAAATAGGTAGGTATATACAAAAATCGAACCAGGTCGACTCTCCATCAGTCAATCGCTTCGCCCCGTCTACTCCAGCTCATCATGTCGTCGGCCACTGCCAAGTACAAGTTCAACCAGATCGGCATCAGAGTCTCTGACCTCGACCGATCCTTGCATTTCTACAAGGATGTCTTGGGTATGACAGAACTGGGGCGTATGGAGCTTGACACTGTCAAGATTTGTTTTGTGGCATTTCCTGAGGGTGATGCCGGCACAGCCGGCGACATGAGCACGCTCCTATCCAGGCAAGCTGTACTGGAATTGATCTGGTCAGAGGTACGTTTCCTCTTGAGCAAGGACCAACACGGTAGTCTTTCAGGCCATGCGAGCTGATTGTGGCGCAGCACTCGTCGAAACTTATAACCAACCCCAACGAGCACCCAGGATTCGGCTTCATCAAGCTCTGCTTCACAGTTCCAGATCTTCCAGCTTGCATGCAACGACTTGTCGACAACGGGGTCAAGATCCTCAAACAGCCTGGCTCCACCCAGGGCCTGGAGGTGGCGGCTCGTGCAACTGGAGCAGAGTCCCCGGAAAAGGGGAGAAATGAGGGACTGTGGAAGGCTGTCACTGGAGTAGGTTTCGCAGAGGATCCTGACGGGTATCTTGTCGAAATCTTACAGTATTGAGCTTGATATCAAGGGGGCATAAAGAATAGCCCATGTGGTGCCATGGCTGCAAGGGGGTCTTTGGTCGTTGGTTTCTGAGACAGAGCACGGAATGTCTGAGATGGAGTTGGCATCAGAGCCCAGCTGGAGATCAGAGACTCGACATTGTCAGTGTACAGGTAGAGTACAAGTATGCTGTTTGTATACACCAATTCATCACATGATATGCAGAAGCAACAACGAGGGATGCAACACAAGGAGATGAAACACCAACCGCTGACTAAGCTTTGCCGGACCCACCCACGGACCTGGTGATTGGTGACTGCCTGGTGACGGTCAAGGCCGATTAATTGCGTCACTGCAGTTCCTTCTGCGAACAGGGGGGGTCACCAGGGCAGGAACTATCGATAAACGCCTGCGCGGGACTGACTGAGTGACTGACTTCTTCACACCCCTCCTACTCACACGACCTTTTCATCTTCCACCAAACCCACTCCCTTCGTCAAAGCCGTCAACAATCCTTTTCTTCTTCAATACCAACCTAGACCTAGACTTTTGTTGCTAGATCTGCTTTCTACATTCTCCCATAAACTGCAATCGACCCAGTCCTTCCCTCTCTCTCTTGTTTCACCTCCACCACTACATCCACAACCACAAGTCAAGATGCCTCTTTTCAACGTATGCCACACCCTCTCTCAATCTGAGAGTGCAATCACTGACTACATGGCAACAGGTCACCCTCAAGGAAAACGCTTCTCCGGAAGAACTCACCAAGGCCAAAGAAAAGGCCAAGGCCGATGGAGGGGAGATCAAGCACGAATTCACCCTTATTAAGGGGTTTACGTGAGTTTCTTCTTCTGTGTTTCCTCTTGCAGGCTCTCCCTCTGACACACGCATCCACTAACGACTCGTGTGTTGGTTAGCGTCGAGTTCCCTGATGACAAGGTCGGCGTCCTCCAGACAAACGAGCACATCCACGTCGAGCAGGACAGCGAGGTTAGAACCCAATGAGCGTGGCCGCAGACGGGTAGAACAGGACAGGACAGTCTGTGAACAAAATCCAACGCTTTGACTGGATTGTACAATCCGCCTGACTCTTCGGCAACCCTTCAATTCACGAAGTTTGATATGATACGACTCCAACACTTACTACGAGGTTTCTTATGATATCTTCTGTCACGGTCAAAATGGACATTCACGGTTCAGAATCACGGGAGCTTGAGAGGTCAAAGACAGCGTCGGGGTGGAATGGGACACAGGATTTGGTGGACACGACTCTTTTTTAGCTGGAACATCTGGGCCCAAGCCACAATGACATCAATTGAAACCGATATTGAATCACACATGTCCTTTTAGATCGTATGAGTATATCTTCATGCTCTAAAAATCCGTAGCTCGCCCATTATACGTCCACTCCCCACTGGGACCCCATCTCAGCGGTTCGTTCTTGGGCCCTCCAATCTCCCCCGTCTTTGGATTTCTGTCGCCCTCAAACTCGGGCTGTGCCCCTCTCACCAAGTTGGGGTGCAACTCCTCTCCTGCACCGCTCGCGTCAATCACATGAGTATATTGGTTGTCCTGAGGTTTCGTCTGGTCTTTGACGCCGCCGACGGTGGCGGCGGCCGCATCTCCCTCGGTCGGAGACAACGAGTCTGGCGACTGATTAACCCGCGGCGTTGAGAACGCCCCCGTCGACTGACGCTGCAGCGCCTCAAACACGTCCTGCTCCTCCTTGGGCAGCCGCGGCGGCGCAGGCATGCCGCGGAAACTGAACTGTCCACCCGTTGACGGATCGTCTTTCCTCGGCCGTGCAGAGGAGTAGCTGAGTTGTTGGACGCCGCTGCTGGTTCGGGCCAGGATTGAGCGTGGACGTGAGCATGCAGGTGGCGCATATGCACCCCTCAAATTCGCGTTCGCCAGCAGGGGGTTTGGGCTTGTTCTTGTTCTCGAAATTGAACTTGACATTGAGCTCAACCCTGAGCTTGAGATCGACCTTGAGAGCGTCCGCGGAGCAGTGAACAGATGGGCGCGGGGTGCTGCGGTGGTGGTGGCGGCGCACAGAGGCAGAGGCAACGAGCCGCGCAGAGCGTACGATCCAGCGGGTGTCATTTTTTTCTTCTCTCTTCTATTTCCTCTTATGTCCTCCTTTTTGACTCTTGGTTCTTGACTCTTGAGCGCTCGTGACCGTGGCGGCGTCGGTACTTGGTCGTGGTTGTGCTCGTTCGCCGCGTGGCGAGATATATGTAAACGACCAAAGAAGAAAATCTGCGAGTGGGAGGTCCTTGTGCTCTTTCTCTTTTCTCTTTTCTCTTTCTCTTCCTGGGGAGTGACGCAGACACGGATAATTGATGTAAGATATGTATCTCGTTGCTTCGTGCTTCGGAATTTTGTCGCCGGTGACAAAAAAGAACCTACTGCACAGTAGCTTTGGCGAGTTGGCGAGGCGTCGGAAACTGCACCGGCTGTTCTTCGGCAAACCCTGTACATCCAGAGGTCGAGACGTCTCGAGGTACACAATGTGAAAAACACCGCAAAGACAGGGCTTTCGGATCGAAGTGTAGAATGAATAATTTCAAGCTCAGTGCTTAAGTTTTGAATAAATTTTATCGTTACTGCTCTAGAATGCCTTCTCACTAATAGAAGCGAAATAAAAAGATATTCCAAAAGAACTACCTAAACCAGGCATGCCCTCATCCACGAAAGACGTTCGGTTACGCCACCGTTGTGCCTGGCGTTGTGCTCGTTGTTGTCGTTTTCGACGTCGTCGAGGTGCTTGATGAACCTGAAGGCGGTGAGGCACCAGCGTAATCCGCTGCCCAAGTAGCACTGTTGAACTCGGCAAATACTTGGCTGATCTGGCCCGACGGAGTGATTGTGAAGGTGTCGATACCCTTGACAGCATACTGACCAGACCCGATGCCCTGTGCGACCCATCGCCAGGCAACCTTGTTGCAGGAAAAGAAGATATCGAGTGTAGTCAACGTCGGGATCGGTGGCTGTGCACCTTGGCCACCAATGAATGCGGCCTTGCTGGGGAATGTGGTGCTACCAAGCTACCAAGCCGTCAGTACAATACTAAAATCAGAACCTGTGAAAGTGACTTGCTGGGTAACCAGCGAGGAAATTGATGGAGTCGCTGGTGTCAGTGAAGTTGTCTGCCAACAGTGCGTTGGCCTTTGCGGCAAAGTCTGGAGCTTGCGGAGCAGTCAAGAATGAAGCAAAGGTATTGACAATACTGGTCGCTTGGGCTGAGCTAACACAAGTATACGTCGGCGCCGTGATTCCGAGGCAAGAGCAGGCACTGCTGTAGCGACTGGCACCACTGCAAGCCGAAGCGTAGGTTGGCACTGTCGGCGTAGGCGCTGGGCTGAAGAAAGCCGAGCAATCTGCCTGTCGGGTTGCAAGAGGTGGCTGACCTGCTGTGCCGGTGACAGCCCTGAGAGAACATCAGCCTCGGTCACCACAACATCACCAGCCCATACCTTGCACAGTTGTCTGCACCACAAACACCGCGCTCGAAGAACGAGCCACCACCAAAGGGATTGGCGACCACAAAGGGCACGCAGGTACTGAGGGCGAAGAGAAGAGACTTCATGGTGAGACGGAGTTTGGAAAGTGGTTTGGCCAAATGATGTTATGAGTAAGTTGTTGAGCGCTTGCCTTTTGCTAAAGATGTCTGTACCGAGAGGTTGAGTAGAGACGTGACACTGAATGAGATGGAAAACCATGTCCTTTTAATTCTTTTCGAAGACAACAGATGGAAGGGTAGGGAGAAAAGGGGTTACCACATTCAAGCACTACCACGGGATACCCATGTAGTTGTCAACAATCTCAGACAAATCGAGACCGGACAGGGGGTTTAGAAATGGATTCGAGCAGAAAATAGAAGTCCAGAGCACGATTCTTGCGGTCCAATCTCGACATGTGTTACATATTGGCCCATATTGCAGGATACCGTAGACTGCGCCGCCAAATTCGGTCCCGAGCGCCATGGCGAGCAGAAGTCGACGGCTCATGTGAATCAGGGACTTAACTGTCGTCAAGGCTGGATCTTCGTATTCGATGCAGTTGATATTGCAAGGAGGCCGAGAGACCGGCTGTGGCTTGAGACAAGTACGGATATGGCACTCACATTCCAGTGGCATGAGACATGGGTGGATGGAGTGTCCGGCTGAGTTCTCAACTGCATTGCGGATCGGGGCTCCCCTTGCAGAACCTGCATAAGGGCCTCGTAATACTCTTGGATCTGGAATGCATTGGTCTCAGATGGAGATTGAGCTTATTATAGGGCCAGTGCTGGTTGTTTGGTTGGAGAAGGGACTCGAGTTGATTCGGAGTGACATGGAGGAGATGGTACTGGTGTGAGGTCGAAGTGATGAGGTCCTTGGTACCTCGTACACGATGCATGCTGCCTGTAGGGCGCAGGCCGCTTCACTAGTTGCGCCCGCGAGGCTCCCACTGGCGCCGCTTGCCGGATTTCCCCGCATTGAGCCTCCAGAAAAAAAATATTGCAGGCAAAAAGTACTGACTGCGGCGTGACTCAATGAAAAATTCTCCAATAGACACTAACTGACTATTTATCTCCTTCATAGACTGGTTTGCTTTCGAACTGCTCTGAGAAGAGGAGCAAGGTCTTCAATAATTTTGTCATTGCTGTTACCATCGTGCCCAAAATGGCCTTCTCCCTAAGCAAGAGAGTAGCTTGCTCTCAACTCTCCAAGCTTGCTGCTCCCTCACAACGAGCTTCCCTGACTTCGCGACGATATGCCAGTGCTGCTACTGCTGTGCCCACTTCTTCCAGTATTCCCGTTCAAGATGACACCCAGATTCGTCACGAAGTCTCTGTACCCAACCCAGACCCTTCCTCCGACTCGCCGACGGCGACATTTCTGAACCAGTCGACTCCCTATATGGTCCCTACCTATGTTCGACCCCCGCCAATGATGGTACAAGGAGAAGGGTGTACTTTGTATGATAATGAAAATAGACAATATCTGGATTTCACTGCTGGCATAGCAGTTACTTCTTTGGGCCACAACGATCCTGAAATTACCAGACTGATCGCCCACCAGGCACAACGATTGATCCATGCATCTAACCTCTATCACAACCCCTGGACCCCAACACTCTCCAAAGCCTTGATCGAGGAGACCCAGAAGCAATCGCCTGGTTCGCCTCTGACTCAGGTCTTTATCTCAAATTCGGGCTCTGAGGCCAACGAAGCCGCGCTGAAATTTGCTCGCAAGGTGACCTATGCAAAAGATCCAGAGACAAAGCAGCGAGACATTGTGTCATTTCATGGATCTTTCCATGGCCGCACTTATGGCTCGCTCTCGGCCACTCCGAACAAGAAATACCAGGCTCCGTTTGGTCCCATGTTGTCTGGGTTCCGTTATGGAAAGTTCAATGACGTTGAGGGTGTTCAAGAGTTGATCACCGAGAACACTGCAGGAGTGATTGTCGAACCAATTCAGGGTGAAGGGGGTGTCAATGTTGCCACCCCGGCGTTCCTTCAGGCCCTTCGCAAGCGGTGTGACGAGGTCGGTGCGATTCTCATATTCGACGAGATTCAATGTGGCCTGTCAAGGACTGGAGACCTCTGGGCATACACTGCATCTGGCGTGCACCCCGATATTCTAACAACCGCCAAAGCTTTGGGCAACGGTATCCCTATTGGAGCCACCCTCGTGTCAGGCAAGACCGTCGCTCCGTACATCAAGACGGGCGACCACGGAACAACCTTTGGCGGCAATCCTTTGGCTTGCCGAGTCGCTCATCACGTCTTTGGTCGACTCGCCAAGCCTCAATTACAGGAAGAAGTTCGAATCAAGTCGACTCTCTTCTTCAGCGCCTTTGAAACTATGAAGGAAAAGTTCCCGGGCGTCTTCTCAGAAGTCAGGGGCAAAGGTCTTATTGTCGGTTATCAGCTGTCCGACTCCGCAAAGGAGAAAGCGACAGAGGTCATAACTGCTGCACGAGAAAGGGGTCTTCTAATTATCACTGCAGGGGACGGTGTCCTCAGAATTGTTCCTCCACTTGTGATCTCGCACGAGGAGATCAACAAAGGGCTTGCCATCCTCGAGGATGCCTTGAACGTCGTTTTTAAGAAGCTAAATTAAGTGACAGAGACTACGGGTTAGCAGGAAATGGCTGCTCGCTGAAACGCACTCTGGCTACGCAAGGCTCACTGGCCCGGCCCTAACACATTGGGCTATGTTCTCACTTCGCCTTCTGGCACTGTCATGCCATGGACACCCCGGTAGTCTGGACGACGGCCCTCTTGCCACTTTCCCGCCAAAATGCTGCTTTCCTCGACCAGTTCAAACACCTCGACTTTGAGCGGGCGGCAGCATTTGATCATTTCCTTCTCGCTGTCACTCCCGAAACCCCACAAGGACAGATCTCCACCTGGACAGGTCGACAGCGCCATCAGGAGGTCCTGCTCCGCAAAGAATTCGATATAATCGCCTGGTTGAGCAGGACACGGATTCATAAAGTATCTCCCCCGCGAATCCAGGCCCGTTACCTGGAACAAGTTGATGACGTCGTGAATATCTGATTCGTTGAGGCCGAACGGCAGGACAGCTCTTGTGAGGTTGGAGTGACAATGATAGTCGTACGATGCTTCAGGTCCGGAGAGCAGGGTGTTGATATACGGGTCGCATCTGGTGCCTAGAAGGTCGTGGACTCTACCTCCGGTCTCATCCACTCCATACCAGGAGAGAGAATCAGAGATGATGGTGCACAGAGGACGCATATACGGTAGGCAGGACCAGAGGCGATCATATGTGGTAACGTGGGACGAATGGAGCTGTTTGGTCCGCGACGCCCAGAACCTCTCGCGAGGGTTATTCGCATTCCAGATGTTCAAATCGCCTACCAGAATGTCAGAACCTGATCCTCCATCAAGACTCCTCTTCCTTACCAACTTGAGGCCCTTCGGGCGTGCTGATTCGGACAATACTCTTGGCTGGGGCCTTCCAAGCACGACCTGAACGGATAGGCAAGACAAACGACTCGACAAGTTCCCGAGGACTTTGTTGAATTGATTGATACAACTCTGGGTTGACTGTCAAGGGCGAACCGGCTGTAGGTAGATATGCTGGTTGAGGAGTGGGCAAGGGCTTCCTCGACTTCAGGCGTTCCTCGTTGGACTGCGAGATAGACATTGTCGCAAAGACACCAATTTCCGGTCTTTAGAGAGTCAGTCGTCTTTTGCTATATGAGGCCTCGAGGTTTGTGCTGCTCCATCATGGGCTCAGCACGTTATTTATGGGCTTCTGTACACGGACATGTCCGTCCGCCCTTGGACATCAGTCGGGCATATGTTATCAAAGCTTATTGTCACATAGCATGTTCCGAATCCACGCCAGTGTGAGATACAAGTCGAGTATGGTAAGTCTTCATTTCTATCTTGAGCATCCTCTGTATATCGAATACTTACAACGCAGTTATGAGCCGACAAGGCCGCCACTACACCATGCTCAAGCGTTGCATCAGGCCACCCGCTATAGTCCATGCTATAGCCCATCCAGGCCTAGTGAAACATGTTGGCCATGGATATATGTAACACTAGGCGAAGTCCCCTCAAGCAGGCCCCCGACGACCTCGAGCTTTTGTATCTTTTGCATTTGTTGTCGAAATGGCGACTGCTGGCCTCGGCAGACATGGTCCAAAGACTCGCACCGGTTGTGTAACCTGCAAACGGCGACGGGTCAAGTGTTCTCTGGAGAAGCCTTCGTGCTCTCGATGCGCCAAAGCAGGTCGGGTGTGTGAGGGCTATCAACTCTCAGTGGTTCAAGAAGTTGTCGCGAGTCCTGCCAAAGCAACGACTCCTCCCCATCTCAACAACTCTTCGTCCCTGCTCTCGGCTTTTCGCGCTACCCCGTCTGAATGGCAAGCCTACGGGTTCTACTCCCACCGAATCGCATCCACCTTGGGGGGCGCCTTTGACACGGAGTTGTGGCAGAAGCTGATGCTCCAGGCCGCCGATACCGAGCCGACTGTCCGGAATGGGATCTTTGCCCTGGGGAACCTGTTCAGACACGGCCAAGATGGTGGTGGACAGCATGCGTCCGACTGTGTTTGTGCTCACTGTCGACAAGCACTACGATACTACAACAAATCCATCGTTGCATTGTCAGATTCGCTGCAGGAGCCGAGCACACCGCAGGCGGCTCACGTCGCTCTTCTCTCGTGTATCATCTTCATTTGCCTCGAGTTCTACCGCATGAACGATGACACTGGGATTTCTCTGATCTCCAAGGGATGTAGCATGGTCGCCGAGACTCTGAACAATCAGTCTGCTTCCACGACAGTGTCAATAGATCCGAGCTTGGTGAAGGCGTTTGATCGACTTTGGCTTCTGGCAAAGATGTTTGGACGTCAGCTGCCTCGACCGTCATCGCAGCAATCTCTGATATCTGTGTCTTCCTGGCTGCCGGACTTTGATAGCATAGAAGGAGCAAGAGATTGCCTGCACAAGATTTTGGAGCGTGTTCAGGGCTTAAGAGTGGAGGTCTTCCGGGTGTATTCGAGTTCGTCTCCGACACATGTTTCCGCGGCCAAAGCTTTCTTGGAGAGCGAGCAACAAGCCGCCCAGATTCTTCTCGAGAATTGGCGCAGGAACTGGGAGAAGGTGAGCGCACAGCTGGCACCGAGTGCGGCTCAACACCCGCAAGCCCATCTGATCCTACGCGCCCACTACCTGATCACCAAGGTCGGCGCCTACGCGAGGCTCGACCCAGCGCACCTCAACCATGCAGACCACCTCGACGACTTTAGAGGAATCGTCCTCGCGGCCGAGGAAGGCCTCACACGATTTCCCCTCAAAGACGAAGCCACGGGCTTTTCCTTTGAAATGTCCTTCCTGGCCCCCCTCTACCTGACCGCGATCAAGTGTCGAGACCCCGCGGTGCGCAGGAAAGCTCTGGAGATGATGTTTCTGACAGGCGCCAAGGAAGGATTGTGGTATCGATCCGAATTGACCTGTATTGCCGCACGGGTCATTGAGCTTGAGGAGGGTCTCGTCGCAGGTTTAGGAGAGGGAGATGGAGGGTTCGCCAGAGATGTGGCGGGAAAGCACTTTTTCGACGTCCACGCTGGACTGAACTATCGTAGGGATGGAAAGACGTTTGTAGACGTGGCGTATCTCGTTTACGACGCGGCCAGTCCCGAACGGTGGCGGAGCTGGCGAGAGACTCTGGCAATTGGGGAGTGAATGTTGGTGGCATACAGTACACGACTTGCACTTTGAAGCTTTATCATGACCGTTTTGATGGAAGCATCATTCACGTCTGGGTCTAATATCGAGTATAAGGTATAAGGTAGATATCAGCCCCCTTTCTATTTCAATCCAGCAAAACCCCTAGCTGGCACCATACCCATTCGTGACACAGAGTCAGACCCATCGTCCCATCGCATCGACTCCATCCCACAGCCTTGCCGGCATTTCCCCATCCGGCGCGGTTTCCGATACGCGAGCATCTTCTCATCCCTACTCGTGCAATGGTGCTCGTACTCAATCCTTCCTCATCTCCCTCACAGCCTTCCTTGATGTACGACTTACGAGCACCTATGTAGGTAATTAGGTAGGTAGGTCGTGCTGTTGGTGACGAACAGATCATTCCTCCCTCTACCTACGACTTACGTACCTAGTCCTTGTCCTCGCCTTGTCACTCAGGAAGTCAGTCTCTGCGCCACAAAATAATGTCACCACATGGCAAGGCGAGATTGGGCCTCTACATACCCCACCTACCTACGAACCTACCTATTGAATGTCTAACGTGCGATCGGGCGCTGAGTCCGAGCAAGGTACATACTGCTCCATTCAGCTCGTACTGTTCCCCAGACGCGGCCAAGTGCATACTGTTACAGATATTGCAGTACCATTTCCCCCGGTGGTCCGTCCACCCATCCATGCCTGGATCGGTTGAGGGTATGGCCTCGAGGTTTGTCGTCTGCTTCCTGATCTTGATCTTGATCTAGGGTCGACTCGACGACGCTCTATTCATGGTTCCAACGCGAGATGCATCGCACAGACGGTCTGTGGGTTTGTGGGTTTGTTGGTTTCACTGGTGGCGGAGGAGCAGGCAGCTCTATATTACTGTATATAAGGACGATGTGCCCTCGCTCGCCTTGATGAGACGGTGTTTCACCACATACAGCATTCTTTCCTTGACAGCAATCTTTTACTCTTTTAGTAACGAGCATCGGTTTCGCTCTTCTCACCTAGCCCTTTGTCTTATTTTCTTATTTTCTTGCCTGCCATGGCTATCCTCTGGCATCACAAGCTCGCTCTCATCATTTTACTCCACGCCACCCTCCTTCTCGCCCAACTCCAATGCCCACCCCTAGGCCCCATCCTACCCGCGCCAACGAGCCTGACGCACAACAACAATAACAAGAACTCTACACTCTCCCAAGTCCTCGCGGCCATCACCACGCAACTCCAAGCTTACAGCTCGCAACTCAACGCCACGGGGCTGTCCGTGGGCGTGCGCTCCATCCACGAACCCGCCCCAGTGTTGAGCTTCCACCACACGCCCACGACGTTCAACACGAGCGGCACGCACAAGGTCGACGGCGACACCGTGTACGCGATCGGCAGCGCGACGAAGCTCTTCACCGCGCTGTCGATCCTCCAGCTCCAGGGGAAAATCAACCTCGCGGACCCGATCACGAAATATGTGCCGCGGCTCGCGCAGATGGACGGGAGCCACGATGACCCGTTGACGAGGGTCGATTGGGACAGTGTCACGGTGGATGCCCTGGCGAGCCATTTGGGTGGGATTGGTGCAGACCGTACGTGTTGTTCCCGTCACATTGTCACATTGTCACATTGTCACATTGTCACATTGTCACATGTTCGCCATTTCCGAAGACTCAGGGATTCAAGAAGACTTTGGTCTTGTGCCATTGGGGGAGAAAGAAGAAGAGAAAAAAAAGGCCGTGAAGGGAGAAGAACTGGATTGATTTGTTCTGGACTGACCCATGGATTTCAATCGCAGTCACAAACAGCGTCATCCCATACACGCCCGGCATCACGGATGAGACTGGCCTCCCTCCACTGACTCGCTCCCAAAACTCGCTGTCATGCAGCGGCGCGCCCGGCACTTCTGGTTGTAGCTGGAACGGTATGTTATTTCTTCTCCCCATTGTGCTTCCATATCCTAGGGGGGTGGTTGTTGACGATGACTTACTCGGTGTGACTGACCCATCTCTGTCAAATGACTTCAGACTTCTTCAACAACTTCGCCCGCCGGCCGCCCGTGTACGGCCCCTCGACCACCCCCGTTTACTCGAACATCGGCTACGCGCTGCTCGGGCGCGTCATCGAGAACGTCACCGGAAAGACGTACGCCGCGTACCTGGAAGACGCGGTCTTTGGGCCCGCGGACCTGCGTCGCACGTCCCTCGGGGCTCCCGCCAACACGTCCCTGGGATTCATCCCCGCCGAGACGAATTGGTGGGGGACACCGCTGGGGTATGAGAATAGGTGAGTACAGTCGTCCTCTTTCACAAGACACAGGCTCCTGAATTCCTCCCCTGAGAGTGAGGGGGTTGAGTTGGGTTGGGTGGCCCAAAAAACAAGATGGTGATCATATGGTAACGGTGGGATCTGTACAGCTCCGGCGGGATATACTCGACCAACAACGACCTCCTGTCCTTCGGCACAGCGATCCTCTCCTCAAAGCTCCTCGCCTCACCAGCCAAGACGCGCGCGTGGCTGAAACCCAAGACCTTCACCTCGTCGCCGGGCGTGTCGGTCGGGGCACCGTGGGAGATTGCGCGCGGCGAGAACCTCACGGCCGACGGCCGCCTGATCGACCTGTACACCAAGACCGGCAACCTGGGCGACTACACGGCCATACTGGCGCTGGTGCCGGACTACGACCTCGTCGTGGCCATCAACCTCGCGGGTCCGGATAGCTCGATCGCGGCGATCCAGGTGATTTTCTCGACGCTGGTGCAGGCGCTGGTGCCAGGTGTGGCCGAGGTCGGGCGCAGCGACGCCGAGCTCAAATACGCAGGGACATACACGTCGTCATCCTCGTCTTCGACCGGATCCAACGCCAACGCCACGAGCACCATCACCCTCTCCGTCGACGACTACGGTCTCGTCGTCTCAGACTTTGTCGCGCGCGGCATCGACGTCCGCAGTCCCAGTACCGGCTACGCCGCCCTCGCCGGCTCATCTGACAACACCACCACGACGATCCGACTATACCCGACAAACCTCGCGGCGGGGAACCAAACGGCCTGGCGTGCCGTGTACCAGACCAGCAGCGCGGCGGAGCTGGCGGCGTTTGACGCTGAGCTCTTCTTCCCTCGCGGCAGCTGCCAATCGTGGACAGCCGTCGATTTGCAGACCTACGGGTTCGAGGCGCTCGATTACTTTGTCCTGACGGCCGACGCAGACGGCGTGGTTGTTCGCGTGGAGCCCAGGGCGTGGCGGCTCGTGATGGACAGGACAGCCACGTCGGGACGATGATGTGATGAGGTTTCCGTAGAGGGATGATTGGTGTCGGGATTGAGACTTGAATTTCAACTGTGTTGGATAGCATTTCGTTGGACTCACGGGAGGGTTTGGCTGTTCGTCATATAAAGCCATGGGAAGAAAAGGGCACCACGCTGGAGTTGACTGGTTAATCAGATTACTTACATCCCTTGTATAACGTCCCTCGATAAGAGAAGTAGGATTGCCATGCGAAGAAACGGGACGCGCCTCGTCCGCCTCTGGATGGGAAGTAATTCAATTCCATTCTTGGAGAGTGCCCATCTCACACATTTTTGCCTCATCTTACCACGTACTCCGAGTATCTTCAGGGATTCCTCCACGGCAAAGCAATCAGAGTCGAAACCTTCAAGGTGCAGACGTACTTTACACCTCGTCAGTTACGCCATGTTGCCCCCAACCCGCAGGCCCACCGGTGTCTTCGGCGTCTCCCGACACGATCTCATCCTCAGGCGGCATCCTCGTTCGAGGTGCGTGCTTACCAAATATCCCAGTAAGTTGTCCCTGATAATCCCAGGACTTTAACTTGGAGCGGCGTTGGCGAGAAGAAAGTCGCACCTGGTCTCGCGTGGCCGGAGTAAAAGTCCATTCTAAGCCAGTCTGGATCCGTGGCCGGCGATGAAATCGATGTCGCCCGTCCCATTCATCGTTGGCTCTCCCAGGTCGGGGTTGGACTGCGGTGTCGGCTTCGCGGAGCCACTCTTTCCACGCAGCGTTCATTGGTGCTATCGAGGTTGCTTCATTCAACCATTGAGACGTACCGGTCAAAACAATGGCGGTCCACAGCGCGCTGATGAGGTCTCGCGCTTCCTCATTGCCCTTGAAACCGGCCTTGGCTCCTCCATGCGCGCTGCCTTGCCCACCTTGCCCTTTCTCTATGGCCCAGCCCTTTTGGAATTGGCGCCACTCCTTTCTGACTCTCCCTTCCAATTCATCCACCCTTGAGATTGCAATTGGGGCGTCGAATTCCTGATTCTGGGGATATTGTACTGGCATGATTTCGACATCGTATGCATGTTGCCAGTGGTATCTGAAAGGGTTCAGGGCAGACACGGCCCAGTAGAGGACATTCAGCAAGATATATGAAGCAGCAAAGGCCACCTGGAGAATATTGGACGCATTTGCCAGACACACGACTCCTGTCATGAGCATGACTGTCGACAATAGGGCGAGGGTACGATATAGAGTGTCTGTTTTGAGGCGGGTCATTCGTTTGCCAGCTTCAATAGCGACAGCAGCTTACCGCTGATTGCATATTGTGCGTACTCGAGCTGGAAATACAGGAGCGCAATTTGTTCGGACGTTGGACGAATCACTCGGATTGAGCCCTGATACCAGTCAGTATTTTCGACGACCATCCTTTCTAACCCGCCTTACTCGCTGGTGAGAAGAGCTAGACGCAACAGACTTCGTCAAGCTTGTCCGAATCATAGAATCACACCGCATCTTCTGCATCCAAGTTGACATAAAAGAGCACCAAACTCACATTAGGATAGTAGATAACGACATCTGAGCGAGGTATAACCCCCTCCCGCCCAACTTCCACTCTTGGTTGTTGAAATACCAGATTCCAGTGAGTGCCAAATCCTACGAACGAGCTCACCATCGACAGCATGATGGTCGCCAGCAAGGAGAAACCATCGTGGTAGTAGATAGAGAGCCCGACCAAAGCCAGAGTCAGGGCACTTCCGGCGACTGAAATCCAGAACAAGGCTCCATACTTCTTGGGACCGAATGGACTATGGGTCGATGTTCCTGCAGGCCCTCTTTTCTCAATCACCTGAAGAAGCTCAACCTGGTAATCTTCCAGCGGCTCTGGATGAAGTAATTGTGCGAAGAAATTAAGTTCCCTTTTCATCATGCCGCTGTATGCTCCAGCGACGATACCCGGAGCTGTAGGCAGTCGGTATTTTCGTTCATGTTCAAGCAGGGCGTGGGGAGCTGGCATAAGCCTAGGTAGCGTAGACCACCAAGAAAGACTTGTCGCCTGAGCATTTCGAGTTATCGAGCCTTCTCCAAGCACAGCAATGATACCGACAATATCAAGCTGCAAATCCTTGAAACTGGCAATCCAGCGCATCTTTTATGGCTGATATTGTCAGGCTTGGAGGAAGGCAGTCACACGTCTGGATAGGGGTGCTGAAACGTGTATCTCGCAACTTCACGGTTTCCCTTCGTGCGGCTGAAAAACAGTGTCGGAAAGAAACGAGCGCGGGGTTATCATGGCCCTGATGGTTGGAGGGATAGAGCAAGCGATATATACCCATACCTGTAGGCAGGCTGAGAACGAAGCACCCCCGGGAGATATGACTTCGTATTGGTGTCTTAGGTCGAGAACCTCGACCGCATGCGCCCAATGCCGCCATTGAACCCCCAATCAGGACATGACTTTGTTGGTGTGATTGTCGACTCGGTTCAAAGACTACAAAAGGCCTGAGCTCTCATTTAAGACCACATGATTGCTCCTGAGCATCTCCATATTCATGAAATTGTGATCTTGAAGCCCATATAAGGTTCTCTACTTTTTCATCGTGAGCTGGTGACTACCTCGTTACTCGGCGCTTGGGTAAGGTAATCGATTCCATCGAACGGGCAGCTTCCGCGGACGAAGGGCCGAAGCGTAGTTCCCGTTTTGCGTGGGCCGTTGGGGGCCGTTGTAGGTTTCGCCTTGTTTGAGGCGGGTGGGTGGCCTTGTCTGCCAACAAGGGAAGTTTGTTAGGGATCGTAGGCTGTGACAGACATTCGACTCCGCCTGGGAATTCAGGCCAATGATGGCAGGCAGCTGAAAAAGGCAAGCAGATGCTTTAACCAGTCGATTTTGTTTCACAATAGCCTCATCTAGCCCATCAACGGCGCCGCCACCCCTGTGGATTTGGGACTCGTGCAAGGTAGTTTTTCAGGAGAGGGACGTGGGGGATTTCATCCTCGTCATCAGGACTGCTGGGAGGATTGCTTGGTTGTGAGGGAAATATGGGATCGCAGTTGGACTGAAGGGTTGTTGGTGAGGATATATGTAATCCTCGAGACCGGCATCGATCTTCATAACCTCGTACAGCTGTTAGACTTGCTCCTGTTGTGGGATTCGACGTACCCTGTCCATCGAAATTCTCCCCCCTCCCCTCATTTCTCAGTCAAAGCTTGCGGCTCTTACAAATGGCTTTGTCCAGTTCGTCCTTGTACCCCTCCCGCTCTGCATCAGCGAAGGACCCGGCGTCGGCTGCAAGCGACAGCCCGCGGTGCCCAACGCTCTCCCTATCGATTTCCCCATCTCAATCACCTTCTAGGTCCCCACTACTGCAACCTGGAAACAAATGCACCCAGATGTCGACACCTGAGCCCGCAGAGGGTTCTCAGAATACCTCGATCTTGAATTTGACCAAAAAGTTCAGACATCTTGGACGTCTTCCCTCCAGCTGGATCAAAGCAACGGTGCGCTCCCTTCCCTGCAATCCCCCCAAAATTGCGCCTTACTGACATCGTCCGCAGGATGATCGAACCCCCCCAGAACAATCCTACCTGTGCGACACTTGCCTGCGTCTAGATTTGAACCTTGACTCGTTCTACGTCCAAGACGATAACCGCGAATTTGAAAGAACTCATAAGCCTCGATATTTGGGCAGGCTGTCCCAGATCCGCCATAAAACTCACTGCCCTCATTGTCGCCTAGTGCTTGAGATAGCCGATCGTCCTTCCGATCAACGCAATCCGAGTTTGCACGCCGATGATGATCCGCTGTGCTACGCACGATGGGTGGTAGATGGACAGGAAGATTTAGGGCCTGACCCTCATCGCCCGTGGGAACATATATTCAGGCCTAAGACACGACGGTTACTGATATATAGTGACCCTCAAGCGTTTAAAGATGGATACATAGTCCTCCTTGCGGACGACGCCCCCAGCCGAGAATTCTTTGGGCGCAGAATCGTCTCGCCTGATCTGCTCGATCCCCAACAACTTCGTCAGTGGCTGCACGACTGCGAAACCCACCATGGCCTGGAATGTGAAGAGTCACTGGTACATCCCGATCTCTTGGGCCAGCCGAAAGATGTCTTTCGTGCGATCGATGTGGACAAGATGTGCATTGTTGAGGCTCCCCAGTCATCCCGCTATGTCGCACTGAGTTATCTCTGGGGTAAGAACTTCGCCCAGCTGTTTACAACCTCTAAGAACCTCCCTAAATTGTCACAACCGGGTGCACTCGAGAAGGAAAAGCTTCCTCGGACGATCAAAGACGCCATTAAGCTCACCAAAATGCTACAAGAGAAGTATCTGTGGACGGATAGTCTGGCACTGCTGCATGATGACGGATTTCAATATCACGACGACTGGGTGTATGCCAGGGCCGCTCTGACCGTGGTTGCGGGTTCGGGGAAAGATGCGAATGCTGGTCTCCCAGGAGTGAGGAAAGAATCTCGAACATTCCATCAGGAGATAGAAGAGGTCAAACCTGGCATGCGGCTAATGGTGTGTCATCTTGCTGAAGGTAAGTCTGAATTCAGCGACCCTGGTATCGAATACTCATCTTCTCGCAGATTATATTTCGACCTCCCAATGGGATTCTCGTGCTTGGACTTTCCAGGAGAGAATGCTTTCGAGGCGGTGTCTGTTGTTCGTCAATGGGCGGATATACTACCAATGTCGGCGGACCACGTTCTGCGAAGATATGGAGATGCCACGGTCTAACGGCTGGTCGTTGGACTCGATCGACATGCCAACCAGGATATTCCGGGAGAAACCCTTTGTCCAGTTCACATCGGCGGTGGAGCTATATACCCGGCGAGAGTTGACGAATCCCAACGACATCCTGAATGCCTTCGAAGGGGTGCAGCTGGTGTTGGAAAAACGAATAGGAGATAGAATATTCTATGGCGCATTGGAGACAATGTTGGACCCGTCATTGCTGTGGGAGTCGACGAAAAGGCTGTTTCGACGGCCGGGCTTCCCAAGTTGGTCGTGGTCAGGTTGGGTGGGAGAAATACAATGGAAATACACCGAAGTGGCTCGCTCGTGGATTGAATGGCATGCGGACCAGGCAATCGGCATCCATACATTCCCCAAACAAGCCTATGAACGGATACAGCCACCTATACCCCGTCCCCAATACCTTGGTCCGATTTCACACCACAACCTGAGCACCATGCTTCCTCTATTACACTTTCGAACAGTCACAGTGCAGTTCAAACTTACCTCGCCAGCGCTTATTCACAAATCAGTAATTTCACCCTTGCGAAAGAGGCTTACAGGGCCCAGCGCTTTGTCGACCGTGCGACCTGCTCCTGCGGACCCTGGACTGATCCGGGCAGGGATTGCGGATCGGAACGGATTATGGTGTGGCACTATTGACCTTGATGTGGCTTGGATGCCACGTGTTGGAACACCCCTAGATTTCTTGGTTATGTCTAGGGTAAGTCATTTCACCGACGATGAATTAGCTATCTGGGAAGGCACATTACCGGATGATGTGGAGGACCTGTTGGCACGACGGAACTATGGCGTTTATGTGGTTATGCTGGTTTCCCGAAAAGACGGTATATATTACCGTGAAGGACTGGGACGGATATTGACAGAGGCCTTGGACAGGGCTCTCGAACCGGGGCCAAAATGGCAGGATATAGTACTTGGTTGAGACATCCAGCGCGAGGGACACGTCTTACACCTTTCGACGTGGTCCTGGAGTTATTGGCAGGCACTTTTTGATCCAATCCGAGGCTTTGATATCGCCACGGACAGCACGGGGGAAGCAACCAATGGAAATTGTCGAGGCTCGCAGGGCTGCTCGTACTCGTATTCCGCTTCCAACCATGACGTTCCTCGGGACGTACCTAGGTAGTAATTGCAACCCTTCACCAGGTATCCTGGTATGAGGACAAGATGCTGCGCCTTGTCAAGCTTTCACGATTGATTTAATGTCAAAAATCTCTCCATCCTCTCATCCAACAACGTCGTCCTCGTCGTCGTCCTTTGGATCAACGTTTGCGCCCTCAAGCCACCGCCAATACCAGCTCATGAGCTGTATCGCAGATGCCAAATATGCCAAATATGCCAAATACTTGGACGACAATGTGACCACGTCCGACCAGCTCTAACGAGCATCGAGTAGCAAAGTCTTGGATCAACTTCCATTCAACCACATCCGCAACCTCTCTTGATCGCATCTCTGGAGATCATGTCAGGTCTCTCCGAGACAACATACAACAACAACAGCTATGGAGGCCGAATCACCGAAATCGACTGCGTCTATCCCATCTCTGGCACCTACGGTCTCCTCCCTCGCCTCCTCTACTATGTAACCTTGGTTTTCGCCATTTTCGGGCGCAGGACCGAATGGCTCATCGTCGGCGCCCTCGTCAGCGCGCTCACATATGCGGGCACCTCGGCGGTCCATCTCATGACCCTCGTGACGAGTAAAACCGGAGTGTACGACTTGGACATCATGGCCGCGTGGGCGGTTTTATCCACAGGAGCCCTCGCCTATATTGGAATAATCCACTGGAGTTCGTCGCTGAGAGCGACACGCGCACGCATCGTCATGATCTGCTGGGGTTGTTTGGTCGGCGTCAGTCTGATCTTTGGGAGAGCGGAACTCTTTGACACGCCGATCAGTCCGCCCGAGCCGGCCTGTTACACTCCACAGGGGATGCTATTGGAGTACCCCATACAAAAGGCGATGAGTCCGGCGTTTGGAAACTGCACCTATAAATGCTTCAACGTCACGAAGCCCATGAGACAGACATCTGAGATCATGGCCATCCCCCATGGGGTTCTGGATAATTCGCAGTACAGGACACTCACATATGTGTTGGTCGGACCGATCCAGTTTGCAGCCTACGCGGCGCTCAGTATGGACGTGGTGGAACATACCCCATCGATGATGTGCACGAAATTGGTCATGAGCTATCTTATTCAACCCGGCCAGCGAGAGCAGTTTAGCAAATCGGTGTACAAGGCGAGCATGGAGAAGTGGTATGGTGGCTACTTCGCACTGTTCGGCTACATGCGTCGGTCACGGTGGTCCTGGAGGAAGCTTGGCTTGTCGTCATTCGTTTTTCCGTGGTTGATGTTGGGGTTGGCCATCGATATCTTGTGTTTGCCGCTCATGGTGTGTAACATTGTGTTCAATGAAATCACCTTGTTGCGTGGAGGACTGCCGGCGAATGAGGCGAACATGGCGATAGGGCAGTGGGGGGCCATTGTGAATTCGGTGCTCGTGTTGATAGCGGCCTGTATCAACAAGGGACTGGAGATATGGGAGAGAAGGAAAAAGACGAAAGAGCTGGATAGCGTCGTCGAGAGCGTTGTGAATGTGGTTCCAGAGGATCTTGAGAGCGGTATGGCGGAGAGCGTACAAGAGGTTGGAGTGGTCAAGCCCAAGCTTGCCCACATTCAGACTCTGGAAGATATGGAGGACTTAGTGAAGCGGCCAAAGTGATAAGTGCATATGTTCTTCCAGGGTAGATTACAGACTTCCCGTCCGCAGTCTGAGAAGATGGGTTGGAAGACTGCGACGTTGGACATGGATGGGTTGAGGATGTCTCGACCATCTCGAAGCAGTGGGCGCATGAGGAACCAGCATCCACGAAGCCAGACTTTATGAGTCACAAAAGAGATTGAATGATAGGGAGGTACAATCTATACGTTAGTGGCCATAGTGTCGGTCTGCAAGGGACAGAGATGCTTGTGGAGATGAAGCGGATGATGGTCGAGTGCATTAGCCGCCATCAGCCTTGTTCTATGTCGTCGCGGCGCATATAGTACCGCAAGAGCTGGCTCACACGCGGTCTATCCTGCTATCATTCTTGCTCGTATCTCTCAAGTTGTCTTATTCTTCGCCAGGCGCACAATGGGAACGTCTTGTTGACCGTTACAGATGCGTTCCGAGACGAGACACGCGATGGGTGCGCGAGGCTGTTCAACGAGGCTGACGAGGGGAGCGCGGGCCGACCTCGGCGGGGCTGGAGTCATTTCTAGACTCGTCAAGCTTATGCAGGGACGCCAACCACCCACCAACCCAGCACCAAAGCTCCTCTTTGACTTTGTCGACTGCGGCAAAATTTCTTTGGCCCGCAACCGGGGTTGCGGCCGCCCATTGCAATCGAGGACTTGTCTGCACCACCACAATTTGAGAGACAGAGAGAGGCTGATTTCTTGATGTTGCCGAACCTCCTACACATCGCTGCAATCTTGACTCGTCCTTGAGATAAAAGATACCCACTGTCATATCGGGTCTGGTCAACTATCACTCCAAAACACAAGTCGTCCGAGTGAGTCAACGATAGACCCGTGCGTTGAAGTCTTTAAATTCTCCTCGCTCCTCTTCCTTCCTCTCTTCCTGAGAGCCACTCCCTTTCAACCTTGACATCTCGTCACATCCATCATGCAGGCCCTCAAAGAGACATTCGCCCGATGCAAGGAGGAGGGCAGAACAGCCCTCGTGGGCTACTTCACCGCGGGTTATCCCACCGCCGAAGAGACCCCAGATATCATGCTCGGGCTACAAGCCGGTGGCGTTGGTGAGGAATAACCACCCCTCAATCGGTCAAAGTGCTGTATTGACATCTCCCTCTAGATATCATCGAACTCGGGCTTCCCTTCACAGACCCCATTGCCGACGGGCCCACGATCCAAAAATCAAACACTATCGCCCTCGAAAACGGCATTACCGTCACCTCAACCCTCCAATTCGTCCGCGACGCCAGGAAAAAGGGCCTAAAAGTTCCCGTTCTCTTCATGGGCTACTATAACCCACTGTTGCGCTACGGAGAAGATCGTATGTTGAAAGACTGCAAGGAGGCCGGTGTCAATGGATTTATCATGGTCGATTTGCCCCCGGAAGAGGCAGTAAGATTTCGCAACAATTGCACCAAGGCCGGGCTGAGTTATGTGCCGCTGATTGCCCCCGCGACGTCAGAGAAGAGAATGAAGCTGCTATGTCAGATTGCCGACTCCTTCATCTACGTCGTGTCTAGAATGGGCGTCACGGGCGCAACCGGCACGTTGAACACCAAACTTCCTGAGCTGCTGGAGAGGGTACATCAGTATTCTGGTGGTATACCTGCCGCGGTCGGATTTGGTGTGAGCACCAGGGAGCACTTCCTGAGCGTTTCGCAAATTGCTGAGGGAGTGGTGATTGGTAGTCAAATCGTGACGGTTTTGGGCAACGCGAAGCAAGGTGAACGGGCAAAAGCCGTACAAGAATATTGCTCCCAAGTCACTGGGAGGAAGCTCGGCGATTTCAACACGACGGATGGTCTAACGAGGGAAGTGGGTATTGTAGAGACCATGAAGTCTGCAAAGGAACCCAATGCCGCGGCGAATGGTCTCAACGGCCATCAAGTGCAAGTCGACAAGGTTATCACCGACGCTGATGTCCCTTCGGAACCAGGTCTTGCTGACCAGCTCGATGCCCTCAACTCGGCCACAAATGGCACAGCCCCGAACCCTGACGCCATTCCTGCCCGGTTCGGCCAGTTCGGTGGACAATATGTTCCCGAATCATTAATGGACTGCTTGGCGGAACTCGAAGAGGGCTTCCAAAAAGCCAAAAACGACCCCGAATTCTGGAAGGAGTACAAATCATATTACCCTTACATGGGTCGGCCTTCATCGCTGCATCTGGCCGATCGGCTGACTGAACGAGTCGGCGGTGCGCAGATATACCTGAAACGAGAGGACCTGAATCACACTGGAAGTCACAAGATCAACAACGCCTTGGGGCAGATTCTTCTTGCAAGGCGATTGGGCAAGACACGCATCATCGCCGAGACCGGTGCAGGCCAGCACGGTGTAGCAACGGCAACCGTCTGCGCCAAATTTGGCATGGCCTGTGTTGTGTACATGGGCGCTGAGGACGTACGGCGTCAAGCTCTCAATGTCTTCCGCATGAAACTTCTTGGTGCCAAGGTCGTGGCGGTGGAAGCAGGATCTCGTACTCTTCGAGACGCAGTCAACGAGGCATTGCGTGCTTGGGTCGTCGATCTCGACACCACCCACTACATCATCGGTTCGGCTATTGGCCCTCATCCCTTCCCGACAATCGTTCGCACTTTCCAGAGTGTGATCGGTCAGGAGACCAAGGAACAAATGAAGGAACTCACTGGCAGACTTCCTGACGCCGTGATTGCCTGTGTCGGTGGAGGAAGTAATGCTGTTGGCATGTTCTTCCCCTTCAGCTCCGATCCTTCGGTGAAGTTGATTGGTGTTGAGGCAGCTGGTGAGGGTGTTGACACAGGCAGACACTCTGCCACACTCTCAGGTGGGTCGATAGGCGTTCTCCACGGTGTGAGGACGTACGTGTTGCAGAACGAGCATGGACAGATCAGTGACACGCACTCTATTTCGGCGGGCCTCGATTACCCCGGTGTGGGACCAGAGTTGTCGAATTGGAAAGACATCTCTCGAGCCCACTTCATCAGTGCGACCGACTCAGAGGCATTGATAGGGTTTCGCACGCTCAGCGAGACGGAAGGAATCATTCCTGCGCTGGAATCAAGCCATGCCATCTTTGGGGCCATGCAGGTTGCTAAGCAGATGAGCAAGGATCAGACACTAGTGATCTGCCTGAGCGGACGTGGTGACAAGGATGTTCAGAGTGTGGCGGACGAACTACCTAAACTAGGACCGGGCATTGGGTGGGATCTGAGGTTCTAGACCGAGAGAGATGTAGACATGAAGATTTAGTTGGAAAGGAAATGGATCCACGGCGTCAACCTCAAGATATGGATGAAGTCGGTGTTTGTCTAGGCATGGTTTACGAATGAGAATGGAGCAGATTTCGCGTATCGGTAGGTTTTCCAGTGCCGATGTTATGAACTAATCGCCCTGATCCTCGCTAGCCCTAGGATTTATAGCACAGTATGAGATCAGCGACGAGGAGTTTGTAGGACATTCCGGACCTTGTGTATTTGCTTGGTGTGTGTTTTTTCACCAACCGGATTGACTCCGGAGACCAACTCACCACCCAACATCCATATCACCACTATTGGGCTGTCACCCCTACTATCAGCTGGGGCGCTCAGTCGGGCATCCCATCCATGTCAAATGATGCTCTCTCGATTCAGTAAGTGCTTGGGCCATCTGTAGCTGCCATGCATGCGTAAGCTTGGGGGCCTCCTCTGAAAGTGCCGCTTCAAAGGTGAGTTGGTCCTATGCGTCCATGCACAACGACACTACCTTTTCTAATCACATATCTGGGCAGAAATAGAATGCCGACCCAACTGGACAGAGCAATCTACCATCTATTGGACATGATGTTGTTGGCCTCGGCTCAGGCTCAGGCCCCAGTCCCAGAACTCAACTGCGACCTCTCTACAGTACATCCGTCCGTGGACCAAACGGCCAGCGGTGACAAGTCTCTCGCAATTGCCGTGCCCACTTGATTCTCAATATTCAAGCCGTCGGACAAATTCGACTGTCATGGCTCATCTCCCCGAGACGTCCAAATCAGCGGGTGTCGTGCCTGGCGGGACTGTGGCTGGACAAAAGGACTTATAGAACATTACAAAACTTATTCTGGGCCACTCCGTCACATACCTGGCCTGATCGATCCTTCGGCGACGTTTTGGGGAAACAGTATACGGCCTTCGGGGGGCACACGCGGCTCGTCCCTCGCCATATCCTATCCGTCGAGCTGTGTCTGGGACCCCACGGCTGTACATCAAAGGAGAGAGATCGGCGATGCTCGGCCCCTGAACACAACGTCCTATCCTGCTTTGTCTACGTCCAGATGCCATTCAGGCATGTCCTGTACCGAGTCATTGGGCGTATTCAGGGAAGAAGCTAGGAAAAGTCCCTCGATCATTGGCGTCTCCTACGCCTACCTGAGGTGGCAATGAAAGCCCTAAGTATTCTAGGCCTTGAAGTCCTGGTCCCTCTACAAACGTACCTTCACAAATGTGCTGCACGTTGAGCTCACGTCAGAGCTAACCACTTCACCAGACCTTACAGGAGAACTGTCTGCTGCTATCGATACGTCCAAAGAGGAGATTGATGGGTGATGTCTATATGGATGCCTCAACGGTGATTTAGTGGACGATTTGACTCGGACGAATCGTGACAAGGACGGCAAGTGCCCGTGGCTCTCGCGGCATGCTCGCCTTCAAAGTAGACGCCGGGACAGTGTTAGGAGGGGTGGGCAAGACTTCAACAAGAGCATATAAGAGCTGGGTCGACCAGCTGCGCATCTCAAAATGGCAATTTTCATGCCCGAAACATCAACCTCGAGAGATCGACGAACATGTTCAGCTTCTACTGTGGCTTATTCTTTGTCCTTGCACCCGTTCTGTACCACAGGATGGCCAGAAAGAATAGAGAGATGTTGATCCCGCAGGGACCGCCCCTCTCGAAGAGTCCTCCCGAACCCTCTAAGCGTGTCCGCATTACGAGCCCAGCAGATGAAAAGGCAGAGACCGCAATGATTCTACGAGAGTTCTTCCACAAGATCGATTTCAATACACAACAATACGAGGATCCGTATCCGCAAGAGTTGGACGACATAGTCCGAGGGCGAGTTCGGTCGTGGAACCTTGACGACAAGCGCACCGCTCATCTCATCAAGCTCCTTCCCACCTGTGCCAGCGGGGTTCAAAAACAATACAAACAAGCCTCAACCGAGGTCAAGACGTTCATCACCTTGTATTCCATGTTGTTGTTCTATGTCGACGACCTTGTCGTTAGGGAGCCCGGGAACATGCTCCCGGAGTTGCAGAAACTGTCGTCCCCGAATACCCCACGAGAGACAAGCAGTATCTATTCAGACCCGTGCCTCTCCTTGTGGTCGGACCTCGTCACCTCCGAAGTCCATTTGTACTATGGGCCATATTCGACCGGCGCCATCCAGAAGGGCCTCGTCGAGTTCCTCATGGGGAGTATCATCGAGGCACGGTTCCCCCGAGGTCTCGGTCAAGACTCCCTCCTCATGACGCATGTTCCAGCGACAGCGGCGCATCTTTTGCGCGACAAGGCCGGGTCCGGCGAGGTCTACGCGCACTTCATGTTCCCCACGCACCTGGCCCCAGAGGACAGGTACCTGGGCAAATACTTTGTCTGCATCCGCGACATGACCGACTGGATCAACTTCACCAACGACATCATGTCATTCTACAAAGAGAACAACCCCCGCGACGGCGTCGTCGAGGAGAACACGTACATCCAGAACCGCGCGCGCTGCGAGGGCAAAACGACCCTGCAAGTGCTGAGAGACCTGTGCGACGAGATTGTGACACTGACAGAGAGTATCCGCCGCGGGCTGAAGGGCGAGCCCGTCCTCGAGGAAATCTGGGAGAACTATGTCAACGGGTATATCCTGTTCCACGCGTGTGATCGGCGCTACCGGCTCAAGGAGTTGGGGATTGTGTTTGAGCGGGAGGGTGAGGGTGAGAGCACGAAGGGCACGTCGTGACAGTGAACAATTCTTTCTGACATATGTTGGTCGAGTTGGTCAAGTTGTCCCAGCCCAACTAGTCGATCTGCTTACATGGATAAATACAGTACGCACGCCAGAGATATCTACATCCAGGAGAAGTAATAAGAATTATGGACTTGATTTTATTTCCTATCCATACTCACCTTCTCAATCGAATGATTGACCTAGTAAATAGTTAGATACATACTCCGTCCTATCCAGACCATACATTGTACACATCATATACGAGGTACGTCGTACCTGGTACATGTACATGACTCCTCGCCCTACGGGAGCCTCGCTAGGTGTTTGACTGGCTAGGTAGATTCGGTAGGTAGCGCAACGTAGAACATTACAACGAATGCGATGCGTTGCGATGCGGTGTGTTGCGATGTAATAATCACAACCAAGCGAGAGCGGAGGCCTGGGGGTGGATGTCTGGGGGACCCCGATTTCCTTGCAGCCTTGTGGCACCAGTGGCATCAGTGGCACCAGGCAGGCTGACATACTCGCCTACCTACCCGCCTACCTACCTACTCACCTACCTACATAGGCAACCGTACCAACTCAATTCAGGTCAGCTTGTACGTAAAGTACCCAAGTACCCAAGTACCTAAGCACCTACTTTGCATTATTACATATTGTACTAGGCACGTGGCACTTGATTACCTGACTGAGCACGAATCAGTCAGTCTACCTAGCTCGCTAGGTAGGTATGCAGGTAGGTAGTGCTAGTGGTAGTGGTAGATTCCGATCACAAGAGTGGCTCGGTGCTCGGTGCTCGGTTGCTCGGGGTACGGAGTATATCATTGATTAAGGTGGCGACTATGTACCTCGTACCTCGTACCATGTACCATGCGGGAAAAGGGGAAACGCTTCGCTTGTGCCGGCGCCGGTGCCAATGTCGGTGTCAGTGCCGCGGAGAGAGGGAACAGCCCATGGATCTTATTCGTACGCGTGCGTGTGCGTGTACATGGACTTGTACATGTAGATACATGGTGGCGGTGGAGATGAGGATGAGGTGGTGGTGGTGGTACTATATATATAGACATGTACGGTGTTGTTTGTTGTTCGGGGTTGTCGGGAAGGTAAAGAAAAGCAAGAAAGAAGGACCTTTGTACACAGGCAAGACAGGATAGGGTTCATAACCGTGCGGGCTGACAAATCTCTCGGGTCAGGGTCAGGGTGATCAATTCATCATAATGTTGACCGTCACTTGACGGACAGCGCTTCTGTGGTGACTTTTGCTTCTGAGCTCCTATAGTGGTAGACCTCGGAGACTGGGGCCTCCAGGTAGCAGCGGTAACACGGATATGTAAGATAGAAAGTGCTCTTTCGCTCTCTCTCTATAACCGCCCTGTGCTCGAGACAATCCCACCGTCAACCACCAGCTTCTGGCCCGTAATGTAGCCCGCCGCGGCGTTACTCGACAAAAACACCACGGCATTGGCGACGTCGCGCGAAGAGCCCATCTTCCCCGTCGGCACCTGGTTGTGTCTCGTCTGCACGAATCCTTCGTAGTCGCCGCTGGCGTACTTGTTGGCCAACGTCTGCACGAGCGGCGTGAACATGAGCCCCGGCAGGACCGTGTTGAGGCGGACGCCCTTGTCGGCGTAGAGGACAGCCGTGTGTTTCGTGAACTGCGTGACGGCCGCCTTGGTCGCGGCATACGCCACTTGCGGCTTCCCCACGTACCGGATGCTGGCGATGCTGCTGATGTTGACCACGGCTCCCCGACCCTGGGCTTCCATGTACGGTAGCACGGCGTGGCAGGTCAGGTAGACGGATTTCAGGTTGATGGCCGTCTGCGCGTCCCAGACCTGCTCGCTCATGTCGGCGGGGCCGCCCTTTTCGCTGCGCCCGACGTTGTTCACGAGGATGTCGATGCGCGAGTACCTCGAGATGCATTGTTGGACGAGCTGTTCCACGTCCGTGGCCTTGGTGACGTCGGCGAGAGCCACGTCCACGACGGCACCGGGGACGATTTTCTCTATGCGCGACTTGGTGAGTTTGGCGGCGTCGAGGTTGATGTCGCACCCAAAGACCCTGACGCCGTTGCGCGCCAGAGCCAGCGCCGTCGCCGCACCGTTGCCCCAGTTCGTCGTCTCTACGGGCGGGCCATCTTGCCCGATACCTGTGACTAGAGCGACCTGGCCGGTCAAGTCGGGGTATCTGGGTGGATCCTGGTCGGCAGACATGGCAGGCCGGGATGGGTGCAGATTACTTTCTGCAATGGCTCTCAGTATGCTCTATCACACCTCATATGATACAAGGGGGTTCGTTCATAATTTCTGAACATACACCTCAACTCACAACATCCATCGCTATGCGACTTTGCAATATCCGGCCCCGCAAAGTCCGTCGGCAAGAACGGCGATTCGCGGCAGGATGTTCTACTCGGTAAGCCGAAGAGGTGCGGAAGCGGTTTGTTGGAGGTGTCCAGGAGCATGGGACGCCCTGGGGGAGGCCCTGGATAAGTCGGGGCATTGGGGGAAATTTTGGCTGGGGTGGTGGAGATGGAGATGGAGACACTGACGCAGGCGCAGGTGCAGGCGGAGGTGCAGGCGCAGGCGAGGCGAGGCTCGTTCTTCTTTGTGGAGAAGCAGATTTGGGGTTGGAAAATTATTCAACCTCAACTTGTTTCATCCTCATCCCATCGCTCACTTCATCCGGAACCCGCTCTCTTTTATGCTCCCTCTCCCAGGATTCCCGTGTCTACCGTCTGCTCGAGTACGGCCAAGATCCCAGTTGAGAAGAAAAATCGAGAGAAACGTGTCACGGTGCCCACAATGGGGTCTTGCTCGACTGCTCCTCATCCCTGGTATCTCGACAGCTGTTCTCTCACCAACAACCTCCCCTAAATCGTCATCGAAGCCTCAACCTCGGTCCTCATCCTCTAGCTTTTTTCTGCTGGCCACATGATTACACAGCGCCAACCGTCAGACGGGGCTTGGTTTCCGAACAAGAGTTTGCCAATACCGAGCTTAGCAGCGTGGCTGCTGAGGCCACATCCTGGCGAACCTTTTTGGGCCAAGGACGCCGTGCGTAAATCTTGGTTATATCTCGGATGCGGCTGTGGTTCTCTCCGGAATACCTCTGAGAAGGCTGCGGCAAAGGACTGTTGTTATCACCGCCGATCCGTGGTTCCTTACCATGCGCTCTTCAGAGGTTGGGCCCAATACCTTTGCATGTACGACCTCACGCAACTGCACCTCGCCGTAGACCCATAGTCTCACAGCGTTCCCCGCATAGCGTGGATTTTGTTATCCACTTCTCTTCTCCATGGGGCTTCTGCTCTGGTACCTGGGTACCCACGCACTCACCTCCGGATTATGATTCCCATTTGTCTGAGTCAGGGACACAGAGGACGACGAGGTGATTGACGCCACCGGCGCCTATTCGTGCGGTCATTTCCCTCTTATCCTCGGTCTACAGTTGGAGATCGTGGTGATCGTGTCAGCCCTTTTGCTGGATGGATCAACACTGTCGGATCCGGAGAGAAACCGAAAAATAACACACATACAAAGGCAGGGTACTTATCTCCTAATGCTTCGCTTGTTGCTTGTCTCGCTTTTCCTCTTTTTCCCCCTCCCTCCCAATCAAGCCTCTTGCCTTGGTGACTCGTCAAGATGTTGAACAAAATCATCGTCAACAATTACAACCTTTGGGTCGTGGTGTTTGTGGCCCTGGGCACCATTTCCACAGCCTATGGCCTCGCCATCATTGGCTCGACCGTCGGCCAGCCCAACTTCTATTCCTACTTCAACTTGGCCACGGCGGGCGAGCCTGGCTATGACCACACAACCAACATGATCGGTGCCTTGAACGGCGTCAACTCGGCCGGTGCAATCGCTGGATGTATCTCACAAGCTTGGACTTCCGACAAATACGGCAGGAAGCGGACGATGCAGTTCGGTTCCGTCATTCTCATCGTCGGTGGCGCCCTGTGTGCTGGCGCTGTCGACATGGCAATGTTTCTTGTCGGGCGTTTTGTTGCTGGTATGGGTTCGGGGATTCTAGCTTGCGTTGTCCCCATCTACCAGGCAGAGGTATCCACGCCAGGTATGTAACCTGTTCTTCCTGTCCCATCTTCCCTGCTGTCTCTGACGAGGCAACCCACAGAGACTCGAGGCGCTATGGTCTGCGTCACTGGTATCATGTACGCAGTCGGCTATGCTCTAGCAGGGTGGCTCGGCTACGCCTGTTTCCACATGTCGGCCACGGATCCTGCTGCCCAATTCGCCTGGCGATTCCCGCTCGCTTTCCAAGTCGTCTTCCCCCTGATCTTGCTAGCCGGCAGCAATCTTGTCCCCTACAGCCCGCGTTGGCTCCTCTCGCAAAACCGTCGCCAAGAAGCCCTGGACGTGGTCAAGCGACTTCACAGGACCCCCAACGACCCAGAAGATATCAAGGCCCGGCGTGAATTCTGGCTCATGGAGCAACAGTACGACATGGACGCCACCATGGCCCGGGGCCGGTTCGAGCTCTTCAGCACCCCGTCAAACAGGAAACGCGCCCTGATGGCCGCTGTTCTCATGTGGGGCAATCAATTTTTGGGTATTTTTGTGATGACCAACTATGTCAGTCGTTGTCTCTTCTGTAAAAAATTTGTTCGCTGACGGTTGATATAGGGCGTGTTGATCTATGAGAGTCTCGGGTTGAGCGGGTCAATTCCGCTGCTGCTCAACGCATGCTGGACGACCTTCACTCTGATCGGCAACACATGGACGGCACTGTACATTGACCGCTTCGGCCGGCGTAAGTTCATGCTCATCGGCTCCGTTGGCTGTGTCGTCTCGGTCATTTTCCTCGCCGCCCTGACAGCCTCGTTCCTTAACACAACCAACGAGGCTGGCCTGCGTGCCGGCGTCTTCTTCATCTGGTTCTACATCATCTGGTGGTGCTTCTTCATCGATGCCACCCAGTACGTCTACGTGGCCGAGATCTTCCCCAACCATCTGCGTCCTGCCGGTGTCGCGCTGGGGTTGTCGGCCTTTTACCTTGCCAGCGAAGTCACCCTTGTGGCTGCGCCGGTTGCGCTGAACAAGATTGGCTGGAAGTTCTATCTAGTCTTGATTATTCCATCCTCAGTGGTAAGTTTGCCATAACCCCGACTCTGACCCTCGCTTCCACGACCACCCTCTTTCTTCTAACGCCTCCCCCACAATCTTTGAGCCCTGGAATTGATACTGACGCTTCACTCTTTCCAGTACATTGTGATCATCTACCTCTTCTTCCCCGAGACCAAGGGCCGCACGCTCGAGGAGATCGGCCACGTCTTTGGCGACGACATGCACGTGGCCACGCAATGGTACGACGCCTCGGATGACGAGAAGCGCAAGATCGAGGAACAGGCCCTCCGGGAGACCGAAGGCGGCATCGTGCACGAAAAGGGCTACCAAGGCGCCGCCAACGTGGTCGCCTCGGGCGAAAGCACCAGCCGCGACGAGGCCGAGGAGATCTACGCCGAGAAGGGCAACGAGGTGCGCAGCGAGGAGATTGTCAAAGCCTGATCTGTCTTGTTGTAAGATAGTATGGCGTAGAAGGAAGGCGGGCGGAAGAACCTCTCTCCTCCCGCGTTGATTGAGGTTGAGGTCGAGATTGAGATATAGAATAGAGATAGAAAGTCATTCAGGATATCCGTACATGTATCCACTATCCAGAATAGAAGTATAATACCAGGTTCAGATTCACTTGTCTCTCTAGTGATAGAGAGAGGGAAAGGGAGAGATCGACAGGCGGCGATGGATCAAAAGCAGAGGGGGGAGGGAGAGATGGAAGGGACAGGAGTATGTATGTACATATATAGGAGGTCATGGTGGTAGTAGTTAGATTCCATTCGACGACATGTCAAGGTTATTATTATCAAGTACTCTCTCCGTCTCACGCTCTCACACAGTCTCTCAAAACTTCGTCTGGCTGTCTTATCTGTCTTGCTTGCAAGAATAATAAAGGACAATTCAGTACTTTTCTCGCTTGCTTGATTCAAATTGATTGTTCCAATATCTGGCTTCTGTCAGGTTTTCCTAGTCTGTCACCTGGAGCCTTGTCTGTCGCCCTATTCAATCAGTTAGGCAGCCAGTTAGTCAGTCAGTCAGTTAGTTGGTCAGTCAGCCAGTCAGTCAGTTGGTCAGGATATATGATATAATACAATATACCGTGATATCACGTAATGTAACGTAATGTAAAACGTAACGTAATATGCCATGGAAAGCACCTTGCATACATTCATGCATATAGACACACATCCATCATGTCCACACATCCATCCACTCATCCCCCCTGTCCTCAGCAGAAGGGAATATCAGAAGCAATACCCACAAACACTGAGAATTGCCCCAAAGACCGCAACCACCCCCGCCGCGACCTTGACCTGCCGGGCGCCCACGCGCCTCACGCCCTCCAACACCCTCTCCGGCGCGAGCATGCGCGTCAACCCGACGACCACGCCCCCCCAGCCCGCCAGAGTCACTAGAATCGCCCACCGCGGCGTCTGTGTCTGGGGGGTTCTTCTCCAGAAGTTATGCGTCTGCGCGGTTGCGAGGGACGCGGTGAAGACGACGGCACCGTTGAGGAAGATGGCCGACGCGGTGCTGGTGGCCCAGATGTGCGGGTTTAGTGCTTCGGCGAGGGAGATGGTGAGGAGGGTCGGGCCGATCAGGCGGGCGAGGTTGTGGGAGTGCGAGAGGGGATGAGGGGCGAGAGGAGGAGACATTGGATGGTTTGATTCAATGGTTGGATGGTTGGACCAGCCGCCGGGATACTGGGTAGGTGTAGGAGCAGGATAGGTAGCAAAGATGTAACTGAGAGGGTGGCAGTCGGTTGCTTTGACTTTATTTGTTTTGGTTGTGGAGTGGCGCGATCTGGAAGATCGTGTAGACCTGTGTGAGACTGTCTCAACTGTCTCTGGGAGAATACATGTGTCCAAGTGACGAGTGGGTGGGTTTGGATAGAGTATATACGAGTACGAGTACGATGTATGTAGACGCATGCTTTAATTTTAGTTCCATATGTCCCAGATCTAACTTTGCCCTTACCATTTTAAACTGGCTCCGTGTTGACACGGCTTGGTATTGTACTAGAGGCCAGGGGTCAAACAAGACGCCTCAAACATACTGTACGTGTCCGAGTAACATCACCAAGTAATGTGTTCCTCATATGTCCTATACTTCACACCCTATTAGCTTTTCCAATTCTCTCATACCCGCTGCTCACAACATCGACCCTCGCTTCCTCGCCGCAGTCAGTTCCTGGCGCAGAGCCAAATCCGACAGGATCTCCTCGCTCCCTCCTCCCACGACCTGCATCCGCAAGTCTCGGCTGATCAGCTCGACCAACCCTCCCACTCCGCCACGCTGGTAACCCGCACCCCCCAACACCTGCTGTGCCTCTCGATTGGCCAGTTCCAGGATCCGACCGGCGTGGATCTTTGTCAGTGCGATCCTGCTGGCAATATCGCTTTCCCACCCGTTGAGCTTGATGTGGTACGCGATCTGCTCGAGCCAGGCCCAGTGCGATTCGATGTATCGCGCCATGGTCACAAACTTGTGGCGGATGATCTGGTGCGAGATGAGCGGCTTGCCGAATGTGATCCGGCTGTGACTATAGTCTAGAGCAACCTCCAGACACACTCGTGCCTTGCGATTCATGTGGATGGCCATCATGAACCGCTCCGAATTGAAATCTACACCAGTAATCAGTTTAAGGACTGTGGCAGTTCATGACGGGTCATCCCACTGTGCATGAGAATCCGAAAGCCTTCGTTTTCGGGACCAACAAGGTTCTCGACGGGCACCTGGACATCTTCTAGATCGACCCAAGCGGTTTCTAGAGGCGTTAATAGGTATCTCTGGCAACGTCGCTTTACAACTTACCCGCAGCATTGACTCCGCTATTCTCGATCTTTCTGGCGGAAAATCCTTTCGAGTTCGTAGGAATAACTAGAATAGAAACCCCACCCTTCCCAGGACCACCTGTTCGCACTGCAGTGGTCATATGCGTGGCAGATAGAGCCCCGGAGATCCATTTCTGTGGCCGAGTGTTAGGGACAGAGACTGCTGCATCTCTGGGTTGATTCTTCGGACCTTGTGCCCATTCACAATGTAATATTTCCCATCTGGGGACTTTTTGGCCGTCGTTCTCAAAGAGGCCAGGTCGGAACCACCTGTGGGATGTTAGAGCCATGTCAAGCCTTCCGACAGAGGGGTCCTTGCCAGTAGGTTCCGTGGCCCCAAGGCAAAATCTCGTTTCTCCAGTGTAGATACCCGGAAGGTACTTGTCCTTTTGCTCTTGGGTCCCATATTTTATGATAGGTGGCAGGCCAATGACAGATGTGCCAGCGAGTCCGCCCATGGCTCCGCCGTGCACTCGGGATGTCTCGTCGTGCAGAATCAGTTCGTGGAAGATATCCCACTCTGCATCCACATCAGCCTCCAGAGCAAATAGAACCTCGAAAACGACTCACGCTCCTCTGGAATCCCACCCGGCAACGGAATACCTCGTCTGTATTCCTTCGGAAGCTCAGCAAAAGCAAGGCCTGACCGCGCATACTTCACTCTCGCCTTTAAAAGAGGCCATTAGTGAGAACTCCACTGCGATACCCTTTGGTGGGTATGCTCACTTCGAGAGGAACAAAGCCATCCTTCTCCCATTGCTCCGAATAGGGCAAAACATTGGTCTCGAGATAGTCTCTGACGAACTTTCGGAACGCCCTGTGGCTATCATTGTAGTACGGTGAGTCGAGAGCGTTGTACCACGCAGGCTCCGCAAATGGGTCAAGTGAACCGAAAGGTTTCAGGTGTTCACGGGCCATGGTTTCAAAGATATGGAATGGATGCTGGTGTCCTGAGCTCTGAGCTCTAAGCTCTCACTCTGCTGGGCGACCGTAATTATACGAAAAAGGACCTACTCTGCCGGGCCCGATATCCGCGGTTGTTGCTCTTCTGCTTGGTGACCCGACTGTATCAAAGGTATCGTAGTTTTGCGGGCCGTTCCCCGCGTTTGAGATGATCGCCACGACAGCACGGCGACTCGGCAGCCCGCATTATTCCTCGGCTAGCAGCTGGTTGTCCGCGGTCTCGATGGCTGCTTAAGTAATAAAGTCGGACTGGTGCCATGACCAGAGCACCATCTCAGGGCAAGTCATCTAGAGAGTAGTACGGAATACTTCAATGGTGGTCGAAGGGGGACTTGAGGGGTGAGCGATCGTTTCCCCTCCTCAACGCACAGACCACCATTTCAGACTCGGAATGCTCTCGGAACAGGATCAGATGATGATACCTCCAAAGGACAACCGCTTGTGTGCGAATTCCGCGATCTGCCCAGGTTATGTGACGGGTCTATCCCACACATCGCATCACATAACACAGGTGCGCATACGTGCAGTCAACCGAGTAGTCGCGAGGCCATCACACAAGTATCCATCCTGCATCTTTTCAGGCCATATTGTTAGTCATTGTGCAGTAGCATAGTCTTCAGACCGAACAGACGATGACGGTGAGGATGGTGGCATGGGAGCGCAGTTGGGGCCGGGTAGAAGAGAACCCTGGTTGGATAAATTGCCAGCATGGGAAACCGCGAGGCTCGAGGAACGAGGTTTATAAACGGCGAATAGGGCTGACGACCAGGCTGTGGACGTAGCTTTGCCTAGTTGAGTAATAACCCCTCTAAGATCGACGGCGGTATCTCGTGGGAAGCGAAGTCACCATTGGGTGAATAGCCTGTGAACGTATCGTTGCGGGCAGGGCGGCCGCATGCATCACTGTCATCTCAATCCTTAGTAATGGATGGCAGTTAAACAGGGGAGCGACAAACGCCTAAAGCCGCGACTGGGACAAGGAAGAATGGAAGGGGAGGGAGTAACGGGGGTTTCCAGCTCTTCGGTGGGGGATTCGATACACGATGAGACAAGTTTGACGATGACTAAAGGAGCCAATTAGGGCCACTGGATGCATGACATCACTCCATCACTATCAATCGTGTGGACAGGTGGAGAAGCGAGAGACAGAGAGAGAAGGAGAGAAACTCAGATGGCGACAGACACTTCGACGGCCTTTGGGCTAAAACCCGGGACGAGAGATGCGCTCGTTGATTATGATTGATTGCGTCCGTGGAATTCGAGTCTGTCCGGAGTTCCAAAACCGCACACTGATGAACTATAAAACCCCTCGCCATCGACCACTGCGTCTCGTCCACATCATTCCATTCATCCAACACTTCCTCCCTCAAACTCACCTGCGACCAAGATCACTGCAATTCCACCACCTCGAAAATGGCCCCAAAGCTCCCAACCCGCAAGCTCGGAAAGAATGGTCCTGAGGTGACCGCCCTAGGCTTCGGCCTCATGGGTCTCTCCGCCTACTATGGCAAACCAAAGCCCGACGAAGAACGTTATGCGATGCTCGACCACGCCTACGAAGCCGGCGAGCTCTTCTGGGACTCTGCCGACATTTACGGAGACAATGAAGATCTGCTTGGCCGTTGGTTCAAGCGAAACCCTGGTAAGAGAGAGAACATCTTTCTCGCCACAAAGTTTGGCAACGCCGTCGACCCCGCAACTGGCGCTCGCCTGGTCAAGAACGAGCCAGAATACATCAAGGCAGCCTGTGACAAGTCCTTGAAGCGGTTGGGTGTTGACCACATCGATCTGTACTATTGCCACAGAGTGCAGGCCGACCAGCCCATTGAGATCACGGTCAAAACCATGAAGGAGCTGCAAGATGCCGGCAAGGTCAAGTACTTGGGGTTGAGTGAGTGCGGCGCCGACACTCTCAGAAGGGCCTGCAAGGTAAGGAACCGCGCGCTCACCTCTTTAACCTCTGCCCACTAACACTTCAACTTAGGTGGCGCACATCGATGCGCTTCAGATCGAATACAGCCCCTTCTCCATGGACATCGAGAGCCCCCAGATCGGACTTCTCAAAGCCTGCCGTGAGCTGGGAGTGGCCGTCGTGGCATATTCCCCACTTGGACGAGGCTTCCTGACTGGAGGCATTAGAAGCCGAGCCGATTTTGAAGCAGACGACTTCCGCAGATTTGCACCTCGATTCAGCGAGGAGAACTTCCCCAAGAATATCAAGTTGGTCGACGACATCAAGGCTCTGGCTGATGAGAAGGGTTGCACTCCGGGCCAACTGGTCCTGGCCTTCTTGATGGCCCAGGGAGACGACATTCTCCCTATTCCTGGAACCACGAGAATCAAGAACTTTGATGAGAACATTGCCTCATTGAACGTCAAAATCACTCCCGAGGACAATGCGAAGATTCGGAAGGTCATTGACGCGGCCGAAGTCCATGGTGCTCGGTATCCCGAGGCCTTTGCGAAGGCTTTGTTTGTTGACACCGTGCCACTGAAAGAGTAAACTGTCGAGGATTATCTGGAGAATAATGAGCGAGAAGAAGAGATATATTCCCATTCACTACCAAAGTGGAGAGCCTCCGTTGACATGTCCTGAACCCGCTGTAGCCACCAATAAAAGTACATTTTAATAAAATCATACCCGTGAACCCATTCAATAACGCTGTAATCCCCCCCTCGCAGAGACGCGAGAGGTAGAAAGTGCGTTTCACGCGCCAGGCCACCTGTTTCCACAGCAGCGATCTATCCAGCTGCCATTCAATCCTCAATCTGCCTCATCTTGGGGACCTGCCACCTCCTTCTGGGCCCGAGGTCTTGGATCTTGAAGTGCGGTTTTCTCGGCTGGTTGCGGAGGAACAGGTGGTAGTTTGCCTTGACTCGACTCATGGCCCGTCCCGTCTGGATCTTTCGGTGGTCGAGGAGGATGCTGTTGTAGGCGAAGCTGAAGCGGGGGGTCCGAGGCGCGGGCATGTTGAAGAGAGTGGGGGCTGGGTGCGATTGGGATGTGGTTATCTTCGAGAGTCGGGCTCCGTATGTTGTGCCGTCGGCGGCAACACGAAAGGGGACAGCGTCTGCTTCTCTTTGACCGCGTGAATGAGGTCCTTGGGGGTTGAAGTCTCCAGGAACAGGGATCCAGGCACAAGGCTGGCGATAGACAAGCATGCGAGCGGAGATTGTTCTCGCCGCACCTTCCATATGTAGACAGCACCAATACCCCGTATGTTGAAGTTGACAGTTCTCGAGGGGTTCGCTCACCATATTCCACATTGTCGTCTCTGCAAGCCCATATCTGTTGTCCTGCTCTGTCGACCTCTTGCACGATCTCACCATCATGGATCCCTTCTCTGGCGAGGGCGGTATGCACATCATCCCAGCCACATGTCCTGAACTCACGCTCTAACTACATGTAACCCAGAACTGCTCAATATAACGACCGCATTCTACACGCACGCATACCCGACCGTCCTCGAATTTGACAGCTCTTCTCTCTCCGCAGAAAACAAGACCATCGCACAAATTCTCAAATATCGCGCACAAATAGCCGTCGGCGATGCCTCGTCCGTCATTTCCTCCCTTAAACAATCACAAGACGCCGCCTCCCGCTCAATAGTTGCTTTGGCACAACAAGCGGCCGGCAACCACTCCGTGGCACTCGAAACAGCACTGGCCCTGGCTGAATCTGATGCGGAGGATGCCGTGGTTCAGATCTGCTCTGGTACCGTCCTCGCAGCGGCGGGGGAATACGTGAAAGCCGTCGATCTCTTGTCCAAGCACCAAGGCTCTCTTGAAGCCGTGGCTCTACTGGTACAGATTCACCTGATGCAAAACCGGACGGACTTGGCTGTCAAGGAAGTGGCTGCTGCCAAACGCTGGGCGCAGGATTCATTACTCATCAACCTAGCCGAAGCTTGGACGAATCTCAGGGAAGGCGGGCAAGAGAAGTATCAGTCGGCGTTTTATGTCTACGAGGAACTCGCATCTACGCCAGGGAATACCAGTCCCACGGCATTGGTGGGACAAGCTGTTTCCGAGATACATCTAGGAAGGTTGGAAGAGGCCGAGGCAGCATTGCAGCAAGCTGTGGGCATGGCCAATGCAGATGTGCAATCTATTGCCAACAGTGTCGTTTTGGCAAGTATTGTTGGGAAGAAGGCCGAGGACGTTCAAGGACTACTTCAACAACTACGGGAGAGAGACGCAGAGCACGCGCTGTTGAGAGATTTGGAAGAGAAAAGTCAGCTCTTTGATAGCGCGGCAGCCAAGTATGGAGCCAAAGTTGCCGCATAGGAGACATTGTCAATGCGTTTGGCTATAATGAGCAATGGAACCTCGATGTCCAGAGAATCTTTCACGAGAGAAAATGACATGTGCTGCGCGAGGCAGTCGAAGGCGCAGCACAGGGTCAAGGAATTGGAATGGCGTTTCTTATAGAAGCGGACAACTCGCAATCGCATGAAGTTTCGTGGTAACCATTCCTCTAGACTTTTTTTGAAGAGAGCAAGGCTACCCGATCAGTCAATCTCCAGTCGCCAGTCGTCAGTCGTAAAAGCCCCCTTGTACCCTTATATCCTTGTACGACTAGAAGAAATTCAAGGAATACCACAGCGACGTGGCTACCTACTTATAAGTAATACGTGTACTAGCTACTAGATACTCGGTAGGTAGCTTAGGCGGGTAGGGACATGGGTACCTCGTACATAGTTAGGTTCTCCTTGAACCTCATCCAAGTCATACATACATACATACATACATATACACATACAAGGGAGGTATACATCGTATCGGGAATTATATACTCGGTACATCCTCTTGTGCTGGTATCTACAGTACATGGATACTCACCGTGTGGGAAATAGAGAGGGAGAACCAAGTGAAGACTGATAACTGACGACTGAGGACCGACTGATTGATCGACTGACCGATTGATCGATTGATCGGTTATCGGGACCATTATTATTATTGTTATTGATCAAGGACTGAATAACTCAGTACGTGCCGAGCGATCAGAGCCATCGGTCAATTAATTAGTTGATTAATTAATAAATCAATCAAATTAACGGCGATAGTGCCGTGAGGGTATTTTCCGTCCTTCTGCTCTTCGCGTTGCGCTCGGGCAAAGCGGGCTTTTCATGATATGCTTTTGGCATGTTTGGGACTGGGACGAGCGTTGCATGCATTCTAGAGGATGTATAGACCAGCACTGCACCGCCCGCGTGTTGGTACACTCTCCTGCCTCATCATTCCAGCTGGTTAACATACTGAGAGGTAGCTGTTTCGACGCTCCGCTGAGTGGCTTGTGCGTGGAGCTTTCTTTCGGCGGGTATCCTTCCACAAGCAACGTGGGTCATCCGAGGGCTCCTCAACCCTCTCGTCTCCGGAGTCTGGTCTGCGGTATGACGGAGGGGGAACCGGTTCATGGGCTCTGAAGCTAGTAAAGGCCGTCAAGAGCACCCGAGCAAGCTGATGATCCTTCGACCATGTTGATAATCTGGCCAATTGGCAAGACCAACAAATACATTATGAACAGACGTTCAGCTCTTTTCCATCAACCCACTCGTCAGCTTGGCCCGGGTTCATTCTCCTTTATTCTCACCGTCTCCACCAGATTAGGATAGGTCTCGGCAAACAACGGTCCCAAACTCCAGTTCTCCAGGCGTCGAATGTGGCTCTCGAACACCGGGTTGATAACTGGTTCTTCTTTCTCGGAAGTGCTGAGGAGACAATCCACCGGATCATATGGCCAGTTGACAGATAAATCGGCTGTGAAAGGGAAGAAGAAATCATCAAATGGATAATCCTGAGGGTTCACCACAACCCTATCTCTCATCCGCGGCCATGGGATGTGGTCCATCCATGCGGGATGAGGTTGGAATATTTGTGCTGCAGTAGGCCGGAACCATTCAGGGAGGCGCTCGTAGTTCTCTTTGGTAGGATGGATTTGCCAGCGCATGTGGGTGAACATGATAAACAATGTCGCTACTTGTTCTGGCAATCCAGAAATGTTGGGGAACTTGGAGATGATGTCTGTCATGAGTTGGGACATGTCATCCAGCGATCGACGAGGCCCACTGGGATTCAGAAGAGACGAAACAGAAGGATAACTTGGTGTTGTGGGGAGTGTGTTGGCGCCGCTGATGGGGTCGCGCTGACGAGATTGTAGGAGTTTGAGTAGTAAACTATCGAGGGGGCACGTAGGAGGACTGATCTTGGGGAGGACACTCCAACGTGTCGTGGGAAGTGTCAATTGATCGGGAAGGGCTGGGTACGGGGAGCTGAGGCTGGGCTGAGGTCGTGGTCGTGGTCGAGGGTGAGGGTGATTTTGCGCGCGTGCATTGCCTGTTCGTTGTCCCAAAAGATCGAGCAGAAATCCGAAGTTGACACGCTCCCCACCCTCATTCAGTTCGAGGCTCCGTTGTAGATTGTCTCGTTGGTTGTTCAGTGCATCTCTTGACGTGGATGAAGGCCTGTGATCCTCGACTCCTTCTCCTCCCAACTGTGGAGGATGCGGTGGTGTTTCTGACTGGCCTTGTGACAGAATGGGAGAGACGGAGAAGGCAGTCTGCCCATTTCGCTGGATATGGAAGGAGGTTGGGCTGGCTTGTGTGCCGTTACTTGGAGGAAACAGAGGATTGAGAACAGGATGTGTCTGAATCAGTCCAGCCTGGACATTGTGCTGCGCAGCCGTCGCAAGATCTAACAGTGACAACGGTTAAGATGAGAAGACGAGACTGGAGAGGAGGAGAAAGTAGAAAGAGGAATACCAGTTAATCCCTGCGCTCCTACAATGGGTTGAATGATGGACATGACTGACGCAAGCCTCCTGCGAATCTCCTCATTCTCTGCTTGGATAGCATCTTTCTGTCTGATGACGGCCTCGAGCTCTTGATATGGCTGATGGGATGTCAACTCCTGTATTCTCCGCTCCAGGTTCTCAATGGTCTGCTTGGTCCGCTCTCGGATTGCGCGTTGGGCTTCACGGTCATTGGCACGCTTTTTGGCCAGCTGTTCGGGCGTGAGGGTATCGACGCTCCGCGAGCCAGGCGGAGCATTCTTCCGTTTCCGACCATCCTGCCATAGCGAAGGAGGTGAGAGGTTGTAGTCGGCTTGTGCTGAAGCGGAGGTATGAGAGGCAGGAGATGCTGGATCTCGCTGCATTTTGAGCGACCTTGCTTATCAAGGAAAAGCTGTTCCTGCAATGCTTGAGTCAGTGAACAGGTCAGAATGCGAAGAACCTTACTCGGGAAAAGGGCCGGTATTTTTCCACTTCAGATCCCAGGCGCTGATACGCGGAAGACAAAGTTGCAGTCTGACACACGCCAAACGAGGGCCTGTCGATCTGTGGTGCCGGGGACGTCGGATCAAACCCGACGCATCCACATGGAGATTTGTGCTTGTTGTACCTCGTACCCAGTACTCGGTACCTGTAGGTACTTTTACAAGTGAAATGTCTCGTGATCACTGGGGTAAGAGTGTAAAGGTACAGCAAACAAGTCACTGATTTGATCATTCTATTGGAATATCTCTTCGGCTTTGTCAGCCATTCTCCTTTTCTATCTGTCAAGCTCTCATTCTTCGAGTATGCCATCTATTCGAGGGTCTCCCAAACCATCCACACAACACTTTCTCTGTTACCTCGAAGGTAATGATGCCCTGAACTCCCCAATAAACAGACTTGCAGCAAGGGATCTGTGCCCCGGACTGATGCGCGCGTGCTTTGTCTTTTCGTATCCAACGCCGATGTCAAGTTCCAGTATTGTCCATTCATAGGCCAGCCAGCCGTTGCCAAAGATGTTGCTGCATACTTCACTTACTCAGCCAGTGGTTGGAAAACTTGAACTCCTCCTCAACCTCTACAGTCACCGGATAGCTGTAGTCGCCGCCCTTGGCCGCGGGCTCGGCGTCAAAGATGGCTTGTGCGGCATTTTCGTTCCCAAAATATTCATTGTCTCCCAAGCCGCACTTGTCCAGGACTTTGCGATATTTCTCAACTTTTGCTTGTGTACGAGTAGCATCTTCACCCTGAGATGTCAAGGTCAGCCCAGTGATTCCAATGCTGCCCTTCTTGAACCGTATGCCTCTCCCCTCCAGTGGAGCCAGGTGTCGGTTTCGTTCTTTGTCCAACATTCTGCCATTGAGATTCAGGAATCTGTCCATAGTTCTGGCTTCCGCTTGCGCCTCCGCAGCAGTCTCCTTGACCAAAACCTCGTACTCGTAACCTACAAAGGCCAGGCGATGGTTGCTGAACTCGATGTAATCTGTTCTCTTAAGATCCTCTCCAATGGCATGGGCTTCGACATCGCTCGAATACGACAAAGGCGTCTTGGTTTTGTCAGCAACCAAGTCTGAGATCCCACTGAGATCTCTCTGGACGAGGAGGTCGGTGAGGTAGAGTCGAGTGACAGACCGAGGTACCGCTTCAATGAATTCTTGGGCAAACCAAGGTGATCGAACATTGACGTGGAGTTCAATGAGCTGCAGAGATCTCATGCGTGAAATGCAGTCTTTGAGAGCTCCCATGAAATTTGCGTGTCGATGGCAGTGTTCCGAAATGACACCATGGACGCAGATCTTGAGTTCACGCAATTGTCTCGCAAAAATGTGAAGGTTATGGAACATAATGGTGGCTTCCCTGTAGAAGTTGATTCCCTTCGTATGCGATTGAAACAACATATCGGGGATGACAAACTCGAGACTTTCTAGGGTCCTGGCCGTCTTCAAGGTGATCTGACTTGCAGTGAGAATGGCATTGGAATCGACGCGGAGTTGTTTGACCGGAGAAGCCTTTCCGTCCGGCGGGAAGACGAGGTTGCCAACTGTATAGGCGATCTTGTTCGCGTACGCCCCATGCAGCACGGTTCGTGGATCTGCTGCGATGTACAATGTTTCCAGATGTGGTTTGTTCTTGAGAACATGCGATTGAAGCAAAGGAAGGTTGAGGTTATCCAGAACTAGAACCCTTAATCTCTTTAGCCATGGGATGCTGTTGACCATAGCTAGGCGACATTGGTACTGCTGTCCATCAATGGATAGCATGCGGGCTGCTGGCATCATCAAAGTGTCATGTTTTCCACAAGGATGGGCAGAAGAACTCGTGTTTTCTCCACAACCATCTGCCCCGATTCCGAACAGGTGCAGCTCTTCAAGCTGGATTGAATGTTTCAAGACCTCGGCCAGTTGGAGGAATACAATCGGGTCGCTGTTGTGCGGAACTTCGAGAAAGAGGCTTCTGACGCTCCGGTAAGCCTTGCTTCTGATTGTGGCAACGTTCAGCGATCTCCCGAGGAATTCTTCAAGTCGATTGGCTGGTGTGAGTACAGTGGTCTCGGTATTGAAGTAGCAGTATGTTTCGTGATACGTCTGACGGCAGACGAGCTGAAATGTCGCACACCCGGTGGAAGGGCGAGCACCAACCACCTGCTTGGTCGCATGAACCAGGCCTATAATGGTGTCGCGAACTTCTAGAGGAATGCCGAGTAAATGATTCTTCGGGTATTCGATAGTAGGAGCTTGGATGCTTGAGACTCGAGGTTTGGACATGAGTACGGGTTGAGGAGCACAGTCGCTGCCATACACCTGGCCATCCATCTTTGTATCCTTGTCACTCCCAAACTGTAGCCCCTGAGAAATGCTCGTCTCCAGATCTATCATGCTGGTGTCGGGAGAGGGGACATTGGCAGGACGACAAGAGGTCGCTGTTGGCGTGCAGTGACCTAGAGAAGGTGTGGTTAGTTCAAGTCTAGACACCAAAAGCCATGGCTTCCTACCCGTGTTGATGGCTTTCGTTTGCGAAGCACTGCTGAGTGCCATGTTGACAAAGAAAAGAGGCTTGCTGTCCTCTGTGAGGGACAAAGCAGGTTGGGCGGTGAGGTGCGTCCGAATTTCTCGGTCTGTGCAGGTCAAGAGTAATTGAGAATTCGAGTGATCTTGAAGCAGCAATTTGCCTCGGCCACTACCACGACAAAACGTAGTTCTGTTATTGTCAAGAAGACTGACTGGCGTCTGACAAGTGGGATCAGAGGCAATTGTCCAGATCGAGGCACGTTAAGTGAGAGAGTTGTGTGAGAGAAGAAAGAAGAGGCGCGGTATATCACATGCGTTGTGCGCACCATGCACTGATTCAAATCGTGAAGTAGCAAGGTGACAATAACAAGGACCAAAAAGGCGACAGGTGCCAAAGATGTGAAGTTGTTGAGTTGATTGGGTGAGGCACATGTCATAGGGCTGTTGTGTCACCTCAACGCCTGTGACTCTCACCGACGTACCTACCATGTGATCTGTACCAGGAGAGCTTTCATATCTCTCAGCCTTGTAGATACAAATCTTGTCTCTGCCCTGACGCATATGTATATATCTTTGGGGACGGAGACGGTGCGCATAGAGGAAATGATCACTCCATACAGGATACGTATGACAAGCCAGCTGACAACCTTGCACACCAGAGTACTCGACTTACCTAGACCCACAGGACCATGAAAGCACATCAAAGCACAGGACAACATTGACGGCACGCAAGTTGTTCTCACTCCAGTGCGTGATATGCTGTTGTCTCCATGGCAGCAGAAGGAGATTCGAAGTCAAAGGCTCCTGGTCACTCAGTCAGGTTGGTCCCCGAGTCTTGAACCGGTAGTGCGTCGACACCGAGAATCTCGCGTTGCAGGAGGAACTACTGCTTCCTGGGTCAACGCACTTGCTCATCAAAGCGTGGTGATCTTCCTGATCCATCTCTAAGTCGGCCATCGAGCTGCGTTGCGTCAACACTGTTCGTTCAGTGTAAAGTTCTGGTGTGCACCAAGAGCTGTCATCTTCCCGTCCTCAATCTTTCGGCACGGGATCGGAAGGGGGCTTTGAGACAAAAGAAGAGCTTCAAACATCAACGATCGAAGGAAGAAAGGTTTTGAGGCAGCTTAGTTGGCATTGCGCAAAGTTGAATGAGGAGATGGACGTGAGAGAATAACAGAAACTGAGTGGAGTTGAAGTTTATGGTCGCGCAGTCACGAGACTCGGCCAACCTTCCTAGCAAACATAATGGTGTATTTCCCTGCGGTGCATCACTCTGCTCCGACGAAAACTGTCGTGGTTCACATTTCCTTGTCAATCTTGTGCCCAACCGGTGGTGGAGGGGTTGGAGGTTATGCAGGGGAGGTCCCTTGTCCGTCAGTCTGCCAGGCTGCTCTTTGTACGAACCCTACGCACCACCGCCGTCCGAGCTGCCGCTCAAGTTCCTCGCCTCGACCTCCGAACCATTGATGCGAAATGGCAGCAGAGATGGGCAAACCAGCCAAAGCCCCGAGGGCAATCAAGTTCCCTACCCGGGTCCTATGTGCTACCAATGTTTGCTTACCCATCTGGGTCTCTTCATATGGGTCATCTTCGAGTCTATACCATCTCCGACGTGATCGCCCGCTATCGAAGAATGCGAGGTTATGATGTGCTTCACCCAACTGGCTGGGACGCATTTGGACTCCCAGCAGAGAATGCCGCAATCGAGCGCGGTCTTGATCCTGCTGTTTGGACCGATGATAACATTGCAAAGATGAAACAACAGCTCAAGAGCATGAACACAAGTTTTGACTGGGATGCCGTAGGTCAGAGGATTGGAATACATGTACATAGCGCTGATCAATCGTTCGTAGGAAATATCAACATGTTCGCCGTCGTTCTACAAGCACACTCAAGACATTTTCCTCAGGTTATATCATCGTGGTCTGGCATATCAAGCGGAAGCGCTGGTTAATTATGATCCTGTCGATAAAACGGTTCTTGCCAATGAGCAGGTCGACCACAATGGACGGTCGTGGCGATCAGGGGCTCTAGTGCAGCAGATCAAATTACGCCAGTGGTTCTTCAAAATAACCGAGTTCAAAGAAGATCTACTACAAGATCTGCAATATCTGTCCGACGGAGGAAAGTGGCCAGAGAGAGTCGTAACTCAGCAGCGGAATTGGATAGGCCGCTCCACAGGGGCACGCATCCAGTTTGGCTTAAGAGACGAATCTGGAAACTCTTCCCTGATCCATGTCTTCACCACCCGTCCGGATACGCTGTTTGGAGTCAAATATATTGCCCTCTCACTGACACACCCTCTCGTGGTACGGGCGGCCGCGAGGTTACCCGAGTTGCAGAAATTTCTCGACAGACGAGCTTCTTTCCCGCCCGACTCCAAGGAAGGCTTCGAGCTGCCGTATTCGGCCTTCAATCCCCTTTCACAAGTCGGAGTTTCAGATGCTGAGCCATTGCCCGTTTATGCCGCCCCATATGTGCTGGCAGACTACGGAGAAGGCGCAGTGATGGGTGTCCCGGCTCACGACTCTCGCGATCTCAGCTTCTGGAAACTCCACAGACCCTCAGATCCTGTCACAATCGCGATATCGCCAGAGCCTTTAGCTAACAGGGCCTCTCGTGTGCTTGCCACCGATGTGGTCGAAGCGTACACAAATGACGGGTGGCTGACTTCTTTATGTGGTCCTTACACGGGTCTACCAAGCAGTAAGGCGAGAACCGAGATTGTCTCTGGACTGGAGAAACACGGTCTTGCGGAAGCAGTCGAAACTTGGAGACTTCGTGACTGGCTTGTGAGCCGCCAAAGATACTGGGGTACGCCAATCCCCATCATACACTGCCCAGCCTGTGGACCTGTTCCTGTGCCCAAAGAAGACCTTCCCGTGGTATTACCACGACTCGATTCATCCATCAAAGGACAATCCGGTAATCCACTGGATAGGATCGCGGAATGGGTCAATTGCCAGTGCCCATCCTGCAAAGGTCCGGCGAAGCGAGAAACGGACACGATGGATACATTTGTCGACTCTTCCTGGTATTTTATGCGATTTCCAGACGCGACGAACGAGCTTGAACCCTTCTCCCAGCAATCCGCAGCCGATATGCTCCCTGTGGATACCTACATTGGAGGCGTCGAGCATGCTATTCTACATTTACTCTATGCACGTTTCATCTACAAATTCCTGTGCAGCGAACGTCTTATTTCCAGCGACAAGGGCCATGCCGAGCCGTTCCAACAATTGATAGCGCAGGGGATGGTGCATGGGAAGACATTCTCTGACCCAGACAGTGGTCGGTTCTTGTTGCCCAGTGAGGTCGACTTGGACGGCGAGGCCGCAACCATCAAAGCCTCTGGCAAGGCACCCAACGTCACTTGGGAGAAGATGTCCAAGAGCAAGCATAACGGTGTGGACCCATCGGTCGCGATTGAGAAGTTTGGAGCAGATACTTTACGAGCCCATATTCTCTTCGCTGCACCAGTTAGTGAAGTGCTGCAATGGGACGAGGAAAAGATTGTTGGAATACAGAGGTGGTTTGGCCGAGTAAACCGCATCATCTCCCAGCTGCCTTCCCAGGACCAAGACGTCTCAGAGATCACGATACCTGAGCTGAGAGATCTTAGCACAAGTGATGCTGAGGCGCTGCTCTTGACGCAAGGGACCTGCAAGAACATCTCGCAGACATTCTTGAGCGACATCTACAGCCTGAATACAGCCGTCTCGGACCTTATCAAGCTAACAAACGGCCTCGAAGGAATTGGCGTCAACAATCTGACACCTTCTGTCGCCTATGTCGCCGTGACCACGCTCCTAAAGATGATGGCGCCAATCACTCCAGCATTCGCCGAGGAATGTTGGGAAAGAGTGGTGCCGGGCACAGAAAGCAAGAGCATCTTCGATGTGTCATGGACAGGCGATGTCGTAACGCCTGAACAAGAGGCTGCTCTACGGAGTCGCAAAACAACCATCACCTGCGCCGTGCAGATCAATGGAAAACTACGGTTCACAGCATCAGTACCGTCCCCTCGCGCAGACGGCAAGGCTGGAATGGACCCGGCGGCACAAGAGGCGGAGATCATCCGTGCTGTCCTCGAGACAGAAGAAGGCCGAATGTGGCTGACGGAGAAGAACAACTGGGAAAAGAAGAAAAGAGTAATTGTCGTTGGAGGCGGCAGGGTGTTGAACGTTGTATTCTGAGGCCACACGGTCCTGACACAGCCCAGTGCTTGCGCTCACTCTTCATGGCATGTACAACATTGTGGATGATATTAGAAACACTCAGCCTTGGGGAATGGCAGGAGCGGACCACGTCATTTGAAACACGAGGCTAAACCACGGTATTGCTACATCCCACTTTCCACTCGAACGTGTATCTTCACATGGCCTTTCACTTGCATATTTGTGTCACCACCGTAACTTGACGCTCTTCACCTCTGAAAAATTGGTGAGTCCATCGATACAAAGGTCGAGTCTTCACTTACCCAACAGGCAGACAGTACTGGAATCTGACCAGTGAAGTGAGGCCAGCCTAATATCTTGGGTATGTGGATGATGCCTTAGGTCAAGCCGCTTCGGCCACATCAAGAAACTTCACGCCCCAACTGGATCATCATTATCATCACTATGACCGACTCCCATGACGGCGAAGGCGAAGCCGTCAAAGGGGACACATTCCCACCCCCAGCCTCAGGCTCAGGCCCATCGCCGCCGCGCAGCAACAAACTCACTTTCCCCGAAGAAATCACCGCCAGAGTGATCAGCTACATCGTGAGGGACGGATTGCGCATCTCGACCGACGCGCGCTACGACATCGACGTGGCGACGATCCACTGTCTCATGAGGACGAGCGTGTCGGTCAGACGCGAAACCCTGCGCCAGGTGTTCCGCCAGCCGCTGCGCTTCTGGCTCAGCGGCGTCAAGTCGTGCGATTGCAAGCCACCACTAGAAAGCATCAGGCACAAGGAGTGTCGCTGCACGCTGCTCCGGGAGAAGATGGCGTGGATGCCGCTGAATAGGTGGCGCAGGGTCGTGGTGCATTTCGTCCCGGTGTCCGCGTGGGGGTTGGGTGATGGGGTTGCCACCCTCCGAGGGGATTCACAACAGACTGATGATGATGATGATGATGATGATGATGATGATGATGATGATGATGATGATGATGGAGGAGGAGCGGGGGAAGAAGAAGGCGGAGGAGGAGGAGGAGAGAAAGAAGCAAGAGAAAAAGAGGTATTAGCTCGCAGCGAGTTCCTCGACGGCGCGCAACGCGTCAAGCACTACTCCCGAAGTCTAGCGACGACGCTCTACTTTGTGTTCAAACAGTGGGCCAGGCTGGACTGCGACGCCGCGTGTGGCGGAGCCATCGAGATGACGCGCCGCCGCTACTACGGTCCGCTCGACTGCTCGTACGACCCCAAACTGCCCGCCCTGCCATTCGACGTCGACTTTGTGTTCGAACCGGGTCCTGCCACCGCTAGCGGCGACGTCAGCGGCAACAGCGGCGGCGCGAGAGAGGTCGATCCACCACAAATTCCCCTGTGGACGATGAACATGGTCGAAAGCCTGCTGATGCCGTGGTGGCGGATCACGACCAAACGGGCTCCCGCGCGCCAGATCCAGCTACCCGACTCGATCGCCGCGGCCTTCACCACGGCGTGGGACCGCCTCATCGCGGCCGACTTCCCGCACGAACCGGCCGCGGTGGCCGAGCGTCTGCGGCGCGACTTTGCCGACTTTTGGTCCTTCAAGCTCGAACCGGTGCCCCTCTTCGACGCGGACAGCCTGTGGCTTTGCGTCGTCGCCGTCGACGACTCCCGCGACTGGTACCTGGACGAGGCGCCGCTGACGACGACGCCCACGAATTGGACCATTTGCGGCGTTCCTGTGCTGCGGATCGATGTGGTCGCGGGGTCCGGATCAGAAGAGGGTGTGGACAAGGGCTCTGCCGGCGACGACGGCGGGTCGTGGACGGGACAGTTCCTGGCTTCTGATGTCTAATCCTCCCACAGATAATGCCACACGCACAGAGAGAGAGAGAGAGGAAGAGGCGGGGGGAAATTACGAGTCTATTCCTCGTCATCCAACTCAAACAAAATGGTTGGTTTTCTCAAGCAAAGAGTTCCCTGTCCGTCCAGGCCAGACCAGGTACAGGACGTGCGGTATGAGGTAACAGGTGACACTTGCTGAGAGGGACGCATGCTGCTTGTTCACACCCACAAGGCCAGATATCCATAGCGCTCTAGGGACGCTAATCCAAGAATCATATCATATCATTCATTCACATGAGCTCTGACGCTGAGAAGACTGTGCTAAGCTTGGACGTGACGCTGAACAACAACAACAATTAAAAAACACATCGTGATCGTAATGAACGTCGCTGCGGGATTGTAAGAAAGGGTTTGGTCACCGGTTCATTCCACCACATGTTCCATACCCACGTAAGAGAAGTGGAAAAAGTATTGCATGTATGTCCTCGACGGCGACGAGCCTTGCACGGAGAATGTGGGCGAGAGGGTCATGAAGCGGAGCCTCGATCGATCTTGTTCGATTTGATCGATCCCTCTCAGTTGGTCATGGTATCTGGCAAGTATGAATCCCAGATTGATTTCACGACTTTCCATGCTTCCAATACATGATCGTCCCACCAGGACGTGAGCCCCTCGGACCGACCACACAGTATAGCGTATGGAGTCTCACCTTCCTTGTTCTTGATATTCCAATCGGCGCCGTTGCTGATCAAGGTCTGGAGACAGGGCTGAAATTTACTGCCAATGTCAGTTTCCCACCTCAAGCCGGGACACTTGCATAAATGGTGCAAGGCTGTGTCTCCCTTGTCATCGGTGAGATTGATATCGGGTACCTCAGAGGCAAATCGAACGACGCCATCGGCATATGTGTGCAAAGCAGCCACCATCAGAGCGTTCATCCCATATTTGTCGGTGCAGTGCCGATCAATATCATCCCGAGAGGCCAAATATAATGCGGCCGCTGGGCGATGACTGTGGAGAGCATGCAGCACCGCATTCCGGCCGTCGTGAGACTTGGAGTTTGCTGGGAGGCCAGCACTGAGGAGGTACTCGATCACAGGCACCGCGCCGCCATCTGCAGCCCAGTGAAGGGCCGACCGTCCATGGCGGTCGCAAACGTCTGCTTGAATGCCTCTTTGGCTCATGAGATACTGAACCACCTCCAAAGAGCCGCAGCTTGCTGCTGCATGGAGTGGCGTGCAGCCTTCCTCATCTGCCACATTCAACTCACGCCCCCCACTATAAGCCAACAACTTCTTGACAATCCCGAAGTGTCCCAAGCTAGCCGCGTCCGATAGGGCGGTTCCACCCCATCTGGTTTGTGCAGTGGTATAAGAGATGGCAACGTCGCGAGCCTCGCTCGAGTCCAAAGCCGATATCAGTTCCAGCAGTCGGTCAACTACCGCCTCGTCCCCACAGTAGGCTGCGTTGTGCAGATAGGTTTGATAGATCGAGCCTCGATGTTGATACCACGATATGGCCTCGGGTTCGGCAAGGATCCTGAGCGGAACAGCCTCAAGCTGAGACTGTAGCGCAAACGTTAATGGAGGCAGACCAAACTCATCCAGGTCGTTAAGTACGCCGTTGTTCAGATCGATCAAAAGATTGGCTGTTGACACATGGCGCTGATCTATTGCGTACCACAGTGGCGTACGCTGGCTGGAACCGCGCCAGCTTGTCAGTAACGTCACCCAGGATCTTTTGTCGTCTCCAAGACGACGTCTCAATTCAGCTGCCGACTCCCTGCACTCTAGACAGAATCCGTTCACACGCTCGTTCTGGTGTATTTGGGGTCCACGACTGATATAGTCGGTGATCCAGTCATGCGAGCCGATGAAGGCGAGAAGGTGCAGGGCACACAAGCCATGTACGTTAGCACTGTGGAGATTAGATAGTCGCAGCGTAGCGGTGACACGTCCGGTGTTGTCGAGGAAAGAGAAGGCCCTCTGCCTCAAAGACACGTTATCGCTGCCAGACGATACGTGCCAAATCCAGTATTGTGCGCTATAGTCGGCGAACGGAAACGCATCTTTATGGTCGAGCGTACTCTTGCCATCGAAGTGGCAGTCTGCAAACGCATCTAGATATAGATAATTCAAACAACAGCTGGCAATGAAGTCGTGGGGATCCGGCATGAGTCGACTACCGAGTGATTCCAAGAAGCTTTGTGTGGTGTAGTGGACCAAACGAACAATTTGGGTCTCAGAGTCGATGGTTACCAACCCGGCACAGCTTGAGATTACGTCGTCAGGATCGTCCAAGTCGTACTCTAGATCCAGTTCTTTGGTTTCCTCGTCGACAGCGAGGGCGTGTCTTATTTCGTCGAGAGTGAGCGGCCGCACGCTAAATGCGACGCAAACCAAGACTTTCCTGGCGAGTGTACTGTGCTCTTCAGGTTGGCTTTGTATCCTCTGGAGTGTGTCCATGTAGGCTCGATCAAGAGCATCACCCCCTTGGGCGAAGGCCTTGAGGGCTTGCAACACGTCCCTAGGCTTCGTTTTCGTCGCAAGGGTGTCGCAGTGCAGCTTTGCCAGCAAAAACCTGAAAGGGTGTTAATCAACCATGCACTGGATGTCTTCCTGTAGTAGGAATACTCACATGCCCCCGGCACTATCACAGATGGCGTCTTTGATCTTTGGATGCAGGTCAGTCTTCTGGGCAATGCATCTGATCTTAGGTATCAGAGAATCACAAAACTTCCCAAGGTCGTCATTTCGAGCATGGATCGTCAGTCGTCCATCTTTTGGGAAAACCCCGTTGATTTCCGGATCGGGTCGCGAAGTTGCGAGCACCTTGATAGCCACCTGGGATTTCAGCTTTTCCTGTAGCCCAAATATGAAACTAAGGATATATTTCCACGGCCTCTCATCAGATCCTTCTGGTCCCTTGCACTCGTCCAGAGCATCCATGACAAAGGTGACCAAAGAAAAGCCTGACAACAGATTTTCGAATAGCGCACACATTTCTTCCAGGCTGGGAGCCGTGGCCGCCACGCGCTTGTGCTGCTCCTCATAGACGCTATCGACTGCATTGTTTTTGGTTGGCTTCTGCAGATATAGTTGCCGCACCATACTGGAGACGATGTGATGGCACGACTGGGTAGCAGTCCTTCGAAAGCTGTTATAGAAGAACACAAGTCCCGAGTTGTCATCCTGGGTCACCCGCGCTTGCAGGCTGTTAATGATGATTGACGCAATGAAAGTCTTGCCAGCTCCTGGAATGCCCGGCAGTAGTATCGTTGAGGGGCCTGCATCGTTGAGCCACCTGCAGTATATCGGGTCAGTGAAGACCCATTGCCCTGTCCCTGCTTGCACCTTGGTGAAGTAGTCGTGTTGATGAGCAGAATAAGTACCAGGTGCAAGCCAATCCGCAACGCGCTGGACTTTCTCCTTGTCATGGTCTATAGTTAGCCTCGCCAAATCTTGAGCTATCTCGCGTTGTAGTGTACTAGGGACAACACCTTAGTCGGTCTGAATACGGGTACAATCTCAGAGCTCACCTGTCCAAACTTTGGCGTACAGCGACTAGCAGTTGGATGGAGGAGCTGAGTCGAGAGCGCAGTTGGCTTGCCTCCTTGGGGTCCCATCGGAGACGCTTCCATATCTGCTGTGGCCCTTTTCGGGGCACTATAGTTGCCGAATCAAGTTCAGTATGAGCGTCGATAACCGTGTTCAGGTCCATCAAGACAGTCTCGCAGTTCGTCACGGCATTTCGCAAATCATCTTTGATAGAGTCTGCAAGGTCGTCATCTTCAACCTGAATCTTCAGGTCGTTGACGACTATCTGGAGGGTGCGGGTCCTGTTGTAGTCAGAGGGTTTCAACACAAAATGTGAGGCAAAAGTGCCAACTCATCAGCCAATGCATTGTATTCCGCTGGAGCGCCCTTGAAACGTCTCCTGGTCCTCTCAACCAATTGTGCTATTACGAGAATATCACCAACAGAGAATCCAAAGCTCATGGTGTAGCAAGCGGAGTCTCCAATATGAAGGCTATAGGATGAAAACGTTGAAAGAACATGTAGGTAGTTTTCAGCCTCAGTTTCTCAACTGGGCACAGCCTCGCAGCCTCGCAGCCTCGTCGCCTAGTGGCCAGGTGCCAGTCAGCCTCGTAGCCTTGCAGCGAGATGCGGAGTTCCGAGGTTTATCCGATGCGCTGAAATTGTTCGCCATGTGAGATTAACCACTTTGATGTTGCCATTTGGGATTCTCTGACCTGGTGCACACCTCAGCATGCCACCTGCTTTACGGCATTCGAGCCTCTTTCGATGGGGCCATTGCCCGCGAACCAGGTTCCGCTTCTTGTTGCACCACCATCGCTTCTTTGCGGCTGTGGCGAACGCATTGAGGTAGGTCTCTGGCCCCTATCCGCACCTCTGTACTGACCTCATTCAGGCCTTACGATGTCGTGGTCATCGGAGGTGGTCATGCAGGAACCGAAGCCAGTGCCGCCGCTGCCAGATCAGGTGCTCGTACAGCACTCGTCACTCCGTCATTGTCCAACTTGGGCGTCTGTTCCTGCAATCCTAGTTTTGGGGGGATAGGCAAGGGGACAATGATCCGAGAGATTGATGCGCTCGACGGAGTCGCGGGTCGCATAATCGATAAAGCTGGGATCCAATTTCGCATGCTGAACATCAAAAAGGGTCCTGCGGTCTGGGGGCCCCGAGCACAAATTGATCGAGACTTGTACAAGAGATATATGCGAGAAGAGATGTTGTCAACCCCAAACCTGAGCGTACTAGAGGGCAAAGTCGCCGATATCATCGTTTCAAGAGAGGGCATAGAGGCGGGCGACAAGATATCGCAGGGACGCATAACCGGGATTCGTCTGGAAAGTGGTCAAGTCATTCCTGCCTCCCATGTGGTCATCACCACGGGGACCTTTCTCGGCGGCGAGATTCATATTGGGCTGGAGGCTTATCCTTCTGGTCGAATGGGTGAGGCTGCAACCTTTGGCCTGAGTAAGTCTCTACGGAGCGCAGGCTTCACCTTGGGACGACTGAAGACTGGAACTCCTCCACGGCTGGACCGCGACACCATCGACTTCAGTGTTTTACAAGTGCAGCCAGGCGATTCACCGCCAACACCCTTTTCCTACCTAAACAATACTGTTGAGATTGGAGATGCCGGCCAATTGAATTGCTGGACCACCTACACCAACGAAGCGTCCCACGAGATTATCCGAGCCAATCTGGACAAATCAATTCATATTCGAGAAACGGTGAAGGGCCCTCGATATTGTCCGTCTCTGGAGTCCAAGATTATCAAATTCAAGGATAAGCAAAGGCACATGATTTGGTTGGAGCCCGAAGGCCTTGAGCCAAACAAAATCATCTACCCCAATGGCATCAGCATGACCGTGCCAGCCGACGCGCAGTACGCCATGCTGAGAACCGTCAAGGGCCTTGAGAATGTCAAAATGCTCCAACCTGGGTATGGCGTCGAGTATGACTATATTGACCCACGAAATCTATTCCCAACACTCGAGACAAAGCTCATAAAAGGGCTTTTCCTCGCAGGCCAAATCAACGGCACCACGGGTTACGAGGAAGCTGCCGCCCAGGGGATAGTGGCAGGCATAAATGCCGGCTTGTCCGCTCAAGGGAAAGGCCCATTCACTCTCTCCCGCGCCGAAGCATTCATCGGGATCTTGATCGATGACCTCATCACAAAGGGCGTGAGTGAACCGTACAGAATGTTCACAGCACGAAGTGAATACCGCATGAGCTGTCGCGCCGACAATGCGGATTTGCGTTTAACCGAGAAAGGTCGCATGGCCGGCGTTGTAGGCGACACGCGCTGGTCCCATTTTACGAGCACTCGAGACCAAATGGCAGAGTTGCAGAGAAAACTCGAAGAAGTTCGGTATCCAAGCCCGGAATGGGTGAAAATGGGATTCCCTTCACGAATCGACTCGAACCGTCGGAGCGCCTTTGACATGCTTCGCGTGACTGGCGTCGACATGAAGGGTATCTCAGAGCGCGTCCAAGCCCTCCCGTCCATCTCCCATTACTCACCCAAAATTCAGGACAGGGTACGAATTGAAAGCCTGTACGCTCCGTACATATCCTTTCAACAGAAAGCCGCGCAGTCATTTGAGAGAGACGAGGCTCTCGCTCTACCCGTGGACCTGGATTACGATTCAGTTTTCGGGTTGAGCATTGGTGAGAGGGAAGTGCTGAAGCTGGTGCGGCCGGCCAGTGTCGGGATGGCCAGAAGGATCGAGGGAGTAACGCCGAATGGGGCGCTGCGGCTGTTGAAGTATGCGAAGAGGAATGGCCGCACCAAGATTGCAGAGGATGAATTGATGCCTAAAAGCGATGGAGCTCCCGTTGAAGGATCTGTTGCTGTGTAAGATGAATTCCGGAGGTTTGTACGATATACAATCTTGAGTCGAGGATGGTTGCATAGCGGCGGCGTCATGAATGCTGGACACAGTGGCTTCTCTTGCCGGGCCAAATTTTTGAACCCTGTATCTTCTCCTGGTATATGTCATGTCTCGAGTCGCCTCTAGGTCGCAGTAGTTGACGAATACTTTAACATTGATTCCGCCCCTTACAAAGTACCTTGGAATCAAGTTGACGTCGAGGATGGAGACATACTGCTTAGTCATCGGTTTGCCATCAAAACCCTCGCACGTGAAACATCCTGTCAACATCTTGCGGCCACCCGTTTTTACCAGACGACACAACGATTCACGCCAAACAAGGCTGCATCCTACCATTGCTAGCCCTTGCGCGACACATACACAAACTCTGTTCGCCAACGAGCTTGACTATCTGTGCCACCTTAAGGTGTCCTTCCGCACGGCTCAAATAATTAATCAGGGGCCCGGAAAATCCATCTTCTCTCGTTTCCTCCCCTGTCCGTCTGGCTACTGCTTCCGCGCAGGTCGAGGATATTGAATGACCTTTTCCGCCGGACAGAATGTCCTGCCCATCGCAGGCTCGGTGATCTTCCGACCTACCGCCGCGATGAGTCGAGCTGCGGTGGCCAGACTGTCCGTTCACGGACCTCTTTCGTCGTCCGCCCAATGTGCGTCTCCGATCAGAATCGCCTCGAGGACTGGGAGGAGCGGTTATGGTATGCCACGAGGGGCGAACTGGTATCGAAGCGGTCACGAGATGCGGATAGCTGCTGGTCAAGAGAGCTCATTCTCAACTTCTGCGCCCGTATCGTCGCGAGGGACCAGGGTTGGACAAGCCAGAATTCCAGTCTCGCCTTCTCTCTCGGCTGTATCGAGGTATACATCCGCCCTCTCTTCCCTTGGTCTATTTTTTGTGGTCCCAAGTCAAGACCCGTCAGCCTTCAAATGCGCAAGTCAGCTGACGACATGGCGTGTTGAGCAGATCATGCCTGAAATCTCCAGAGCTCAGAAATTTGCAGAGCTTCCGTCCGACCAGCGTCATCGTTGGCCGACTGTCGGATCTACGAAGCTTCTCGACGACTTCCCCGGTATCGAGGCCTGATAAGCAGCACGACTCTAGCACCAAGTGAGTGATGCGATGTTTTTTTTCCTTCGCCGTTTCCCCCCCTTCTCTCTACGCTCTCGCGATTTTGGGAAATCCGTGTTGCCGTTGGCACGGAGCAAGCACCTTGTATTTTTTTTTTTTTTTTTTTCCTTTAAAAGAGGCAGCACAGGGGGTGCGAGCACTAGAAGCCCTTTACTTCTCCTGGGTTCTAGGAAGAAGAGCACATGTTCCCAGCAGTTGGTCGCACTCTCCACGGTTGAGTTCAGATGTATAGCCCTGTTTGGCCCAGGGGTAGTGATTCTATACGTCCCCACCTAAGAAACCCAGCGAGATGTACCCTTTTATTCGGAAATCTCTTGGGCAACGTCCCTTTTCTTGTCTTCCCAGCTTTGATTTGAATTCCAATAGCTTGCTCCCACTGACATGCCTCTTCCTCCCAGCGGCACCAAACCCTCGACGACCTCTCCACTCGCAGGCAGAAAACCCAGCACAACGACGCCGACGATCCTGCCTCCCCCACACCTCCCGCGATCCCTCGCGACCCAGACGCACGAGAACATCTACACGCTGCCGAACGCGCTGACGTTCTCGCGGCTCCTCGCGGCGCCCCTGGTCGGGTACTTCGTGCTGCAGCACGAGGCGCTGATGGCGCTGGGCCTGTTCGCGTACGCGGGCATCACGGACCTGGTGGACGGGTGGCTGGCGCGGCGATGGGACGCGCAGACGGTGGTCGGCACGGTCATCGACCCGATGGCGGACAAGATCCTGATGACGACGTGCGTGGTGACGCTGACGGCCAACGGCACGCTGCCGCTGTGGCTCGCCGTCGTCGTGCTGGGCCGCGACGTCGCCCTGGCCATCTCGGCCATCTACTTCCGCTGGATCTCCCTGCCCCCGCCCAAGACCTTCACCCGCTACTGGGACTTTTCCCTCCCCTCGGCCGAGGTCCACCCCACCGAGATCTCAAAGATCAACACCCTCCTGCAGCTCCTGCTGGTCGGCAACGCCATGCTGCTGCCCGTCCTGCCCGCGGCCTTCGTCGACGCCTGGAACCTCTGGGGCGTCATGGAAGGTTGGTACTACCTCGTCGCGAGCACGACCGTGTGGAGCGGCCTGAGCTACTTGGGCAATAAACAGGCCGTGAGGATTTTGACGAGCGAGGAACAAGCGCAGAAGTCGAAAACAACACAGGGATGAGAAGTGAGGGAGAGGAGAGGAGAGACTGTAGAGTTGGGGTTGTCCGTACATGGGAGAGCGAGAAGAGGGATGAAAGTAAGTAGTCCTTCGTCGTCATCATCATCATTATCGTCATAAACGGTAAGATCATATGTATTAGTTCGCACATCTGTGCTTGTACCATCACATTCCGTCAACGGACCTGTTCAGCCGGTATCAAGAACATCTTCTCCTAGCCGTACAACCATCTCAACTCAAAAGGTTCCATCCCTCCCTCTTCTGGTTTTTGTTTTGGCTGAGTGAACAGCGATATCCGCAGCTGTGGCGGCGCTATAGTATTGGTGACGGAGCTGCCTGGGGTTGGTGTTTTGTGTATGGCTCTGCATACAGCCCCAATCAGCATGCAGGGTTCCACCTGGTGCCTTTACCGTCCAGGAGTCCCTAGGCAGGCCACCACTCGACAACCCCTCCAGTAGAGCGCACGCCTTCCCAAGTGATGTCGTTGCGGATTTGAGCGTGTAGAGATAGATGTGCGTCTGTTTCAAATGACCTCGCTCAAAGTGACACTTTCTGTCTACAAGACGGGGGCGTCATCTCAGCTGCCTTCAAGCCAGCAGACTTCTCAAACGGCACATGCATGCACTCGGCGTCGAATGAACCCCTCGCTTCGCTGTACAATCTCTGTTGTATCGGCAAAGGACTGATCTGCATGCCGCCGCCAGCCGCAATGCTTGCATACAGTAGTCGACACCACGTACCGATAGGTCCATGCGGCTGAAAGCTCTGATATGGGTTCTCGGTGAATTCTCAAGGGTCACATAGGTTTGATGCGACGGAAAAGGGGATGGAGATCCCATCAGCGGGGTCGCTCGCGTCTTCTCACCTTCCCACTGCCCTGCCCAGTCTTTCTCTCGCTGACGCAGGACCCTGATCCGGCCAGCTACTCACCGCATCATCCACCTCTTCCAAGAACATTGTTGAATTAACCACGCTTGTTCCCCCTAGCACAACTCGCACGCCCGGCACTGAAGCATTGACCTGTGCTATCATCTTGGCTTCCTCATACGTGACGCCTCCCACCATAAAGACAATGATATCCTGGGGTTTATCTCTCGTGTGGTGTCCATCCACAAAGGGATATTGTAGTTCCTTTAGCCGGCCCTTGATGAGATTTTGGAGAGTGTTTTCCAGTCGTGGAGAGTGTTGGGTGTAGACGTTTTCAACACCCTTCAGGTTAAGATTGCGTCGAAATTGGCTGAATGGGGAGGAGCCGGACTCGAAAAGGTCTGTGAAGCCGATGGCTCCACCAACGGGAGCCGGTTGAAGACTGTGATGGTATGCGAGAAGCTTGGGGATGATGGAGATTTTGTATGCAGGCACGTCGGCTATCGACGTTAACAAGTCAAGGAGAACAGGGAGAGCGTTATTAGGATTGCGTTCGTAGCGAATGGCATAGAGCGCCACAAGGCGGATTTTATTGTCTGCGGGAATGCTCGGATTTTGAATGTGTTTCTGTAGTGTCCTCAAATCGGCGGCATGATTGTCGTTACACACCAGGCTTTGTTCTAATTCTGACACATCGAGCAATAGCTCGGCCGAGACTCGACGACTGAGTTCGCTGACCAAAGTGACGTGCTTGGAAACGTTGCCTGAAAGCTTTCGAAATTCTGGATAGTCTTCCACAAAGCGTTTCATATCAGCTATCGATTCGATCTGGGCAGTGGATTTCGTGCGGCTCTGATATTGGTCGACATATTCCTTGATATTCCCGCCAAGGTCACCAAAGTTCTGGTACATGTTTTTCTTGAAGAACGGATCTTGGTCCTGTGAGAGGACGATTTCCTTGAGTTCTGGACGAACATCAGGCACCGCACTCAGGTCGACTCGGCCGTTGTGAATGCCAAGTAATTCATGGACCTGAGCTTGATACGTCCACTGCGTGAGTAAAGGAGTGATTGGATCGTCTCTCCGGTCCAGGATCAACAAGAGTGGCGGAGTGTCGGTCTTGCGAAAGTCGAACAGCTGCTCCTCTTGAGTGATTTGATAGCGAATTTCGGTGGCTAGCTTCTTAGCCATAAGACTGTTCTTCTCGTACCGTATCAGCGGGTTCTTTTTGAGTGATAACAGAAGGGCAACCACCCCTTCGGTTGTCCTTTGCAAGGCATCGGTGTTCCAGACGTCTGGGCTGTGGCTCCATAGCCTCTGCTTGGGGAAACCCAGGTCCAGCGACATCAAGTCCGGATTGACCACAATATAATCTGCAAAGTATTCCTGGACTGCCTTTACCACCTCATGATCGTCCGCCTCTGCCAACCTCTCCAACGAGGACTTTTTTATAATATTGCTGAAGTAGATGTTATATTCACCATACTTGGGGTCGCGTAGTTCATCGATGAGGAACTGGATCGAATCTGGTGATGGACGGACAAAGCACAGACATCTAAGGTGACGCATGCGTTCGCGGGCAGGGTTATCGATTCTGTCAATGAGGTAGATCTGATACCGAAGGAGGGCGGATTGAGTGATTGCGGTGGATACGATGGGAACTGTCTCGGAGTCCAGCAGGAGAATTTTCATCTTTTGGCTTTGGGAAGCAGCAGCGCCTTCGCCAACTCCGGCAATCTTGGAGACATAGCCTGAGATGGCCGAGGCGACATCCATGTTGATTGTGTGATTCGGGTGGAGGGGTGGGTGTGTAGGCGGGCAGCACTGCAAGCTATCGGTACATGACAGTCATGCTGGGGTTAGGACAGAGCGGGACTAAAGCAGTCTCGAGTAGGACAAGAGGTCAAGAAGTCAGGGGGCCAGGACAGAGGTGCGTGTAATTGCGGTCTGTGTCTAGTGAACTCCTCGTGCACAAGTAGATCAGTGATCAGGGTCACGCAGAGCGAGCCTTGTCATGGTGCCAAAGTGACGACGAGGCTGCCACTCAATGAGCGCGTGGTGCCTGGCATGTGACCTGATTTGATGTCATCCATGTCCCCAAAAAAGTTTCCCCCCCACGTTTCCTCATCTCTGGTCATTTGTTGTCCCCAATACTTCCCTAGATTCCCTCGACAATGTCTGCTGTCTTCGACTGTCCACTGTCTCCCAGGCATCCGCTTGATCTTCTGTGCGTCGAATAAGAAGACTGAGAAATCAACAAAGATGCTGCCAGGGATAAACGTTCGTGAGTTGGGCTGTTCCATCATCCCTCCGTTCAGGAGAGCTTACTGACAATCCCATCCAGCCTTTGTGTGGCTCTCCAAGGCCATCGGGGCTTCTGTCGATGAGCTTAAGCTACTAGCGATCTTCCTAGCCTCATACCCGCTTGCAGCCGTCTTGAAACGACTTCCTGACGACAAGCGACAATGGAAGAACATATTCAGCGTGGCCATCACCCTCTTCTATCTGCTCGGCGTTTATGACCTTTGGGAGTGAGTCCTCCTTTATTACCAAGGATGTCAAGGCCATCTTTACTCTTCTATCATACCAAAGATAGAAAAGCTAAGAATACTTGCAGTGGAACGGTCACTCTCCTCATAGACGCAGTTGGCACCTACCTAATAGCATACTATGTTGATGGCTCGTTAATGCCATGGCTGGTATTTTGTTTTTTGATGGTTCGGTCTCCCTGAACCCCCAGGTTTTTTTACTTAGTTCTGACATTATTGCTCAGGGCCACATGTCAATCAGCCACATCGAACGACAAAGGATTGACGACCCAAGTCTCGTAGACATAACGGGCGGCCAAATGGTGTTGATCATGAAACTACATGGCTTCAGCTGGAACGTGCATGACGGGAGACTAAAGGGCGAACTGTTGACTGACAATCAGAAAGACCGTGCGGTATACAAGATGCCTAACCTGCTCGACTTTGCAGGCTATGTTTTCTTCTTTCCTTCCATTTTCACCGGGCCTGCATTTGAGGTAAGTTGGTCTCTGCTCATTTCAATGCTCAGAAACAAGACGGAGGATGGCTCTGAAAGAAACATAACTAATTAGTACCCTACGTTATGAAACTATAGTATGCCGACTACAGACGATGGCTCGACGGAAGCATATACGATTCGACGCCAGGTAGCAAAGCAACAGCACCCCCTACCAAGGGTAAACGGCGCATCCCGCACTCGACAATACCAGCGGTACGGAAAGCGATCGGGGGTCTCATCTGGATTGGTGCCTACCTTCAGTTTTCTCAGTGGTACAACGTCCCATTCTTCCTCTCGGACGAATACATGAAATACTCGTTCCCTTACCGGGTCTGGCTGCTCCAGATGCTTGGGTTCGCCTCGCGAACAAAGTACTACGGCGTGTGGTCGCTCACCGAAGGTGCCTGCATCATGGCCGGAATCAGCTACAATGGCATCGACGAGAAGACGGGCCAGGCGAAGTGGGACCACTTGGAGAACGTCAATCCTTGGGGGATTGAGACGGCACAGAACTCACGCGCGTACCTAGACAGCTGGAACAAAAACACCAATAAGTGGTTGCGAAACTACATCTACCTGCGCGTCACGCCCAAGGGCAAAAAACCAGGCTTCCGCGCCACATTGGCAACGTTCCTGACCTCGGCCCTGTGGCACGGCTTCTTCCCAGGCTACTACTTGACCTTTGTGCTGGCAGCGTTCATCCAAACGGTGGCCAAGAACTTCCGGCGTTATGTGCGGCCGTTTTTCCTGACGCCCGACGGGACCAAGCCGACGCAGTACAAGATCTACTACGACGTGCTAGGCTACGTGGCGACGCAGCTGGCGTTCTGCTTCACGACGGCGCCGTTTGTGGTGCTGGGCTTCAACGACTCGCTCAAGATCTGGGCGCGCGTGTACTTTTACACAGTTATTGGGGTGGCGGCGTCGTTGGCCTTCTTCGCGTCGCCGGCCAAGCGCGCCCTGACCAAGCGTCTGGACAAACGCAACCACCCGTACCTGCGCAAAACCATCGCCGAGGAGACTCAGTACCCACCGACGCTAGGCCTGCCCAACGACCCAATTCGCGAGATCGACGAAGCCATCGACGAGATCCGCGCCGACATCGAGACCCGCCGGCGCCGCGGCAGCATGGTGACCATGCCCAGCGGCGAGAGCCTCAAGAACGCCATTGAGCTCAAGCTCGGCCGCAAGCTCGAGATGCCCGAGTGGAAGCTGCCCCAGGTCTTTGGTGGTGATCATCAGCAGCAGCAGAATGTCACAATGGACAAGGCTCAGGCGAGGCAAATTGCCAAAGCGGCCGCAGCGGCGACAGCAGAAGGGAAAAAAGAGAAATGAAATTTACGGCCAGTCAAAGGGTTCAACAATACGGTCCAACGATACTAGTTGGAATGAATGAATTTTTTCGTCAGTCGATTTCTCGAGCACCAATCAATCACTCGGCGGATTTGGGAGAGATTGGCGTGCTGCGTTCCTTGTAGGCGCAGGCGAGCAACTGGTTTATCACCTCTATTACAGCGGAGCTTTCAAGATATTTGTCTACACGAGTAATACAATGCAAGGCAATATAATGCATCATGCATCATGAACTATGAACCACGGATGATGGATGATGGATATTAGTGGATGCGGATGCCGCGTGCTATACTCCATACTCCATACTGCATACATACGTACAGTACATACATACCCCCTGGCCCTTAGTCCCTATCCGCCTAGGTAGGTAGGTGGGTAGGTAGGTAGATAAGGAACATACCGAGTACTCCTTACTCGGCTCAGCCTTGCTGGGCTGAACAGACCGGACTTGCACTGTACCGTACCGTACCGGACTAAACAGTACGACTCGACCCGATATAATCATGGCACATACATACATACATACATACAATACATATCTGCATAGGTAGGTACCTAGGTACAGTAGATGACCGTAGATCGGGTCCATGTACAAGAACATGTAAGTCCTCGGTACATAAGCACGTACATACATTCTCGGCACCGAGTGTGGAAATGCCTGGGGGGGAAAGATGGCAGGTAGATAGGTATGTAGGTACGCCTATCCACATGTGGGCGGCACTCCAACAAATGCAAGTACAAATACAAGCATAAGGCTCGCTCGGTACTTGTAGAACCAGCCGAGAAAATCATATCCAAAAAGCTTCTCGTACAAAGACCCATCTGCATATCTGTGTATACCTCGTATATCTGCACATCCCATCCACCAACTTGTCCCTACTCGTTCTATCTGTCTATTTTGCCTTTTTTTCCCCTTGGCTGCTTATGTATGTAGCTTACTATCCCCAGTACATATGTACTTGGAGGTGTCTACCTAGGTAGGCAGGTAGGTAGGGTGCTACGTAGCGAGTACCATAATACCTAGTAGTAGTGATTAATTTACCTAGTTCAGCGTACCGCGCGCGTCCTTGTTTCCTTGTGCGGTCACATCGGTCGCTTCCTTGCCCGCTCGCCCCTTCGTCCATCTTCTGTCTTCCGCCTTCTGCCTTCTGCCTTCTGCCTAGTTCCCTCGGAAAGTGGCTGATTCGATTTGCAGTCGCCGTGGCCCCCATGGCGGCCGTGGGCCCCGTGGCCCGTGACCGGGCGATAAAAGAAAATACTCGGTACAGATCTCGACATCCCTGTTCGCTTGTGGACTGCAGAATTCGGACGGATGAAAGTATAACCTGATCGCTAACTTATAATTTTCCGGGTGGAGCATTCCCCGTTTTCGAAGCTGTAGGGTACCTGTACAAGAAGTCGTTGTGATAGTTAACTGGGGTTGTGGGAAAGACACGGTCTCCGGTGTTTATCGGCCCCAAAAGCCTACGCAAATCAACAAGACAATCGAGAGAGGACTCGGCCAAAAAGCTCGAGACGGCAAATGGGGAGGGGAACAGCATAACGAGACAAAGTGTCTGTGAAAAGGAGGCCGCACACACAGCAGCGCCATGAGAAGAACGCAACTCAGGAGGACTCGAACAGATGATCAGTGCGTAAGCTTAGGCGCTCAGCCTTGAATTCTGAAACTGATGGGAATATCCTCTACCAAGACAGGTAACCTGTCCAGGTCCAGTTATGATCGTCTTCTTGTGTTGGACACTCTGCTTTGGCGAAAATGCCTCTGTGGTCTCTTCCTGGGTTAGAATCTCGACCACCGCCTTCAGCTCCCGGGGGATCGATCAATCCAAGAGAGAATATGCGGTTGGGACACCTTGATTTGTGCAATAATGCACTGACTGACATGGACACCATCGAGAGGATTGCATTTTGCTTGAGCTCGATCCACAGTGTAACTGACAAGAGATAGCTCATAGGCTTATCTGTTGGATCAAGTTGTCGATCGAGAATATTAGGGCATAAAATAAAAATAATGGGTTGCATAATGTGAATAATAACGATTTGGTTTCCCTGCCAGCAGGCAGTTAGGACAAGACACACGTTTCAAAGCACAAAGAGCAAAAGAATAGCGCAGCAAAGCGTGGGGTGGTGCCCCCAGTGTTTGCTGAACAGAAACTCATTATAAAGCACCTCGTTCGTCTGATCATGGTGGATCTTTCCAGTTCCAGTGCTTCAGATCACAAGGGCCAGCTCAGGGCCTCAGGCCGATCACTGCCACGGTGGGTGTATCAGGAGTGAAGCGATACACATCAGGTAAACGATGCCACTGGCACCATTCATGTGCAACAAGTCATCGTCTTTCTGAGATCTTGCAGAGTCTTGCAAGACACAGCTTGTGTGAGACAGAAAACTTGAATAGTCCTGTTGTGGACATCCGGCAAGGAGAAAGGAAAGGGGTCACGAAAGTTTGGCCGAATCTGAGGCTAGAGCACAAGTGAAACCCACGAGAGAAGAGAGAGGGCCCAAGCTGGCAAAAGGCGCCGAGTGTCTGCCAGCCCGAAGCTGACAACGCATGGGGACTTGGTCTGCGGAATACCTTATAGGCACATCCTGCGAGCAGTCCAAGGATTCAGTGCTTAGCCTTCTCGGTTTGACTTCAAGAGCTAGGGGAAGCGAGATCCAGAGATGTCCTTGGGACCTTGTAGTTCTGGTGCTCTTGTCTCTGTCTCTTGCCCAGTTGCCTAACCGAGAATGGTTTCAGAAAGTTGTAGCAAAGAACGAGGGCACGAGGACAAGGCCAAGCGAACAGAAACATTCAGCGTCGCCTAGAGTTGCTGGTGACTGTGGTATTGCAGCGACGCCTTCTCTTGCGGTGCAGGTGACCCAGATGGAGAGGCCTAGATCAGTCGCTGACTATGCTCGTTCTTGTGCAGATAAGCTTCGCCTGGAGCTGCTCTCAGATGCTGTGGAAGCCAGACGACAGATACGGCAGACTCTTGCTTGGTACGTGGACACCTTGAAGCTCAGGGGACAGTGACTAACCGAAACCCACCAGCTGGTGGCTGTTGGTCCCCCGGATCCTCGATGAGGTTGCTCAGGAGTGCCGGGAATGTTGAATCTGCGCATGCATTGGACTCCGCTCTTCGAAGAAAAGCAATCATCACAGACCCAGAGCACCGACCACTCAATGTCGTGGCTACCTCTTGCCTCCAGGGCACGTCGCACCAGACAAGGGCAATCTTGTCAGGTCAGATGTCGCAGGCGGAGACTTCTCGGTTGCCAATCCAACGTCTCCAAGGACAGACTGGGAAGGTCAGGAGCAGGAAGGCATTTACCAGAGCACGAAAAGTGGCGCCCGGAAGATGTGGCTCGCAGGCTGGCTCAGAATGCCCCATATTGTTGCGACTATGAATGGCAGCAGCATGACTTAGACTTTGAGCTCTTTCTCCCCGGCACCATTGGCATGCTTGGGGAGTGGTTGTACAGTAGTAATGGCGCAATGGAGCAATGGCGACGGATCTCCACATTGCTCGACACCTCGGTGATTCATGCGGCCAGCATCCTCTTCTCGCACCCGTCTGTTTTTCTCAAACTTGATTCCTTGCTTGCTATTATTGGGGGATGTGGTCCTCCTCTTGTGCTCGTGTCTCCTCTCCCAGAACGCTGAGTCGAGTGGACAGACTCTTGTGCAGATCTCGGAGGCGATGGGCTAATAATCATTGTCTAGGACTTGTCTAAGACTTGCCTCGGTCGAGGAGTATCCGTCTGTTCAATTGTGTCCAAGTCAGAAGTCCCTTGTTTGTTGTCGTAGACGAGATCTCGCTTGAACCCGACCAAGCTGAGGGTGGATGTTTCGAGTGGCGAGTTGGCGTGAGACGCCAGCTGACCTTTCGCCAATCATCTCTGCTCCTCGGCGGTGTGATTCCTTTTGATGTAATGGAGACTGTAACATCAATAGATCAGCATCGGTCCAGCGCAGGCGCAGATGCTTGCAACAGCACCCCAGTGATATCTTGTGACTGGACATAGAAGGAGTGGTGGGACAGAGTGATTGCCGGCAGATACTCACATTACAAGGAAGCGCTGGTCTGGCATACCTGGTTGAAGGCCAAAAGGACGGGCCACGGTCGAAATTCTCAATTCTGGCTCTCTGCAAGTGGGAGGATAGGGCTTCCGCTTTGAGTTGAAGGATGATATAATAACTCCTCCTCGTGGAAAGTTATTTGGAGAGAAGAATTTGTTCGCGCGGCTCGAGCCCACAACGGCGTCGACGATGGACCTTGTAGTCGAAGGTGTAGGTACCGCAGAGTGTGAGCTTATTGATGGTGTTTATCTCGAACTTAGTCGTTGCTCCCGACTAACTGTACAAATTGGCTTCACCTTGCCGGTAGATCCAACTCGCAAAAGTCTGAATAAAGTCTGAACAAGTGCCTTGGAACATGTTTAAATAAGACGAAGGGTATTCCTCTGAGCAATTCTCGAGGCATCGAAATTCGAAATAGCAAGCTCGTTGTAACGACAGACAGCATTTGCCTCCCACACCCATCATGACATGTACAGAGCAGAAACACAGCTACAGAAACAGATATGCCTCCCTCGAACTTTTTTTTCCTCGTCGAGTTCAATGAACCTCCTGGTGGCCGTGTCATTCATTAACCTCCCTCCTCGCCCTCCTACACCCCCGCCCTCGTTGTTCCCAATTGACAAATTTGAACTTCACAATTTTCCACCACGGCGTTTCTGTTCCAACCCTTTTCCCTTCGATCTCTGCATGTTCAAACCGTTTCAACTCCGATCCAAGCAATATGGAACCCCCTGAAGTCGCGAATAACCGGTCCCGGTGTCCTTCCTCCTTCCTGCCGCAGAGCCAGGATCCAACTCACAACACCTGAGATTGACCTGGCGATGCTCAAGACCGATTCTAACGGATCCACACAATTTTTTTGACGAAGAGCTGGATAACTGCAATACTTGTCATGAACATATACTCGGATCTTTGACACGAAATCAATAACTCGCAAAACGGACTGTAACACGGCCAGTGCATGAGAAAGAAGATATTAAATGCTGACTTGCGCAGATTTAAGCAAGACGATATTGTTGCTCATCAACCTCCACCACAAAGATACTCCATGACCAAGGCGAACCCACCAAGACGCGATAACCATCTCCTTTCATACTCCTCCCAAAATAGCGAGGGCAGTTGACTGGTACACACATATTCCCTCATTGGGCTCGTTCTCTTTCGACGTTCACTGCGTTACGGGCATGCTCAGGCTCCGTCAAGGACGTGACCCGATAGTATATGAAAAGCGAGGATCTGACAGAAGCCGTGGTGCCACCATCGCGGGAGAACAACCCCAGTCGTTGGCGGCCACAACAGGTGCCAGAACCCCTGATCCAATCTATGGGTTGTGAGCCTGTCCTGCCCACTGAGGATACTGCGGTTGGGGGATAGCCTGACTGGCCGTGTCGGGATAGTACGGCGTCCGTGGGCTTTGATACATTGGAGGTGGCTGCGGTGCCGAATCCCTGCGATCCTCGTACTTCACTTGCGTGGGTGAGGGCTGACTCTGCCGGCTCTGGTCCATCTGAGCACCGTTACCATGCGTCACTGCGTATGGGCTCGGCCGATATGGCACAGCTGCTCGAGAGTCCATTGAGACTGGGCTCAACGTGTTGACTGGCCTCTGCATACTCATGGGCGGGTACATGGCCGACTGCGCCTGGGAGCGGTCCGACATGATTGGAGCCATGGTGGTTGGCGTGGCAGGAATTGATTTTGATGATGGAGGAATTGAGCTGTTCAAGGACTCATAGCTTCGATTGTACCCCGTTTGGTCGTACTGGCCATAGTCGTTTCGTTGTGCTTGCATATGGGATGCTGTCACTGGGGATTGTATGTAGCCCGTGGACATGGAAGGGACCGCCATAGAGTATTGGGGTGGGTTAGGCTGTTGAGCCATAGGAGGGTAGCCCGGTGGCATGTAGTATGGCTGAGGGTATCCGCCTGCATTCACGCGATATGCGTACGAGTTATGAGCTCCGTCCACCTCGTCAACATCCTCGATGGGAGCTCGAAAGCTTTGTCTCGAGGTTAGCTCAGACCGTGGACGGATGTATTGCAAATTCTCTGTCTGCGATGGTGTCCGCAACTGATTGGCAAGGACGTCGTTCACATGGTAGTACGAGACCAGGTGATGCGTAACGCCTTGAACCGTGACACTCATTGTCTTCTTGACCAAGCCATCTTGTTTGAAGCCGTAGGAATCCACCAACGAACCTATCAGCTGTCTTTCCACGTCGGTTGAGGCGCTGCGATCGGAATTGTAGCTGCCAGATTGACCATCTGAGAATGAGCCCCCCTCTGATCTAGCATACGGTTCACCGGGTCGGCTTGGACGTCTCTGTTGCTTCTTCATGGCTCTCTTCTTCTCTCCCGGTGGAAATGGTTTGTCGAGTTCTCGATAGACGAGAAAATTCCCGAGGATTCTGCTGGGGCTCCATGTGACCCCATCCGTCCACCTTTTGATTCCTGATGCATTTTCTTCATAAATGAAGACGCAGCCGCTTCTGATCAGATTGCTTCGTTCTCGATCGTGCGGTCGCCTAGGTACATGTGAAAGGTGCCCTTGCAGGCAAGCCTCGAAGAGAATAAGGGCGTCTTGCGTGGTGGCTACATGGCCTTGGAAGGTTGGCTGTAGCGCTGCTCCGCCAGAAGACATGGCGGGACGTGTGTGGCGTATCGGCGCAATGGTGGGCAAGTGTCTCTGAGCAAAAGTGTTATGAGGCTGAGTTTCCGTTTCTTGAGGCTCTAATCTTAAAAGGACTGCCGGGAAGAAGAAGTTTCATGCGACGTTCAAGAAAGCCGTTCAGGAGAGGTAAAATTCTGGAGTTCTGAGTTAGGTTGAGAAAGGATATGAGTTGTCGACCCAAGTAGAAGGCACTTGTTTCGTCGGCTACCACGCTTGTGAAAAGCAATTTTCGCGCGGAATCCTTGCTCTGGGGTTGTGCTCTGACTTCGCTGGGCAGAGTTGTAAGACAGTAATGTAGGAGAGCAGTGTGGTCAGCCTCAAAACAGGTTGATGATAGGAAATGCGTATCAGTGTGTGGGTCTCTTTGGGACTGCACTGTAGAAAAATGCGCAGATGCTGAAGTTCAACTTGGAAAAGGTCGAAGTGAATAAATTGCCTTCTGCAATGTTCAAAGCTCCAGCGTATTGAGGGTTTGGTGTGGTTCAACCGCAGTGGCTGGTCTTGTCAACCAAGAGGTAAATGATGGATAGCCAGTAAGTGGCGAGTTCCGGACGTGTATTGAGCTTAACACAAGGCTGAAGTTGGGATAAGCGAGTAATTGGCCGTCCAAGAAGTTGATGCTTTGTGACTGAGAAGAGATCTGTGATGGTTTATGGTGGGTTGGTGGAGGATCTGTAGTTCTTTGAGTCTTGTTGAGGCTCGAACTCCTGGGGTTGAAAGCCTCAGTTTAACTTCACGCCAGTTCGCGGTGAATGCTGGGGGGGCTCCGCCACCTTGACAGGCGCCAACCCAAATGTGCCCAAACTTAATGATCCGGCAGATGACGAACCTGTGGTTTAGAGGGATTTGCCTTTCTGAGTGACTTTGTAATTTGAGAGAGGTCCTAGGAGGGGTCAAAGGTGATAGCCGAAAAAGGAGGCGAGGACGTTGGAATGGAGATTTTCCTTTTTGTGACGGGAAACGAGAGGTGTAGGCACTGACGAACAGAGGTTGAGGATGCTGAAGTTTCTGAAATGATCCGAGAAGGCTATCGGCTTAAGTAGATGTCCCCGCGACGACGAGAGATACGCCGGGATCGACAGGGTGATTGACGGATAGGGGTTCGGGATAGAGAAGAGCTGCAGATTCGTCGTGGAGGTAAAACCAGCATTTACTTTTGAGGATGTGCCCCTGGGGTTGGCAAGGAGTCGCAACAGCCTCCAGATACGAATTCTCCCTCGTACAGTACTTCAAGCAGAAACCCAGGCCGTGAATGAACGTGGGCGATTGTGCTGGAATGGTCCTTGTGAATGGCAGGGCTGCGATCACACTGGCAGGTATCAAGCATTCATTTGACAGTGTTTTCTCTGGGTCAAAGTTGACTTCAATTTGGTCCTTTCGACACCCGGGGCTTCTTTTTCTTGACTGGTGGTCTGGGGCAAAACAAGGAAGTGACAAGGGGCAACAGATTGAGTTCCGGATGTCGGAGCTGCTGCTCTGATGGTCGAAGGCTGACTGGATGACAAGGAGGGGGAGGGAGACTGTGGCTAAGAAAGTATGTAAAACTTTGTGGGATGGAGATATGTATGGACAGGCGGAAGAGTTCAGTAGATATAGTCCAGTGTGTTTATGTAGGCTCTGTATCTTTTGGCAGCGTGCGGTTCTGTCGAGATGGTGCGCTCCAGTCCAGATTTTAACCTTGCCAGGTGCAAGGGAGAACAGGACGGCACGGCATCTGGGACGTAGTGGGCAGGCAGGGAGGGAGGGTGTCCTCGTATGGAAAGATGAAAGAGAAGGCGAACCTGCCCGTTCGTGCGGCGCAAAGCAATAGATCTCAGCTTTGGGACGATCTAAGCAGCTGATTTGGCTGGGTGTGGATATTGGCTTAAGGCTGCCGCACGCCCTGTATGTTCGCAATTGGTAGTAGTGGATAGTTGAGATGGGGAAGGAAGGTGGAAGAGAAGTAAGGGAAGGGCAAGAGAGGGTAGGGGGGAGGGTAGGAGGAGAGGGGGCCTGACTACGGGTTACTGCTTCACAGCGACTGGTACGCTTTGAAGCCCCGCGGCCACCTAACTGGAGGAGAATTCCAGGTTCTGCGACTGCTTCAGGTTCAATCGACAGGGCAAGACACTAAACTGACTCGGTCCAGAAAACCACCTGTTGGGTCCCAAGCGGGCTCATTGTTCGCCTGCAAGGGTACGAAGGGCACAAAAAGTCGCCGCCTACGGACTCGATCCGACGGGCTGAATTTCGACACTGCGTATCCGAGAGAGATGCGCTATCTTGAAAGCCACAAACCTAGTTGCCCACGCCCTCAAGTGCCTCACTCAGCCTGCTTAGCGAGTGGGGGGTCCATTATTTTGCCTTTCATACCTCTCTTTGTTCGGGTGGAGGCGAAAAAGAGGGTGTCGCTCACTAGGGCCCCTTGTCTGCCTGAGTTGAGTGTCATTGTTTACCAACCTCCCAAATCTCGATTATGGTACAGTGCTGATCCAATGCCAGATACAGACAGCAGTGACAATCCTCTCCCCAAACCGGCCCTGGCCAGAGCTCTTTGCTCTCGAACCACCTTCTTACGTGCTACTTTTCCGGTGTTCGCCTACGGAAACCGCCAGAGAAAAACCGATCAGCGCCGGGGTTCGTGCCGGCTCATTGTAAGCGAGAGAGACTCATGAGTTCATCACCACCGGGGCATTTCATTTCGGATGACAACAACAAGCAAGAGAGGGGTGTACGAGCCAGAGGCTCGGGAGCAACTAGTATGGAGTACGGGTCGCCCACCAGGTTGATAATGTGGCGGTCTGGGTGGAGCGTGGTGTTGCGCAAGACATGGCAATCAGGGGATGACCGAGATTTCCACATGTCGACAATCGTCTGGGGTCGGTTCGGACACATCGGCACTCATACATACATGGGCTCAAAAGGCCAGGGGAGAGAGAAACCTTGCTTGGTCAGGGCACGCGACCTTTAACTGAACTAGTGTGGCCGAATCCATTTTGCTCACAGCCAAAATGTCCCCTCAAAGTCATCTGGGGGAGGGGAAGGGCAGGAAGCTTGATGGACAGACAGTGTTTCGAAAATACCATGGTGCCTTTTGTCCAGGTTCATTTTTGCTCTCAAGCGCAAGAGCGCGCATATCGCCCACTAGCGAGCCAGTAGCCCGATCCGTGGACCCCCCCCTCCCCTTTCACAAGACTTCAGGTGGGCATGTGCCACCTTCGTCGACCTTGTCCCAGCTTTACAGGGTTTCAAACCAGATGGTTTCCCCCATTGGCTGCTCTGTGGCTACTGATGCCTTGACAGCACCCCAGGCCATGCAGACGATCCGGAGAAAGCATCCGACTGCCTAGATGTTTGGGAGAGAAATGAAGGTCACGCAAAGATTTCTGGAAAGGACTTGGGCTTGCCTAGTTACACACTTCTCAATAGTAGTGTTCAAAGTAATAGTGTATGTTCATGCCACTACGAGACTTTACTTTTCTCGTTTGTTCTGAGTTGCTCGGGACGGCGCCCCGAAGCTCCGAAAAACCGGAAACAGCGGATCCTCTGACCTTGACCTACCCCCCGTCATTCCAACCATGGTCCAGTCAAGTGGTTGCGGCACGCACGAAGGGACCAAAAAGAGGTCTGCTGGGGCGTCTCGGCGGCTCCAAAGTTGCCACCACGACCACTGCGCTGTGTCGGCATGGGCTGCTGCATTGCAGTCAACCCCACCCCTCTCTCTGCCAGCACCCATGAAGGCACCCATGTACCTCGCACAAACGAGGTATTCTGTGCCGTCAGTCTGGGCCAGAACCCCGGTACCAATATTCCTTGTTGGAATGAGCCAACCACAATCTCCTGGCCCGACTCAATCGAGACGACCGTCTGCACTGGCTTCCGAAGCTGGCCCACCACTGAAACCCTCACTCCTTCCAGGGCTATACTTACCCTACCCACGTCCGCCTTGAGAGTCATGATGAGGTCAATACATTAGTGGGGAGAAAACACGGCTGCTTTTCTCATTCCAAAAGCAGCCATGACCTGGGATCAGGCAGCCCGAGACGGGATCAGCTAGGAGTCTTGGTGGCTGACAGAAAATAACTAGCTCTTTCCCCAGGTCCATCGCAACCTTTGGAATATGCAGGACGAGCTGGGACACCGATTGACATCGATCTAGTGGTCACTGAAGCTCGGTGGCTTGCCAGAAACACCTGCCATTTGTTTGACAAGCGACCGCTTTGGTAACGGTGAGAGGATGATCTTATCCTAAGTAGGCAATTGTGTCTCTGTCGCGGCCCTCCTGCAGCTTTGACCAGGCCTATGTGAATCGGGGCGATTGCTCAAGCTCCGCTTTCCGGGCATGTGGCTAATGCCACTACAAACCACCACGCAAGTCGCAAGCCTTGCGGAGTGGGATCCGACTTTGTTGCTGTTAGAGGGCTTGGAAGCGAACACGAGGTTGCACGATCGATGGCTCTTTGTGGGTGCAGTGGCAATAGAAATGCATACCAAGGATTTCGTTGGATCCCAAGGGTATGGTACCAAATGACAATAGCGATAGATGGAGAAGCGAAAACCAAAAGCTGGCGGGGAAGCATGAGAGGTGACACCAGCATCGCCTCATCTGTAAGGGGTCCCCACGCCAGGATTGCGCAGGGGGGGGGAGGGGGGGGGCCGTGGAGACAGGGCGAATACTACTTAATACTACTTGGGAGGTGCATACGAATAGTAGTACTAATTATTGTACAGATCTACTCTGTAGTAGCAATACTTGTAAGGCGACTAGGGCCGTACAACGTCACTGGCTCTGGCGCTCGGTGCCCACAAGCCACTTCGCATGCAAAGGGGGTTGCGCCTCTTGTCTGTCTGTCACTGCCCTTTTCAGGGTCCAAGGCCTGCAATTACTCGTACTGGAATGGTGAAGATGGAACACGCCGGGCAATAAATTATGTGCTGACGACAGGCTGCCTCCCCGGAACAAGTCGGTATCCTTGGTCGATAATTGAAAAATGGCCCCAACTTCACCAAGCAATGACCAAGAGACACATCCATGTAGCGAACCGCGCTCTCAATTTGTTATCAGGTGATTCGCACATTTGCAATCTAGAACAAGCCCACGGCTTCGACGAATTTGGACAACTCTGTCGCTCCCGTTCCCATTCTGTCTGCTACCTACAGTCGAAGCTAGAGACTACTCCTTCTCCTTCCTGCACGATCAACTCATGATTCGTGTTTTGGCACATAGCACTTCGGATGGCGTTCGTCTATCCTTTCCCTGCCCTGATTCGGCCTTCCCATTGTCTTCTGCTGACCGCTCATCCATCCCTTTCTCCAGTTGGGGCCATTTTCGGGTGAACAGCATCTTCGATCAATCAGCTAACCATCAGCCCAACCAGGCACTGCGAGGTGGAAACGAGCATGTTCCTAGCGGTTCTTAGACCCGTCGCCGGTTGTCTCGCACTGGCAAATGAGATGGCTCTCGCGCTCCTTGCTACTCCTTACAACTTCCGTCCACTGGCGTCTTTCGCGCACACCCCGCAGCAAAGTCAATGCATGTGAGTTCCGGACATGTGCGGATATGCATTGAAACTGACCAGTTACCTTCGCCTTTCAAGCACCACAGTCTCTCCCTGCAAGCAATAGCAGCCTCGACGCCAACTGAGTCGATCCCCCTCTCCATCGAATCCTTCCTTTCGACCTGTCACATCGCTGCGATCCGTCGTAGCGAGTTCCCCCTCCCAATTCAAGGTCCATGAGATACCCCCGTTCTGA